TGCTTTCTATAAATAGTTATAAGAAGAAAGTATAGAACTCCTGAAATACTTAACTAGAGTATATTTAAAGCTTACTAAAATTATAGTAAGTATTCTATATCTTATTAAAGTTAGAGTATAGTTTCTTTAGGTAAGAGTAAAGCTCTAAGAGCTAATAGTACTAATTCGGACTATTTTCGTCTATACGAGAATTAGTTAGGGCAAGAGTATTACTAGTAAGTCTACTAGAAATATAAATAATCTTGAGATTCTCTAAGAAATATGAATTAGTATTTCCTTATAGCTTATTTTTGACCTAAACTAGCCAGTTATTAAAGATAGTATGATCTCTAGTAAAGAAAGTTAGATCTGGGAGCTTAGTAATTCTAGTATCTCTAAAGAGAGTATGAGATATAGGGAATCCTGGATAGAAATAAGCGGGAGATAGTTCGGAATTCTTTTGAGAAGGGTTCGGAGTAGCCAGAGCAAGCGGAGCAGAAGTAATTAGAGCTACTATAAGCTAATCTACTATGGCTATATAGCGCTTAATATTATTCTCGAGCTTGGTATTATGAAACTTAATATTCTCGAGAATAGCTTTATTATAGCTATAGGTATTCTTGTATGAAATAGCTCTTTAGATATTCTCCCGGTAGCTCTTTATAATAATATTAATATCTGAGAGTAAGGTATCGGGTTCCTTGGCCTATTCGTATAACTCTCCGGTAGTAATATGATCTTCGGTCTCCAGAAGCTTTATAATAAAAGCAGAAGGTTCTATTTCTATAGATTCGTCTATAAATTCTCCAGGAACGCTAACGGGACGCTCGGTTCGGGAAGGGCTGCTAACGGGACGACCTGAACTAGCAGGAGCTTTACCGGAAGCCTTAGCGGAAGTCGATATGGTTCCTGGTCACGTGATGTCCTAGAAAATCGACCTATTATACTTTTCCTTTACCGTATTCTCCCTGGTAGTCTCGTTGCCGGCGTATATATAGGGCCTATAAGGTTATAGGGTAGGGCTTGAGGGTAGTAGTCAGGTTACTGGCCTGTGGGTACCTATTACTCTAGGACTTGATTAAAGAGTAGCTGTTACGAAACCGGGCTCTGGGCTTGGAAAGCAGGTAGAGTGGCTCTTAATCCGAGGATTCTAAACTAAGGAGGGAAGCTCGTAAGTACAGGAGCTTTGGTGTTCTAAATACTAGCCAGCCGCATGCGTTATCGCGTGATCACGTGACGCTAAATTTACTAGTGAAGCGGCAGAGCGTAACAGTAGCCTTTGTTCGAGGTTCTTTGATTTTCGGGTTTTCGGGGGGGTTTCTAACGTATTACTGGCATATATTTATAAAGGTATAAATACCTGATTCCTCTGAGGGTTCTGAAGCTTTTCACTTTTGTTATTCTAGAGTCTATTACTCGTGTTTCTGAGGTTCCGTTATCTTGGCGGCGCCTATATTACTAATGGTTCTGAATTGGTTTATTTGAAATCCTCTATAGGATTAAAGGAAGTGAGCTTTGAATACTATTACGGGTATAGTATTTAGGGCTTGGAAAGCAAGGTAGAAGGTCCCTTACAAAGACGATTCAAAGCTAAGGAAGGGAAAACTAGAATACAGGAGGCTGCGAGGGAGTATATACACCCCATAGTACGCTAGTCCCGAAGGGGCTAGCCTTCTAAATATCTCTAGTATATTCCAAGCATATTTCCCTAGCGAGGCGGCCGTATTATGTATGCCTAGGAGGCATTTGGCATCTGGCGAGGTATCTCAGATACCGGGTATCTGGGAATTATAATAACTTATATACTTTTCTTTTATTTTTAGTAAATTATAAAAAGCTTTTATTAATATTAGGCCTAGCTATCTCGAGAGATCTAAAGCCTTTATCCTAAGCTTTCTGGATTATTAGTACTATTAACCCCGAGCTTTTACCCTAGATCTCTTATATAACTATCTAAAAGGCTTTCTTATTATATTAAATGCAGTTGTATTATAATATAATCAGATATCGGAGGAAGAGAGGTGTGGCGTGGGTAGCCGAAGCTAAATACAGTGTGTGTAGTCACGTGAGCCAAGCACATGTGACTAGCCTATAGTTGCTATATAACATTTCTATATAATAGATATTAAGCTTTTGCTTTTATCCTATTAAATAACTAGCTTACTAAGCTCTTTTTTATTTCGTACTATATAGTTAAGACTTTATTAAAAAGCCTCTATTATAAGTCTTACCTTCTTTTATGAGTCTATAATCTTTAAATTCTTTTTTATAAGATTATTAAAATACTTTAAACTTATAGATAATTATTTTCTCTTAATTATCTTATTTTAAGAAAGTATTTTTATATTTAGCTCTTTAAAATTCTTTATATAAATTTTAGTAAGACTTTATTTTTTTAATTTTAAATTCCTTTCTTATAGCTTTTAAAAGCTATATTCTCTTATTAAGCCTATTTATATAGGTATTACTTTCTTTAATTACTATATTCCTCTTCTTTTTAAAGCTTTATTTTTATATCTCAAATTGCTTCTTTTCTCTCTTAAAGTCTACTAGCCCCTTTTTTAATATATACTAATACCTATTAATATAATCTTTTATTACAAATTCCCTTAGCTACTTATATTATTTATTAAATATCTTATTAAAGGGCTTTTTAGAATTACTAGCTAAAGTAGGTTTAGTAGCTAGAGTAAGCTTACTAGCTAGAGTTTTAGTAGTTAAAATAAGCTTACTAGCTATAATAGGCTTACTAGCTAGAGTAAATTTACTAGCTAGAATTTATAGAGATTTAGATTTCTTATAGTTCTCTTAATAAATAATATTAAATTATTTACTAATACTTTAATACTAATATTACTTTTCTTTAAATATATAATTATTTCTAATTATATTACTATTAAAGTTATTAGTATTAAGAGTTTTTAATAAGTTATTAGTATTAGAGATTATTATTAAATTAACTATTAGCCCTTTATATAATTAATAATTCTATAAAGGCCACTTTTTTTTAATAGAAATAAGAAAGTAAAGTTTAAGCTCTTAATAATTTATATTAGAATATATTTTCTTTATATATTTAAGAAACTATTTAAAAGTATAATTTTCTTTAAATAAAACCGGGAAGTCCGAAACTTTAGAGCAAGTAACCCTACTAATAAGGTAGCCTATAGTTAGGCTTTAATTCTTAAGATTAAGTTTATAGTATTTAGCTTTTCTAATACTTTTTTAGATATTAGATTCTAAAAGGCAATTAAGTATCTAGCTACTAAGTCTTATAAATATCTTATAAAAATCAAGAAAAAATAGAAGTTTTAAAAGAGTAGTTTACTTAAACGACTTCCTAGAATAACTAATATAGTAATAGATAATTATTAATAAGTTTATTAGTAAAGGCTTATTAATAGAATTATAGCTATATTTACTAGTTAGCTCTTTTTTCTTATATTTTCTCTTATTATCTTTCTTTACTTTTAACTTTTACTAATTATAAGCCTTAATTAAAGTACTTTTCTAGAGCCTTAATTTCTTTTTCTTTTTCCTAGTAAAGATAAGGTTATCTTCCTATATATTATAAAAAGCATTTCTAGTAATAGTTCTTTAGAGACTTTCTCTCTTCTTCTTTATCTACTCTTCTTTCTCCTCTTTCTCTCTTTTCTTCTTATTTTTTTTAGAACTTGGCCTAATAGATATACTAATTTCTAGTATCTATTTCTTTAGTACTATTATTATTATTATCTCTCTTATTATTTTTAGAAGAATAAGAGGCAAGAGGTTTCGGCTTTAGTTTATAGGCCTTTTATAAATACTTTTCTTCTAAAGTAAATTTAGTTAGGCTTAAAGAGGGAAAGATAATATTATAGTAGCTATAAAAAGAGCTAATACTCTTTTGTTTTTAGTACTTTTTATAATAGGCTATAGTATTATAATATATAAAGTCTTAGATAAAGTAGTTTTAAAGAGATTAGATTAAGAATAGAAATAAAAGGAAATAAAGATAGTAATTTAGGAAATAAGAATATAGTAGAAAACTCCCTTTATATTAAAGAATTAGTAAAATTATCTGTTTTTATTTTAGGTATAGATTTATATTAAATTATTCTATAGTATATCTTTATTTATTATTACCGGTTTCGGATATATTTTTTACTAACTAGTAATTCTATATATATCCTTATTTATTACTATTAGTTTCGGATATATCTTTTACTAGCCGGCTATTTTAAATATATCTTTATTCGGTATTACTGGTTTCGGATATATTTTCTATAAACTAGTAACTTTATATATTTTAACTTATTTTTACTAGTTTTAAATATATCTTTTACTAATTAGCTATTTCAAATATATCTTCTATAACTAATTCTCTAATCTAATATAATTCCGTTTTTCTATATATATCTTATATATATAAAGCTAGTTATATATTAGTAAAAGTAGAGAGAAAAAATAAAGAAATATTATAAATAGTAATATAGGACTAATATAATCTTATAAGAATAATTCAGAAATATTATAGTTAATTATATTATAAATTATTTATACTTAGAAATATAATTTAATTATATATATAAGTCTTATAATAGATAGTAATAAAGGAACTTAAGTTAGGTATGGTTATACCTGCAGAATACGGTATTTTGGTTGCAGGCGATTTTTGGTGGGGTGCGTACGTGCCACAAATCAGATATTGAAGGTCGAAAACCAGATTCGAAAATCGCTTGGTCTTCTGATCCTTATCGCTTTCCGTACTGTAAGGGTCCACCAGCCCATCCACCCCCGCCCGAACACCAAAATTTTGAGATTTTTTCAATGTGCTTGGAAAATTCTAAAAACTTCCAGAGTTACTACAAAAGGGTCATAGACTGTGATTTTGGACTTACTTTTATTATCTGGCCCCATTGTTGTGGTCGAATTTGCTTTTGGGCATTTAGGCCGCGAAACCTTCCTGGGCAAAGAGCTCAGCCTCACACGATCAGTTCTGCGCAAGAGCTCAGTTTCTACAGCATCTTCCAACACTCTCACATTTTTCGACCTTCCTGCAGCGCCGCACAGATCTCAATCCGAACAGCTTCGCCTGAATTGCTCTTTATCTATTGAGTCTTACTGGAGCAACTGCGCTCCAAAATGCGTCTTTTAGCGCGCGACAGTGGTGGTGAATTCAGCCTGACGAAGGACCTTGTCGATCTCCCTGCCTATGCAATACTCTCCCATACTTGGGGAGGTGATGATGAAGAGGTTACCTATAGCGACATGATAGATGGTTCTGGGAAGTTTAAGACTGGACATCGAAAGATTCGGTTCTGTGGAGAGCAGGCTGCCCGCGATGGGCTCCAATATTTCTGGGTAGATACTTGCTGCATCAAAAAATCCGACGCGGTTGAGCTTCAAAGATCTATCAATTCCATGTTTCGATGGTATAAGAATGCGGCAAAGTGTTATGTTTATCTCTCGGATATTTCGACACCAGATGATACCATCAAGAGTGACTCGACACTCGACTTCGAATCAGCTTTTCGAACGGCCAAATGGTTTACTCGGGGCTGGACGCTTCAGGAGCTTCTTGCTCCTTCGTCGGTCGAATTCTTCTCCGCTGATTATAAGCGGCTTGGCGACAAGGTTTCCTTAGAGCGTCTCATCCACGAGAGAACAAGGATTCCAGTCAAAGCTCTCCAACAATATGATCCAACACATTTTATCTTTGATGAATGCGTGTCATGGGTAGCAGAACGAGAAACCAAATATGAAGAAGATTTGGCCTATTCGCTATTAGGAATTTTCGGTATCTTTTTGCCCCTTATTTATGGCGAAGGGCGAGAGAATGCGTTTCGGCGGCTTCGAGAGGAGGTTGGCAAAAGTCCGCAAAGTCATGAGTTCGATAAGCTTTCGAAAGCTGGCGTCAAGAATCAGCCAAAGTTCACAGTGCCCTTTGTTCGCGATCCAAAGTTCGTTGGCCGAGAGGATGTTATGCAAGAGATCACAAACCGACTTGAGAAACAGCATCGTATAGCTCTTTGCGGAATTGGAGGCATCGGGTAAGTTTTACCTCTACGAAATGCTGACACTACTAACACCGGACAGGAAGTCTCAAATTGCGATCGAGTACTGCTATACATGGCAATGTCGCCACCCGGACAGCCATGTCTTCTGGATACACGCGAGTACTTTCGATAAATTTGAGCAAGCTTACAGAGACATTGCAAAAGAGTTGTCTGTGCCTGGGACTGAAAACCCCCGGAACGATTCTCTTATCCTCGTCCGAGAGTGGCTAAGCAAGCCTGAGAATGGGTCATGGCTCCTTGTTCTGGATAATGCAGATGATCTTGACCTCTTCTACGAATTGGATCCATCAGCAACTAAACCGGGCTCTCCGCTTATTAGCCATTTCTTGCCTCGAACTGTTAAAGGCTCTATGATTATCACGACTCGAGATACAAGGGTCGGTCACCGACTAATAGATCGTGAAGAAGTAGTGATAGTTCCACCATTGGCGCCACTGGATGCCGAGCAACTTTTACGCTTTAAGATACCTAGGTGGGAAAGCGTGAATATCGAAGGAAACCAGGACCTGGTCGAGCTATTAGGATTCATCCCACTAGCTATTACCCAAGCTGCTGCATTCATTCAGGAAAATAGCATTACGGTCAAGACATATTTCGACAGGTTAAAAGAGAGCGACCTTGACTTGCAGTATTACCTAGAAGAGGATTTACCTGATCCTCGAAGATATCCGGACAGTGAAAATTCTGTCATAAGGACATGGAAACTCTCGTTTGATCAAATCGCTCAACAGAGGCCGCGAGCTGCCGATTTGTTATCAATTATGGTTCTGTTGGATCGACAAGCAATTCCAAGAAAACTTCTCAAACAAGTCGATGAACGGAATATAGAGTTTGACAAAGCAATAGGGACGTTGCAAGCATACTCATTAATCAAGACTGAAAAGGGGGGGGCTAGTTTTGAGGTTCATCGGCTTGTTCAACTATCGACGCAGCGATGGTTGACTTTGCAGAATCGGGAGACTGAATGGCAAGAGAAAGCTTTGGAGTTAATGGTTGGAAAGTTCCCAAGTGGAGATTACGAGACATGGGACGAGTGCGAGAGTCTCTTTCTCCATGCAAAGTGTGTCACCAAACTTCACTTTATTCATACAGCACTACTCCTTCAACGAGCTGAATTACTTGAGAATATAGCGAGATATGATGAGAGCCAAGGAAGGTTTGAGGCAGCCTATTTACAATGCAAAGATATACTACAGACAAGGGAGAGTAAACTCGGCAAGACGCACCCGCACACGCTTATAACTATGAGCAACCTCGCTGGAGTACTTTGGAGACAGGGCAAGTACGCTGAAGCGGAGACTATGAACCGCCAGACGCTTAAGCTCTCGGAGGAGGTACTTGGCAAGACGCACCCGTCAACGATTATAACTATGGGCAACCTCGCTGTTGAAATTGAGAGGCAGGGCAAGTATACTGAAGCGGAGACTATGAACCGCCAGACGCTTAAGCTCTCGGAGGAGGTACTTGGCAAAACGCACCCGGAGACGCTTAGGATTATGGGCAACCTCGCTGTTGAACTTGAGAGGCAGGGCGAGTACACTAAAGCAGAGACTATAAACCGCCAGGCGCTCGAGCTTAAGGAGGAGGTGCTTGGCAAGACGCACCCGGACACGCTCCTGAGTTTTTATTGTCTTGCTTATCTACTTCAAAGTAAGAAGGAGTATGAAGAAGCATCGATACTCTATCAAAGAGCTTGTACTGGCTTTGAATCCTCGTTGGGCTCTGAACATCCAACAACTATTGCTTGTGTAGGGAACTATACAGCTATGTTAGATAATATTGGGGAGGTGAATTAATGAGTTTACTATGTTACTGAGGCTATTAGCGAGCTAGCGAACAAAACTCAAAATTTAATATCGGGAAATCAATTCATGACCATGGGAGCGCAGGAAGTACTCCGTTTACTATCATGATTTAGCGGAGCACGATTGTGGATATCTAGCTAGTATAGTACTGCCAACTAAGCTTGCAATGAAAGATAGTCCTACGAAAAAACAGAAGGTTAAAGAGGCAGAGGGCGAATACTACCGGGGCCGATATATAGAAGTACTGGTGAAAGAGGTGGAAATAGCAGTGCGGCATAGCACTAGATGGTCTTGAGCAGCGGGATTGCGCCTCCACCTCTTAGAACTTGACGAGCCGTCAAATCTCGTGCCTCCCTATTTGTTGTCCTATGCTCTTGTATATCTCTATAGCTCTTGTATTTGCCTTTCAAATATCGTTTGTGAGTGCAACAGCAACTCCTCAACGCGGGCCCTCGCAACTACCTCTGCACGGCCCCTAATTCTTATGTAGATTGTAAAGCATTCCTGCGTACCTGAGGCAGGGATGGAGGGTAATCCGACTGGTTAACGTAGAAGTGGACAGTACTATGTTACAGATATATAATAGCTGCATATCTCATGGCTCAAAGTAGTCTCTAAAGTAGGTTAAGTAGCCCATAAATGACCCGAATCGAGTCATATTTTGGTGGGGAATAACAGGGAATGGAGGGGTGGAAGAAAATTTCCGAAAATTATAGGGGTACCAAGTTCGTCTCAAATCTGTTTGTTTTTGTCCAGTTACGTGAGTGCTTCTTTTCTCCTATTTGCGGATATTTCAGCATACAGTGCTATGTTTGAGAGGAGTGGGTTTTCATGTATCGTTTCCCTTTAGAATATCGTGTTTGGGGCCCTGTTCACCAGTCCTTCCTATCCGTCCTTAGTCTATGCATTTGACCTCGCGAAGTTTGACGCATCAAACTCCTTCCTCTTTTCGTTTGTCTCAACGCAGATTTTGGTTTTAACGTCCTAAAATTGAGATGTTGCGCCTCCTCTTTCTAAAAAGACGGCTCTGGCCCCTTTAATTCGTCAAGCAGATTTTTACAGAGGAAGCCTCGCTTAACCACTTAATGATCAAGCACCTCCAAATTTCGCCCTTTCCTTAAAACCCAGTCTGTGTTCTATTTACAAAACAGTTAATTATACTAAAATGGAGATCGGCGAGACTGATAGGTAGTTCATACCAGTTACGGAGTCGTTCAATATATTTTCACTAATAGCAAGAGGAGACTAACAGAGAAGCACCAACAGATGTTTTGATTAAGGAAGAAACGAGGAATTATGGAGCAGCAAATGCAACAAGTATTTGTCAATAAGAATTCCGACACTTTTCCCAGCCTCCGAAAGATTCCACTACAAAAGAAACAACCATTATCTCCAACCTGTGCCCGGAGAAATATTAGCACCGAATGCCATTCCTCTTCAGCTCCTCATAGTGTGCCTCCTTTTTGTAATTATAGGTACACGAGAACTCGCTGTCAGAAAAAGTTAAGCCGATTCCATTGCTTCCGCGGCCGCTCGTGCTCGCCGAAGAGGCAATGACAGTGGATTCTTTGCCCTCACTTGCTGTTCCAACCACGCTGGAAGGAGGATGAAACTGATTAGGCTGAGAGACGGGATATGCTAGCATTACTGGGTTGACGACTCCGGGAGTCGCTGCAAATCGATCAAGTTGTGACAGGGCGGAAAGCTCAGGCCTGACGAAGTTTATGGGCAAATCGGACCTGAAATACACGTTAAGACGAGTCATTCCCATTTCAGGTCGAATAAGGTCCAGGGATCTCCGAAGTCTTTCTTCCAAGTCTCCGCTCAGATGTGGAAGCAGTTTGTTACAGTCGCTCTCTAACTCGTCATAGAGCCTCCCGGCAACTATCGCTGAATTCCTGGCTGATTCGCAGGCCAAAATAAGCTGGTGGGCACTTGATTGCCATTGGTTTTGCATACGCAGAACAGCAGCATATCTCTGGTGCCCTGTTGTTTTTTGCAAGGCGTGACCAACAGCATCCAAGTACACCGCACAGTGTTGAAGTAGGTAATAATACATCCAGTCTGCTCCTTCGACGAGACCAAGAAGTGAGGCTTCATGTGCAAGAGTAAAGCCATGGATGAAAAGTTGAGGATGGGTTTGGACCATATTCTCATTAGAACTTGCTGCTCCGAGTGTTGTCGCCAATTGACACCAGCAGACTGACAGTGCTCGGTCATCTTGCTCTCTGAGATATATCAAGATACCGTAAAGCACTTCGATTGCTTCGAAAAGCAAGACGTTTTCATTAAGAGAATTGGTGCCAAATTGGATAATAAAGCTGGTGAGGGCACGGAGCATTAAGGTCATCGATTCTTCAACCCGGCCAAGATTGACTAGCATGATGCCGAGAAAGACTTCAGCCTCCGTGTGGCAGCATCTGTCCAGGGCCCTGCGACAGTGGTACTCTGCTTCGTGGTGATATCCGATTTCTTCCAGCGCTTTCGCCAGCTCAAAGTGCTTCAACAAGGTTGGCAGGCCAAATTCTCCGTGTTTGCGGTGTTGTTCCAAAAGTGCCGCCTCGAGAGAAAATAGTTGCTCCAAAGTGGCCTCGCTTCTGAAATTGGTGTCTCCGTTGATTTCCAACGCCGGGCGAAGTCCTCCCGAGTATATCTGCACTTCCAACTGGCCGCCTTCAAAACAATGGTCTTGTGAAGGAGTTTCGTTCCATGCCCCTTCGAATTCTGAGAGTTCTTCCACTATGGCTTTGTGGTGATGAGTTATGCCATCTCCATGGTCACCCAGTTCGTGTGAGAAATGGAGAAGGGAGCGCGGTCGATGTTTATCTGATAGCCATTCGTCGACATACCCAAGAATTGACACTTCTGAGGGGCATAAATTGGCAGGGATATCGTTTTCTGTCTCAGAAACACATGGAAACAATAACCAGGCGTCCTCTTCCCCCTCGACCTCGGGACATTCCGGAGAAGTTCTTGTCACTGTAGATCGCTTTGAATCAAATTCGACGAGCTCCTCACAGGTCTCCTATCATCGTTAGGTGTGCTAAATAGACAGTGGGTGGACTGAATACCCCAGAAGTTCGATCTCTCTTGCGTTTAAGACCCGGTGTATAACCGGCGATCTCTGACGGTGTTGCTTGAATTGATCATTAGAAACGTGATACAACAGTACAATCGAGGACTCACAAGTAACCGACAGCCCTTGTCCGGTTGATCTGCTTTTGGTGATTGCCCAAGATGTCTCTCGAGCTACTTGTTCGCGAGTGTTGGAGAAGCCTGTATTCTTGCCATCCTGTGTTTGGGAGCTCGCATGATCCAGAGAGGAGCTTGGAGCTTTGGTCGTCAATGAATGGTAAGCAGTGCCTTGATCAGATGTTTCCTAAATGTTAACTTAGAGAGCAATTTGAATAAAATAAAGGGCGATTGAATACCTCCAAAGAAAAACCATCGTCGGGAATTGGTGTCTCGAAACGAACGTGGGGAGGTATTGCTTTATTTATCAGAAGAGAACTACAAGCCGCGTGAATATCAAACCGGTATGCGAACCTCTTGAAGCTGCTCTTTTTTGTGTCCCTTTGCTCTTGAAGTTCTCAATTCTCTGCCGTTTAACTTCAATGTTTTTGAAGAAGACGTTGGTAGCTTTCCCTTCTCCATCTCGTTGGTCGACTACACGGACAATGTATTGCATCGTTTCAGCCGATATATTCTTCCCGAATCCCCATTCGGAAATCTTGGTTTGCCAAGATGTGCGGCTGGACCTTGTCAGCTTCCTCTATGAGGCTCTAGATCTGAGTATACCTGGTTTGGAAGCCATGCAGTCTTTGAATCTCAGCTTGGGCTTCGTGTAGTGGTTTCCCTTCATGGATATAAAAACGATCGAAGTCGTCTTTGCTCTTTTCCCAATCCGATGCACTCGGTTGGCGCTTCTCTCGGTGCAGGTGGTTCCCGCCGCTAGCCATGACAGAAATGCAATAACAAACTTCTGAGATGAGAACTAAGGGATATAATTATAAGAAATATACAGTCCGTTGTATAGTGCGTTAAAGTAGGTATGAAGTGAAGGAATGATCCCAAAAACGTCGAACACAAAGGAGGGCTTTGATAAGTAAGCACACAGGCCAATCGCACTGAAGCTCAGCTCTTCGAGCCTCCCAAACGCCAACGCAAACCTGGCCCACAAATCCACCAAAGCTCGCAGACAGGGTACATGACAAGGGGACCAGACTTGACCACTCACACCAAAGCCAGCGCAGCTGAAAGGGAGCCGAAACAAAAGCATTGGCCGTCAACCTTGCACTTTTCCGGAAAATCAATGCACTTATCCTTGGAGAAAATAGACGTGCTGTCGTGCAACCGAGCACTGGCGTGGAAATGTTGACGGGATGAACGGGGCGTGGTATGTTCAGGCATTCTTCTGTTACTTATCATACTGTGACTGTCGGTTGGAGGCAGCGATTTCAGCCGCTTTTGATTCTTTGAATTCAACTGCATGCCAGGGCGCGAGCGCCAGAGAGGGTACGTGGGGGTAAGACACAATTTGTCAAAGACGGAAACTCGGGTGAATCGATGATGGAGACAGACCAGAGAAGTCCACGCTACGGGTGATTATTGCCATTCCGCCTATCACATCAGAAGAGCAATATTTCGTTCCACGATATCGCCAAATTTTCTGCGCGGAAAGTTTCCGAACCTGGTATCCGTTCCGCTGCTGCCAGGAACAATATTAAAAATGTCTCACATTGCGAGCTCATTTTACCTAGTTAAATATCTATACAAATTCAAGAGAAAAATTATATGATTACTTTAAAGGGGGTAATTTAGATATTCTAAAGAGGAATTGAGTTTTATTATTTTTTCGTAGCAAATTATTTCAGACTAAACCGAGGAGAAAATTCTTCCTGAAAGAATACGGTCTCAAAACACGCTAAAATCGCGGCTCGCTTAGTCCAGCCAATGAGAGAAATCACGTGCACCCGCTCAATTCAAGGCATAACTTGAAGTCTTAATATAGTACTATAAGCTTATAAACTTTAAAGTAATTAAGAATTATATATGAAGAGTAGATAAATAAAAACAAAAGAAGTTTGAGGTGCCCTTAATACAGGCACATGATCGGGGATAAGGCCAGAACGCGGTATGGGGGGTGGGGGGAAAGGTGCGGTCTCACTTGGGACCGCACCTTGGGACCGTATTTTTTTCGATTTCCTACCCGTTCACGCCCTTTCCACCGCAATTTTGTATGGGCCCCACCACCGCAGAAAGGACATTCACGACAGGAAAATTACGGTCCCAAAACACGCTAAGGGAGCGGAGATAAGGTAGTTATTTACCTGGCCAAGGGGGGTTAATGGGCGCGTCTCGCTTAAAGTGCTATACGCGTAAATCCGATTTTTTTTCTCGGCCGCCTACGGCGGCCAATATTTAATAATATTAAGTACAAGCCGCAGTTCAAAATCACTACTAGCTTCTGCTCTTTCAGAATCTAAAGTCCTTTTATTTTTACGATTACTCCTGCTAAAGTTATGGCTATGCAATAAGGGGGTAAGTTAGAGGGGTACAGCGCCCGCTCCAGGGCTCGCTTAGCACCCTGAAGCCCCCGCCCTCGCACGCGAAAGAACAGCACTTTTTGGCCGCCCCCACAGGCCGTTTTGACTGATTTTTGGTTCTAGGATCGTGAAACCGCGTGTGCGCTTTCAGAATCTCAAATTTTTAGGCCCGTACGATAATTTTTGGGGTGGGTGCGGGGCGCGGGGCGGGAGGGGTGATTGCGCGGGCGGCCGGTTTGGTGAGGGCGCAGGGGGTGGGGGGCTAGGGCGGGAAGGGGCTAGCGCGTGTAGGGGTGGGACCGTATTTTTTTGAGGGTTCAGGCTTAATTCGGTTACGAAAGTCCCTGGCGGCAGCGGAACGGACAATGCCGAGTTTTAGGAACTTCGCGTCCTGGTACACCAGTGGGAGGACCCCCTTCGTTGACATAATTGGCTATTTTGAAGCCATTCACGCTAATAGATCGATCAAAAATACAATATCAGTTTACTATATCAGCCCCTTAAGTGACCGTCAAGGCCGACTATGGACAGAGATAAGATTGGGTGAAAATTTGAGGGAGATCGAGAGCCGCGGTGATGATTGGCGCAGCAAGCCGGTGGTTGAGGGGCACGAAATATCAGCAAAAGAGACGTGAGACAAAAAAACAGAACATACAACAGCAGGTATTCGCTGGTGGTCACCCACCTAACTACTAATCTGCCGATCTGAGGCTTGTGTATGGCAGAGCGGACGGGATGCCCATTTCTCCTCAGTCTGTGGTCGTATGTGACCGGAAAAGTTTTAGATGAGTACTTAAAGTAGCAAGATTTAGGATTTATGAATGAGTGCGGAGACTCGAGCACGTGGATTTGCGAAACTAGCACCAGAATCTTGGCGGAGGGAGTCACTGAGAGCCAGGGGATAAGTTTCTCGAATCGGAATCTTAGAACCTAAATCCGACAAATAAAGACGCGGGTATTAGAGGCCTTGGTTCTAAAAGCCCAGATGTTCTTATTCTCGAATTAAAAGAATGTTCTGCGGGTTACTTTCCATAATCCTATTCAATTATTCTGATTATATGAAATATTACATAATTTAAGATATAACTAGATTTGGGTTACTACGAGGACTGAGTTTGGTTAGTTATAAACTATTATAAAATAAGGTTTACGTGTAGTACTATATCTCGGATATTCTCGTTTATATGGTCGAGCCAAATATACTTCTATTAGAATACCGATATTATTAAGCTTTTCCTACTCCTCTAAATTAATTATGTTAAGTCTACGTTTAATATCGAAGCGAAAGTAGGTTTTTTCCTCCAAGGAATCCCTGTCCCCTCTTTCTCTCGTAAAATACTGTGCCCACCTCATAATTAGCCTTAATGGATATGTCGATAAGGTCTTGATGACGTTATGCACCTTGATCTATTCCATTTCAAGACTTGTAATATCCCTCCAGCTAGTTCTAGTGCTCCCATAGATTTGAATCTCGCATCTGGAAATATGATTTTGCAAACCTGCTACTGGCGCGCGACCTTACCAACCCTGCAGCCGACCTGTTTTCGAGCAGGTGCGCCTTCATGTTCAAAATTCTATGAAGTAAGGACACAAATCACCAAATTTCGTATTCTTGGAGCTGAGAGTCGTCGTCTGGCCATCCTTCTCCTTTCATGAACCCGAGTACGTAAGAGCGGCCAATTAACCTGAATTTCTCTCCGTCTTTTCGCATCAGCATTGGTAAGGAGAGGCCTGCAAACAACATGATTTTGTCGCCAACCATCGTTTTCGATGGACCAAGCCCGAGTCTACCTTCCTTAGTCGTGAAAAGTCGATGGCCGCTGTATACACAAAGTAGAGAGTATAGTGTCAGAAACATTGTCTCGGCCTTAAGCATAAAATCGTCCAATGTTAATTTCCCGACGTGCTCTGCGAATTCGCTTGGTGAGAACAGTCGTCGCAGAGAGTCATTAGTGTGGAGACTGTCGGAATACTGTCGGCCCCGGAGATCTATATACATAATTGTGTTTAATAACCGTCGAAGCTGGTCAAAATCATCAATTCCTCGAGCTTCTGATGAGCTCAACAGCATAGCAAATTTCAGTAGGACTTCCGGCGGGGGCTTTCCGGTGGCTCCAGTCGACAACCAGTACCGTTCAATCCATTCTTGCATGCCGTATATAGCAGAGAGTAGAAAAGGAACAGTTGTACTCGCATTAATATCGTTGCTGTCCTGCATAGATGCCATGTGTGCGCGTAGAGCTCCAGGTAGAGGTTTATAACATACATGAACGACATCTACAAGGCAGCCATGTAGAAGTAAACAATCGGTTCCAACAATGAATTTGTAGTTTGGCGCCGATACGCGTGAAGCGCTGTGACGGTGATTTTGGTATCCCGATATATCTATTTGAAAGATAACGGGTAATGAAAAGTCAACAGCCCATGATGGACCATCTGTCCATGCACTGTTACCATCAAGGTGTTTTAAGAATTCCAATGATTTGTTATACTCCACTATAACTTTGGTCGCCATTGCATAGAGGTCTCCAACGGCTACGGAATAGTCCACAGGGATGGTTTCCAGTACATCAGGGAAGAGAGCCCGTATTGCGAAAATCTTATCTCTTGGGTATGTCGCACTCTTGGTCAGAGCAATCATCAATCGGGCATGAGTTGACAAAGGGGATTCCCGGGATTCAGTGTATTTTTTTGTCCATCCAAGCAAATGTGCGCTGGTATGGATTTTGAACATCTCGGACGTAATACCACCTAGTGCCTCATGAAAGAGTGGGTATATAACTGGGTGCGAGTCTCCACAATACAATACGATACGCTCCGATTCTGCAGATGCGATTTCTTGAAGGGTCCAGATTCGCAACCAATAGCTCCGACGTCCAATGTCCTTGTCACAGCAGCGGGCAATGGTTTCTGTAGAGATTAGTTTGCTGAAGTTTGGGTTGCAAGATATTCTACTCACTGAGATGGCCTGAACATTTCATAATAAAGAGCATAGAGTAACGAATAGCCCAAGGGAACCATCCTAACCCGAATGAAGAAAGCTTTCTCTGAAAAGATAGCAATATTTGCCACCTGGATACAAATTTGAATACCTTGTTGGACTCGGGGGTTCCGGGGCCAAGCCATATAGACACTATATAAGCTCGGGAGTAAATATCGACCATAATGCTAACTTGCTGATTACGCTCCTCCAAATTCTCCTGGCCAATGCAGATGACATCGATCCATAGTGGCATAAACTTTGTACCCGTCGATGTTTTTAAGCTGCCTATCGAGTCGAGGAAGGAACCGTTCAGGCCCTTTCGGAACCTAATTATGGCGTCCTCGCAGTTCTTTGTCATCATGAGACGCTTGGTGATTCCGGAGACATCATAGATGAAGGATTCTCGATCCCGATCTTGGCCCTCCCAGGAATATGACAAGGCAACATACGGTGGCGGATCATCAACTGATACTTCCACGAGCAAAGTCATAAGACATACCCGAGGGTCACCAAAGCCCTCATTTGCAATGAGTTCATTGGTGACCATTAGAAGCCGAATTGAACGAGGGTGCTGGAGAGGGGTGTACTTGTATTGATCTGACGAGATCTCTGAAATATTACTCATGTTGTAAGAGGTAATTAGAATAGGATATCAAAGTCGGATCGGGGCTCAAGGTTTTCAGTACTATATTGAAAGAAGGTGTTGAATCAGCAGCTGCCAGTATAAAAAGGAAGAAGAAACATAGTGAAAGAAATGTAGTCAACTTCTTTCTCTCTCTTACAATGATGATCAGGTGGAAGGGGCAGGGCGAGGCTACGAGGCTCTTGAGAGAAGGGATCTGAGATCTGGCGTCTTTTATCCAAGCAAAGTTACCATTAAATTCAAAGAAGCTACAGTAATATAAGGCTGGATCGATGGCTCAGTGTCGAAGGTGGGTTGTTAAGAAGGTGCAGGGTCTAATATTCTCATGTTGGTGTTTCATGTTGGTGCATGTTCCTGCCTGAGGCCGCTGGGTGGAGGGAACAATCTAACCCAATGGTGGACTTATATTGGGAAATAATATCCTGACGGCTGAGTTTGAGTATTTTGTAATTTGGTTGGAAAAAATTAGATAAGGTAATGTAGGTATTTTTGGCATTCAAGGCCGCGAGCGGTGCCGAGATCTCATGTTCTGTGTAGCAGGCAACGGCGGCGTACGGTAAGTGGAGACATCGCGTTCCTGCCAACCATAAGGGGAAAAACTAAAGCGACACCCCCCCCCCCCCGGGTGTCGATTAGGGGTGTCGATTGGGAGCAAACTAGCCACTAACCCAAAGTAGAGGCGCTCGGACAGGAACACCAAAACTCTGGCTTTTTCTTTATGTTAATTCAATTTTATAAGGATTTAATATAATTTAATACTTGTTTTATTTTCTTATAGCGCTAATTAAGGGCTATTTAAATATGAACTTTTTATAAAATTTGGATTAGTAATAGCTCTTTAAATTAAAGAAGTTAAAATTTCATATTTTATAGCTTAAAGGTAAGCTTATAAAAGCCTAGAAATTTAGCGAAAAAGTCCCTAAAACCAAATATAAGAGCCTTATAAGGCTCAAAAACCAAAACTTAATTAATTAGTATATAAACTCCCTTAAATTAAAATACTATTTTAAAGAATCTCTTTATTATAAGTTAGAAAGCACGTGATTATAATACAAGGGTTATAATATACTAGCTCATACTTATATTAAAAAATCTAATATAAGATTTTTAAAGAGCTTAGGTAGCCAATTGCAAGTCGTCAACACCTTGCCCCAATCGACACCCCTAATCGACACCAGGGGGGGTGTCGTTTTAGTTTTTCCCGTCAACGTGGGCTAATAGCCCCACCACGCCCACCACGCCCAGAAGACAAGGAACGTGCTCGCAGTCAGCCGGTCGCTGGACGCCCTAGTTGGCAGCAGATCGCGAATAAATTGTCCTTCTCCTCCGACCTGTCTCTCTGCAGATATCTTACCTTTCCCCGCTCCCGGTGAGGTCAATAAGTTAGGGCTGTCCCCTCTTGGAATCTCAATCTTGGGGGTAAACCGGCTGCCTCCTAACTTCAACAAAAACATTGGCCGCGAAACTAGAAGCAGCCTTTCTCTATCTCTACGTATCAAAACTCATTAATCAACATGACTACCTTTGTCGAATCGATCTCCGCGATCCTCCAGGAAGTGCCGGCTCTCTATCGAGGGCCAGGCGGTGCCATCGCTGTGTTGAAAGATGGGGAGCCCGTCGGTCAGCACGTTTGGGGATTTTCTGATCTCGAACGACGAATTCCCATGACGGCGGAAACAGTAATGCCCATCTGTTCCATCTCGAAGCAGATGGTGTGCGGGCTATTGATGGACCTTGAACGTAATCCCACTCTTGCAATGAAGGCTCGCGGCGAAGAGCCAGGGAAGCAGTTGTCGGACAAACTCGGCGAAGTGTTGAATCCCAAGATGCTACAAGACACAGGCTTGACTATTCGCCATCTCAGCCATATGCAATCGGGAATCCGCGACTACTGGGCCATGACGGTGCTTTGGGGCGCAAAGCCCGAAGGACATTTTTCCGTGGCGGATCACGGGCCCCTGGTGATGGACAGGATCAAGTCTTTCCACTTCGAACCTGGAACGGAGTATTCGTACTCTAATACGAACTTCTTTGTTCTGGCTCGAGTTATCGAGAGGGTCACCCAACAGCCGCTGGCAGAATTGCTTACGGAGCGAATTTTCGCGCCCATCGGCATGACGACAGCAAGACTTTGCGCACACACCGCAGAGCATCCACCTCCGTGCATTGGCTACGAAGGAGACGAGACGCAGGGTTTTTATCCAGCTACAAATTGCATTGAATGGGCTGGAGATGCAGGCATCGTGGCGTCTCTTGTTGACATGATTGCCTACGAGCAGTTTCTGGACAGCAGCCGAACCGATCCGCAAAGCTGGTACCAATCCACTTCCAAGCAGCAGCAATTCAAGGATGGCGCGCCAGCTGGTTATGGGTACGGCCTAGCCCGTGAACTTGTTGGGGGCGTTACTACTGTGAGGCACGGAGGGGGGCTTCGTGGGTATCGACTTTCTCGGTTCTACGCACCGGAACCACGGATTTCCATCGTGGTTCTTCTAAACCAAGAGCACGGATTTCCAGGAATGATCAGCAATTATATTCTGAAGCGAGCACTGGGGTTCCCTGAAGCCAAGCATGAGGTTGTTCATCCCAGCCAGGAGTGGGCTGGAACATATCTCGACCCAGACACCCGACTAGCCATCACTGTAGACGCAGGTGTTGCCGGAGAGCTCACCATCAAATACCATCGGAAAGCAGAAAAATTTCGTGTGGTTGACCCGCTTCGAGCTCAGACTGACGATATGGTCGCAACACTGGACGGGAGTCTACTAACCCTTCACATTCCGAAAGACAATCGAAACATCCATGCCCAGCGAGTCACAACCAATAGGCTTCCCGCCAATTCTTCTGACATACATGGATACTACTACTGCGCGGAACTAAGTTCCGTGTTCCACTGTAGCGGTTCTGGAGGCATGCTTTATGGCTCGTTTGATGGGTTCCTGGGCAAGGGACCTGTACATCTGATCCGGTCACTTGGGGACGATGTCTGGGCTCTTGCATGCCCTCGAGCCATGGATTCTCAACCTCCAGGTGACTGGACAGTTGTTGTGCGCCGTGATGACAGTGGTAATGTAACCGGTGTTACAATCGGCTGTTGGCTAGCTAGAAATCTTGAATTTGTCAAAACGGGAGAGGTGAAAGAGCCTGTTGTGTAGCACTTCTATAGCCGAATTCAGGCGAGAGCTGATCAAATCGCTTTATGGGCCTGTTATTTATTGTTTTCGGACTTTTAGTGGCAAATTTCGTCCCTTCAAATGAAATTTCCGCTTGTTAAAGCGATTAAATTGAAGATCACAAAGTGCATGAGCGTAGTTATGTGACATATGCTTCATCTTTAAATGTTTAATGCATGTTGTTCGAGATCAATCGAAATAGATGCAAAGATTATCGATCCATAACCATCGATAGCGGATTACGGGCGAGGTAGTCTGCAAGCACTTACACAGATTCTCCCGACCCCGGAATGTTAATCTATTGACTAGAATCTCTTGAGGAAATGTGGTTAAATATTATGTTAACGACCAATTCCTCTCTATTGACATTATATAATGTCGTCTATATAGACACTAATCTGTCCACGGTGTGTAAAGGCAACCTCCATCAAGTATTTGATAGTAGTCAAAATAAGGAATGGGAACACTAAAGTTGATTTCGAAGATGAGGAAAACTTGTGATAAAGGAATTGAAGCTTTATCTTAAGCTCACGCAATCTGATACTTGGGTGTCGGCTTAGGAAAGCGTAATTGTGAGAATATGAAGATCCTTGAACACGCCAGTCTAGGCTAGAAGCAGCGAAGGGATACGCAAAGCAAGGCAAGGCAAAACACTCCTCCGATTTTTGAACCCGCCCCACTGAAAAAGAAACAGGTGACGAGGTTTAAGTAAGATTTTGGGAATAGAGCTCGGAATGTGGTTTTGTAATCAATATATCATATTTCATATTGCAAATCTACCGTCAAAGAAGTGTTTTAGTGAAGCGTGCCTTGAACAAGCTAACAAACTCAATGGTCAGTACGTATGATAGGTTTCACTTGCAAATATGATTCGCAAATACAAGTCAGACCGAATGAACACGAAGCCCGGAGCTCTTGGGTCCACACAAATGATGTATATTTGAGGCAGTGTTAATCATAGGAGAGTTTTCATTTTATCTTTTGTTGTCAAGGTCAACCCTATGAAACTCTTCAGAGGTTCACAATGGTCTCTCCCAAGTCCACAACGATTTTACGAAGCCTACCGAGTTCGTTGAAGACAGTGGTAGTTTCTAGGTGGAAATGTTTCTCTTGAGTGTAGGAATTAGATAGAGTAGTACTCGTTCAACATGTTTCTCGGAATTTATGATTAAATTAATTCATGTCATGTGGTTTCCATTCCGAATTCCAATCGCGCTTGCTTCGAAAACCCCGACATTTGCAAATATTTCAACCAATCCTCACCAAACAAACCAAAGACCACGGCTCCCCCATTTGCACAACATTACCGACTCATTTAGTCAGCTCTGCCAACTAACATAGCCAAGCGGAGCCCGTCCCATGGAGTCCTTGTCTCCATCCTTCTTCGATGTTGCGGCCTTTGGCTTTTCGTCTTTCAAAAGCGGTTTTGAGGAGTAGGTAGATGAGGCGTCTGACATAGACTGTGATTCGTTTGCTTTCGTGGGTGTATTGATTTGGGATGATGTCCCCGACTTAGATGAGAAGAGAGGCATGTTGAAGTGTGCGGTGGATAGAAAGGGAAACTTTTGTTCTTAAGAGTGCGTATGAGAACTTTCGAATGAGGAAGATATGGAACAGGCTTGATGAGATGGATCAAAATTGAAGACGAAATGGAGAGAGTTTATATGCTCGAAATCCAAAGAGCGGGATTTCAGAACGCGTAATAGACGCAGCAACAGCGTAACGCTGCTTCATCTCAATGACTAACGTTGTGCAGATCATCGGCCTTGTGAAAAGGGCAATTGTGTGAGGAAAAGAAGCAGGTACGTGGCTAAGTAGGCATCGAATTCTGGTATTCCAGCCAGCCACTGAAATTCGATGCCGTCCAACGGCTGCCCCACCTTGATTATCAGGCCTTCAAATGGCATTACTCCTCTTACGCAAAGAGATGGGCTATTGTCAGGCAACCATAATCAGCAATTCGTGGCGGAGCAGGCAGCAACTTTTTACGCCAATTTAAGCGAGCGCTAATTCAGGGGTAGCGATACAGGCTAAATAGGGGGTGGGGCGTCACACGCAACGTAAATTATCAGCCTTGCTTTTATTCTCAATTCGAATAGTCAGAACAGCTTGCCGCCGACGCCATTGGGAAATTGTGGCCCTTTGCCTGACGTTTAGAGCGAGACTCTGAATCAATCATTTTCTTGTAGAGAATACAAACTCGCGAATCTTCACACCAGGGTGAAGGAAAATCAAGCATCGGTCTGCATCGCTGAACCAAATCCTCCAGTTCACATGACCTTACGAAATTACAGATACACCCCCACAGCAGGGCTGGCCCCAGAGTAATCAATTGCAACCAACGCAATCCCACTCAAGCACCCCGGCTGGGCCGGGTCGTTGACTGTAACCTCTTTCATAATTTGATACTTCGTGGAATTTCCATTCTGTGGACAGAGGAACCAATAGGAGTTGTCGGAGCCAAGCCAATTGAAAGTTCCTATCTCCATATCAGCATTCGTAACAAATCATTACCGCAAGGCATGGAGATCATGACGATAGAAGGTAAAAAAGCCTACCAGGACCAGCATTTACAAATATGTGTGGATCCGCACCAGGGATTACACTTGTAAGATTTGTTCCATGTCCGAGATGCAGAAAGTTCACGACATTGGCGCCAGGAGAAAATTTGTTTGATGGTGTGGATACGGGAGTAAGATATGACAGAGCTCCAGTCCGTGTATCAATATAAATTTGTTGAGGATCCGCCGAATCCTGTTTCTCGTCAGCTATCTATTAAGCAACACGCAGTGTGGTAAATTTTGGGGCAAACAATGAGACGTTGAGGGAAATTGAAAGAAAAGACCCACCAGAAACGCCTTCCCTTCTCGATCAACCCAAAGCACCGTCTCATTCCCAGCTGGGCATTTACTCCCTCTCAATTCCCCACAGCCCGTATTTGGAGCAGCCCTAGTCCTGCCGGCCCAGAAAAAACCATCGGAAGCATATATACGTAGTCCGGTGACGGAGTTACTTGCTGTAGGAGGGAAGGGTGACTGAAAGGCGGCAACGGTGAAAGGGAGCGTTGGTGTTGGTTTGGGATCCGCAAGTGAGAAGGGAAGGAACAGGAAGAGGAGTAAGATCATGTGTTGAAGCATTTTACAAACTGAATGCGGGGAACTAGAGATGATGATATGTGTGGTGAGAAGAGATCTTGACTTGAAACGACACTTCTATCCTTTCTGTCTTTATACTTTTCTATTACCATACAAGAAGGAGGAGACATGCCATCTTGGATCAAACGACTTGGCAACGGGAGGATGTTTCATGTTGTACTCGACTCCGCTGCGGTAACATACAGAATCAATAGGCACCCGAGTGACCTGAGCGCACGCGATTTTGCAGCGCGCAGAATGATTAGACGCCACCATTACACGAAGGTCACGCTTGAACATTTTGCGTCTATGGGATAGCACGCAGTGGACCGTGACATGGTGGTAACTATATCTATTTCGGGAAAGATGGGACGAGGTTGTGGAATGCTACATAATTGAATCACGGTGCTCGTATTGATATGCAATGAATGCGGGAATGAAGGTCCATTTTTTAATACGCCCGAAACTTCACCCTTAATTCCCTTTGAGCCCCCGCTTCTACCCTAGGTTTCGCTCGGGAATCTATTCTTAAATTTTGGACTTGGATTTTCCTCAGACCCCATTACCAGGAGTTTGCCATAGCCTCGTGCCGCGGATGAAGGCCCTTTCATTCCATCATCGCTTGACAGAATTTGAAAAAATCTTCAATTGGTTTGGTGGGATGGTGGCGCCAGGCTGGGGTATCTAAAAGCTCCTCCGGCGATGCTTGTGGTGTGGTGTGGTGCCATTGAAGATCGAAAACTCCGTGATAGTACCTGGAGAAATGTCAACACGGTGCATTCTCCCCACAATCAAGACCCCATATACCAAGATGTACGTCAAGCAACAACCAGGTTCCATAGATCTTTCCCTTTGTCAATTACAGCACATAAGCTGTAATATCCTGTTCCAGACGTTCGAAGAGATAACGCCCGTTCTCATAATTGTTATCTATGCGTCTTAAATTTAGTGGACTGATGTAATTGATTGGCTTGGTAACGGGGAACCATTCCCATTTGTCATCGTTAATAGATGGTAATTGATAAAGTAAGCACACAACCTCATTGGATTTGCCCATTCTGCTGAAGGTCTCGCCATACTCCTGGAGCCGTCCTTCTGGCGGCGCGGTCTTGATTGCAGAGGCAGGAAGAAATGGTTGTGCAGCGAGAAAAGTATAGAAATTTGAAACAGCATCGAGGATTTGGTTGCTGGTCATGGTGTAAGATTCTGCGCCATTTTGGCGGGAGGATTAGAACAAAGGCTATTAAAAGGAGATGAAGTACGATGGCAAGAGATTATCCTGAAACGCAGAGGTTTGAAGCCTATGAGATCACGTGGAGGGCAGAAAAGGGGTACAGGGGCTCGGCAAAAATCGGGCTGCTTCGATTAGTCTAGCGCTAAGGTTTAGGGTTCATTACATGCACATACAAAAATAATCTTAAGCCCCTCCCATCTCTTGCTCTCTTGGTATCTTCTGAGCTACGGCGTTACAAGTCAAACATCGACACATCGAATTGCAGACCTGATCTGGACCTTAGGAGTCCTGTTGCAACGCTCCATGTTCGGCGTCTCTAATTTCCTGCCGGTCTTGTCTATTGCGGTAATGGTCATTATCTGCTCCATCTTCCGGCTTTTTCGGACCGTCAGTCACCGAATCACACGAAACATACAGACCCCAAGGGTTACCCAAAAGAACCTGGACGCCATGCGCGGAGGCTTCAATTGCATTCCCCGCTGCCAGGCGGTGCCCACGGGACCCGGTCCTATCTACTTGTACTTCATGTAATAAAACTCTACGGCGTACGTATCATGGAAGTGGATATCAGCCACTATAATATGGGCGTATACCAAACCTGACGCTGCTTCGATTACTAATGCCCAAGGCCACGCGAAAGCGAAAGTCATCTTAGGCTAAGCTCTAAAAGTCGTTTGTATGGTTACCACTCGGGGGACACCCCGCCTTCTATAATCGTGCGTCAGGACTTGCACTAAAGCCCCTGCGTCCCTGCGGGTTTAGTGCGTATCAGCAATACGGTCGAAAATCAGCAATATGGTCGCCTTTTTCTCCCATTTATCGATTTTAATTAATTAAATATCAACACCATGGCCAAATATAACCCAGAAGAAGTGAAAAGGATGGCCCAGGCCTCTGATTTCTATGCCAGAACCCACATGCCAAAAAATCTGCGATTGCGCGTTAATTCAGGGAAAATATTGACTCTGGAAAGTGCGTTTGGCTGGACGAAAACCACAAAACACCAAAGGGGGCCTCAATAAAGCCCTTAATCCTGATTAGGAGGAGGCCCTGAAGCAGTTTATTGATCTCCTGATCTATTTAGGCCATAAAGCTGATCTCAAGACGGTTCGCGCGGCGGCAAACAAGATTCTGGCGGAGAGCGCATCCACCCACCAGGCGATGCATATTTGCGTATAATAATAAATGCTAGGTAGAGAGCTTGGTTTTGTCAAGCCACTCCCCCCTTCCCCATTTATTTTATAATAATGGCTTTGGTAATATAGTTAGATTAGATACTAATGGGAAGGAGACAATTACTGGGTATACGAATTAGGACGTGATGGTTGTGTAATTAATTGATTTCTCAGAATCGTAGTATTTTGGGGGGGTCGCCGACGAGGTAAAGTGTGTAATATTCTACCATTTTTTACTATATGCACATGCGATATGAAAGTAAGAGAATTTCAATTATTAATTATAGTATAAAGTCCATATAAACTGTAAAATATTTTTCTTCGATTTTCACCAAAATTCCGAAAATTGGTGTTCCAAAAAAACGACCATATTGCTGATTTTCGACCGTATTGCTGATACGCACTAAACCCGCAGGGACGCAGGGGCTTTAGTGCAAGTCCTGACGCACGATTAAGTGGCACAACATTTGGAAGCCGGCTCGAAGACTTCAGAAAGGGCCTGGGTGTGCATTCAGCTGGTATCCGGAATCGCATCGAGTCTTATCCCTTCTTGCCATACGCTGCAAGATTTTGGGGATTCTATTTACGTAGCTTAATGCCCAATGAGGACGAAAAACCTCACTTTCGAGTTCCTTGCGTGCCAAAGTACAATCGCTTGCAGGAACCAGGCATATCAGTTTGAGCAGATTTATAATGAACTATAGTGGAATGTAGAGGAGTGTATGTGTTACACTGCATTGCGTATATGCAGCTATTTCGGCTTGGACGATTCACTTCTTAATCTCCTCGGGGAAGGGAATTTACCTGTCAATACTACCACCAACATGGGTACCACTCCTATTATCAAAGCGGCTTCAAAGGGCCATATCTCCACTGTTAGGCGCTTATTGAATAGAGCTGCCGATCAACACATGGAAAATTGATACGGCAACGCCTTGCATTGCGCAGCCGAAGCAAACAATCCAGCAACTATTAGGGAGTTTATATCCTACGACATGAGTCCAAGTGCCTGCAAGCGATACAGCAGGACTCCTTTGAGCTGCACAACCGGCAAGGACAGCGCCTCGGCATTTGAGACTCTTATTGCTCTTGGAGCAGATATCAACGCGGTCGACGTGCAGTTCGTGTACATTGGCAATGAGCTTTCAATCTTGCACCAGATATCATTGTATAATTGTCTCAACGTTATGAGTTTAGTATTGAATTACCGCTGGGGTGATCTGGAAAGTAGATCGGAGAACGGCCACATGGCACTACACATTGCGGCGACTGGTAGCAATCTTTGGATGGTGCGGAAACTGGTAGAAGCTGGTGCGAATATTTCTGCAATGGATGGCCGTGGAGCTACACCGCTAGATCATATGGCACATCATGCGGAATACGAGTCTGACAGCACATATCAGCTGAACTGTTTACTTTGAATAGTAAGCGTCAGGAAAATTAGCTAGCATCGCTCCCTGCTCACCAACGGAAACCCCCAAAGGGCCAGTGCAGAATTGGAATGCCTCGGCTTCAGGCGAAGCCACGTGATAAATGAAGGACGTGGAGCCAATGACGGGGATGGGAGCCACATCGAAAGGGGTCGTACTGTACTCTCCACGGACCTGGGTGTTGGTTTGTCATATTTATCACCGACTTTCTCCGAGGCCCGAGTTGAGGAGTGCAACATGACAAATCAGGGGGATGACGGGAGTCGGCCGCCCGAAATTAAGCAAACGGTCCGACTCAAAGCTGAATCCTCGTACAGGCTGGTTTAGCCTATGAGGCGCATCGGAATTTACCCAGCCCCCTTTCACTAGACTGCATATGTCAGGTGAGTCCGGCACCCAGATGAGTTGTCCAGAGCGCTCAATCTTATTCCGGTCTTTGGCGCCTTGGCACAGTAAGCTGGGCTAAGCGAGGTTGAGGTATTGGCTACTTGTTCGGCTGGGCTCACCTGGGTTCTCGCTTGGCCAAGCGAGAACCCAGGTGAGCCCAGCCGAACAAGTACGGAGTATTCAATTGTCATCAATGCCACGCAGGGCTGAGAGCTCAAGGGTCATGGAATTGTGGTTTGTTACCTCGAAGAGGTAAGGTTCAAATTTCGAATTTGTGAGTATATAAACATCACTGTTCAACTTCGAAGGAGTGAGATGTAGTTCAAGTCACTTGAACAGCAGTTGACAACATGTTGAAGCTCGCAGCAGCGTTTGCGCTTTTGCTGAGCGGAGCATCCGCTATACCAGCTCCTGACAATGGAAACGCCAATCTCTTAAAACGTGCTACAACCTTCTGGTACGCCAACATGGATCATACAGGTCAATATCGCGGATATGCACCGGATCTTGACCCAGACTTTTCATACCCAGTATTCCAAGCTGTAAATCCAGGAGATGGGGCCTCCATTCAAACAGCTATCAATTCTGGAGATGGCACCAATCCCACTCGTCATGGAGAATGGCTAGCATCTCAGCCAAGAGTAAGTGCACGCGGAAAAGTTGTAGGCCAAGGTAATAACAACTTCTCTAGGTCGTGTATATTCCTCCTGGAACGTACACAATCAGCAAGACCATCTATATGAATACCGACACCATTCTTATGGGTGATGCCACGAATGTGAGTTCTCCTATAAGAATTATCGCTATACTTGCTAATTCATCTGCTCACTAGCCTCCTATTATCAAAGCCGCTGCAGGTTTCACTGGTGACCAGACTCTCATATCTGGGCAGGATCCAACAACTGGTGTTTCAGGAGAGCTTTCTTTCGCCGTCGGATTGAAAAATCTGATTCTTGACACAACCGCAATTCCTGGAGGTGAACAATCTCCATTTTGCATGTTCCGTTGAGTTGTTATTGACACTGAGAAGGAAATACGTTCACGGCGCTCTGGTGGGGTGTTGCCCAAGCTGCTCAACTGCAAAATGTCAAGATCACTATGTCAGCCTCTGTCAATGGCAATGGCCATACAGGTATTCACCTCGGGAGAGGTTCTACTCTTGGCCTCGCTGATGTGCGCGTTGAGCGTGGACAGGTAAGGCTTCAAGTCTGGAGTGTATCGGTGAGGTAGTAGATGCTAACAGAATCAGAATGGTATCTGGCATGACGGGCATCAGCAAGCGCTGTATAAAAGCATCTACTTTTACCAAAACACCATTGGTATGCTCATTTCTGGAGGCAACACTATCTCGATTATTGCTCCTACGTTTGACACCTGTGGAACCGGGGTCCGAAATACTGGAGGCTCCCCTTGGATTGCTTTAATTGATGCCACCTCCATAAATTCTGGTGTTACTTTTGTTACGACTGTTTTCCCGTCTTTCCTCATTGAGAATCTCAGCAAAGATACCCAGTCAGACATCGCCCAAGTCAATGGTGCCACGGTACTCGGTGCCGCAAGCCACGTAGATACCTTCACCTATGCGAATACAGTTGGTCGCAATCCGACTTACGGCGCCACGACCTCTACAAACGCCCGTCCCGCTGCTCTTGCCCCAGGTGGCAAATATCCCGTGCTGCCCGCACCCAACTACGCAACCAACCCCGTCACGGACTTCATCAATGTCAAGGATCCGTCCCAGAATGGTGGCCACACAGTGCTAGGTGACCACTCTATCGACGAATCCGGAGTTTTGAACCAGGTCCTACAGTATGCTGCTACCAACAACAAGATCGCCTACTTCCCATTTGGCAAGTACCGAGTTGACTCAACTCTGCTCATCCCGAAAGGGTCTCGCATTGTGGGAGAAGCCTGGGCCACTATCACCGGGAATGGCGCCTTTTTCAAAGACGCTTCGAACCCAAAACCAGTTGTGGCAGTTGGAAATGGAGGCGATGTTGGCACCGCTCAGATCCAGGATATGCGTTTCACGGTCTCCGATGTCCTCCCAGGCGCCATCATTATCCAGTTCAATATGGCAGGTACTTCTCCGGGTCAAGTCGCACTCTGGAACTCTCTGGTTACCGTTGGCGGTACCCTTGGGGCCAGCGCGCTCACAAACTCCTGTGGTGATGCGAGCAACGAGTGCAAAGCCGCCTTCCTTGGTATCCACCTTGCACCCACCTCTTCCGCATATATCGAGAATGTGTGGAACTGGGTTGCGGACCACATCACCGAGAGCTTTTCTGGGGGGTCCAACATAGCTGCCAAAGGCGGCGTGCTCGTTGAGGCGACAAAGGGAACTTGGCTCCATGCATTGGGCAGTGAACATTGGTGGTTGTATCAGCTCAACTTGCGGAAGGCAAGCAACGTGATGGTGTCTCTCCTGCAGAGCGAGACAAACTATGATCAAGGCGACCACACACAACAGATTCCACCAGCCCCTTGGGTAGCGGATGTAACGAACTGGGGAGACCCAGATTTCTCATGGTGTGGTGGCGGCGATACGCGCTGTCGAATGGGGTTTGCGAATTATATCCAAGGCGGTTCGAATATTTACACTTATGCGTCTGCTTCGTGGGCATTCTTCAGTGGGCCAGGATACCAGGCATGCGCTGGTCAATATCAGTGTCAAGGTAAACTATGTATAGAAAACTCTTCCTCGAGTGCTTTGCTGACTCCCGAAATAGACTATATACATTGGATCACATCAACCCCGACAAATTTACAGGCTTTTGGGCTGTGCTCCAAGGACACGTATGCAACGTTGCATTTGGCGGACGGTACGAATCTCGTGACTGCGAATGGTTGGACGGGATCTTGGCCAGGTTCTGGAGGTGACGTTGGACGGTATACGGCGTAGTAGGCCTGGGCTCATTGTCATTCGACCGTATATCAAAGTAGCTCTTGGAGAAAGCGGTCAGAGATGCATGCCTATGGTGAAATAAAATTAATTAATTGCTGTTGTCCATGTTATGTTCGCGTCTCTTGTGTGAAAAGCTCCCCACAAAGCGGAACTGGCGCGGGAGCCAAGGAGGGGCTTTCCGTGATATGAAGCAGAGGCGAAACGAATCCAGTGTATCGAACTTTCTTATAAGCAGTACCTTGTGCCTGTCCGCAGGCGCAACTTATGTAATCGCAGAGCCAAGAGGCTCTCAATCGAGCCCTTCCTTCGGAGAAGCTTCCTTCTCCACGTCAATCTCAACCTCAGCAGCCCTCGCCATCTCTCTTTCCGGATGCCATCCATTCCTACAAATCTCCACTGCTCTCTTAAATCTCTCATTCTGACACAGCCTCTCCAACCTCTCCTGCAAAACCTCAATCCTTGAACCCCGCAACCTTTCATTCTCCCGCAAGTTATCCAAGCGAGCTTGTGTTCTCTCAACCACAACTTCGAAAGACGGTCCTCCAACACAGCGCCCTATAGAAAACATAATCGCCAAGGCAAAGAATCCATACACTGCGATGACGAAAAGGACGAATATTGTAGTGACGACCGACTCGATGGCCTGTCCCACGAAACCACCGAGCAGGCCATTGACAAACACAGCCGTGGGTGCAATGACGTGAATGAGCGCAACGCGGACTGGATAGGTCTCGGACGGCGAAAAAGAGTATGGTCTCTCTGGGGCTTCGACAACGATGCTTGACGTGTCAGAGCCTTGCATCTCGAGCGTGAGGAGCGCTCTTCGACCAGGACGTCCCGCAACCCGGACCTCCATCCTCCGCAGAAAATCTTCCCCATCCCCTTCCACGGTCCAAGTTATGTCCACGAGGAATTGTGGATCGTCTTTTTGTATCCACCAGTATAGCAGTACCGCGTCTGCGAACTCGAACCAGGGGAGATTGGCCCCGTCTCGGTCTCCGATTCGTGCTGTGGCGTTGATCTGCTCCGTGACGCTGTCCACCGTCTGACCTTGCTTAAATATTGGCAGTGGATGGTCGGCACCATCGATTGTGATTGTGAGGTCGTTCATGTCCAGCTTGTAGTCGATTGCGAAGCCTTGTCGATTATTGTGTTCGATGCGAAAGTAATGGGAGCTAGAGAATCCTGTATTAGCTTGTGCTGCACAGGAGAAGGATACTGGCGGCACTTGCTCATATACTCTGGTAAGGGTCTTGCCAGCGCGCAATCGAGATGTGGCATGAATGCTGCCATTGTCGGGGTCGTGGTCTCGCAATGGAGAGGGAATGAAGGCCCAGAGCAGCGCGAGAACGAACCAAGCCAGCACGGCAGACAAGATAACGCGCAGCACAAAACGAAAGAGTTTCCATGGTCCGTAGGCCATTGGGGACTTTCTCTCAGATGAGGGCATGATGCTGAAGTTGTTGAGGTTGCGCCATGAGTTCTCGAAGGAAATTTGAAGCAGCTATGTTGAGGCGAAAATACGGGGTAGTGAGGCTGTGCACGGTGGGGCAGGATGCCCCTGGAAAAGCTATTATTAGGCACCTTTGGCCGAAGATCCTGCCCCACTACCCCTGACGTTAACCGAGGACGGAGTAAACAATAACCATCAGAGCATCATAATCTTATAAGAATAAGTGCTCAAGGAATTGCGGTGGGTGGATGGAAGAACCAAAGTAAATGCTTACGTGGCTAAAACTCCAATGAGTTTCTACCTCGAGTTTTTCTCCATCCGAGAAGGACTCCTCGGACACGACGTCATTTCGGAGTCGGAGCGAACAACTCGCTCAGTGATCGTCAATAGGACGAGGGAACAGAGCATGTCTACTGATCTGAGAATCACTCCTGCGGCAAGAAAAGAACAGGGAGTGCGGCTTCAGGTATTGAATTGATCCGGTTCACGTTCGTACTCATGCTATTCCGACTTCAATAAAGCAAAGCGAAAGTCGACTGATCAACAAGACGACCTTTCCAAACTCAACCTCTCACTCGCCTCTCGCCAACTTCTCCATCTGCTCCCTCATCTCCGCCTCCCTCTTACGTCCCTCCTCTCCAAGCGCCTCACCAAAATCCTCCATCTCCGCGATACGTCTGACCTCAAGCACCCCGCACCCCTCCGGACACTTCCGCGCCCACTCCACCGCCTCCTGCACATCCTTGACCTTCAGAATCCACCATCCTGACACCAGTTCATTCGTTGGGAAAGGGCCTTCTTCGACCTTGGGAGACGCGCCCGGAGTGATGCGGACACTGTCGCGGGAGCTGGGGACGAGACCTTCGCCTGCGAGGAGGACGCCGGCAGCGAGGAGGGACGCATTGTAGGTGCCCACTGCGGAGAGGATTTCGGGAGTGGGCTCGGCGGCGCCTTCCGAGGAGGGGGTAGCGCGGACGAAAACCATGAAGCGGGGCATTTTTGGAGGGGAGTTGGTGGTTGTTTGGGCTTGATTGAGAGGGTGTCTGGTCGATTTTGATGCTTTTCGAAAGGTGTTTGATGGAGAGAGAAGTGGTGTCGTCTTGACTTGTGCAGGTGAATAGAATGCTCAATTGACGAAAGCTATGGTTGATTTTTAACTCGTTTGCAGATGTCGAAAGGAGGTGAGTTGAGCTCAAAGTGAGCGGACTGTAATGAGAATAAATATGTCTAGTCTCGAAGACGCCAAGCTCTGCTACGTCCGTACTCATGCCCTCCTTGACGCGATATGCAGGAATTAAAAGCCACGGCAAGGCAGCAAGCAGCGCGTGAAGCGCACGAACTCCCGTGATCAGCAGTCGGGAGTGATTAGTGATCAAAGCCGGTGCAGGTATTCGGGATTATTCTGCCCGAATCTGACAATCTTTCAATATTGCAGAAGGCAAATGCAACTTCCTGACTCACAATGCAACCTTAGCAATGGGAGGAAAGTGTGTGGCGTTAAATATGACCGGAACTCTACAAGGAGACTTCTTTACTTTCCCCGCGAATTGATTAGGTAAGCAGACTGCAGGATACGGGTGATAGACCAATCATCGACCAGCTCGCGTAAGTTCCTAACACAAGCGAATATTCCGGTTACAACCTCACTTCATCAAGAAGAGCATCTTTTCACTTCAATGCCTTTCTTAACAGGCGAATGACAATTGGCATTTTGCTAGAGCTGGAGGCTCAATTTTGCACAGCCATTTACGCCCTCAGACACAATACAACAACCAACCACCCTTCATCGTCGGTGTACTTTATGACTTGGTGTATTCGAAAGAAAACAGTGATCTTCTAGCAAGAAAACTCCCCAGCCTAGGTGCATCCCACCCGCGATTTGAAACAGAGCTCGATAATCTTCATCGAATCAGCGGGAATCAGGGGCGGCAAATACAGCCTCCGGGCCATAAACTATGGGACCTTCGCCGCCATATTCAGGAGCAATTTGCGGATGCCACGCTATCCAAGGATCCCTATTACACGGAAGATCGAGAGCTATTTGCAGCCGTATGCCTGTAATTGGCATCGAATCCACGGAAATACAATAACAGCCTCAAAGTCGCCGAAATGACCAAAAATCGAAGATGTTGCAGAGGCAGACAGCATAATCAAGGAGGTTCAAACATAAACCTGGACACATTGGGCAAGTTAAAAGCAACGGGACTGGAGCTGCAATGGAAGCGCTACCAGCATGGAGTTAAAGATCATGGGGACCTCCTTCCCTTTCTGCGAAAGTAATAGGCGTTCTCCGGACGCTCGGCTTTCCATCACGGAGGACGACCGTGAGCCCTCGGAATTATCACTTTGCCAGTTTCCTCTCCAAGCCTCATGTTCTCTAAAAAGCGGCCCACGAATGCCGCCACTTCGCACAACGATAATTCAAGCAGAATCTCTGCCTTCAGAAGAGGAACTCCCGCTCACGGCATACCTTTGAATCTTGACACGGCATCCCATCAGGATGTCTAGTAGAGGGCACGACTGCGCTATAATCATGGGTGATGTCATGGAAACATCGATTTGGGGGAAGCTAGCTTTCTCGGAGACTGCAGATAGAGTGTGGCACGGTGGCATATATGTATGTGATGGCGCATCAAGCGTTTGACGGGGAATTACCAGGGCAGAGAGGGGAATTGAGGGTGGTCTCGTGGAGGAGTGAATTAATTTTGGTGGAAAGCTGAAGGGCATGCGTCATGGATTTGCAGGACACGTCTTTTCACTTTTTCTGAGATATTCGTATGTACAGATTGAAGAACTCTGAAAATTCACTCCCGACTTCCTCCCAGAACACAGACTTGCAAAACCAACCCAACCCATGCATCGAGACTTGACAGCTTTCGGATGATGTGTAGATTATGCCACGTAAGGCAAGGTACTCTACAGTGATGAAAACAAGTCAGCGGGTTAGCATTGCGAATCGAAGGGGAGGGGAGCTTACCTCAAAAGCGAAGGACAAAAGACAGATCGGGTTTTTGGTTCTCCACATTGGGTGGATACTAACACTCACGCCACGAGAAGGCAAACCCATGTGAGCGCCCGGCCGGGCCCTGTAAAACTGTCAGCAAGTCGCAGGCGAGACCCCGCGCTGAGACTTCCGATGTTGAGATCAGAAGCCCGTGGGCAGCAGAGTCTTCCAGTTTCCTGACGCGAGGGTGCCCCAGGGGTGCCGTCTCGCGAAGATTGGGTCCGGCTGGGGCCCGATGAAGCCGTACTCGCGCGCCCTGCCGACGATGGCCTTTCATTGAGGGCTACACAAAGGCCCCGAGAGAACGTGACCCCATACGCTGGGTGTGTCCCGAAGGACCGAGGGTGGCGAGTCCTCGATAGCCGTAGGCAGCTGGGTGGTCACTTCACCCCTACGCTGGGTGCGTCCCGGAGGACCGAAGGTGGTGAGCCCTCGATAGCCGTAGGCAGCAGAGGATCCTCTCCCGGTGCCTCGCAGTTTTACGTTCTGCGGTGCGCCATCGTCGGTCGACTAGTGTCAAACGGAGGAGTGGAACGCGATACTGACCCGCGATCGAGGGAGACGCCGCGCTTGCACCCTTACCTTCCTCCCTCGCGACTGTGAGGATGAAAGCGAGCCTGTGTTGCGGTCAGCATGATGTTGATGATCAGTTGAGGATGGGATGGTAGCAGAGAAGGGATGGGGTCATACCATGAAGAGGTGGTGATGCTGGCGTTGCGTGGTACGCGCTGGTGGGCAAATAATTGAGGAAAAATTGATGTTGTGGGAAGGAAGAATTGGCGAAAAAAGACCTGCTTAAATAGAAGAGGCCGTGATGGCAGATCAACCACTTTGAATTTGCGCTAAGCCTTTTTTGATTTGTGCGAGCTCTCCTATGCTAGAGAAGGCAGCCAATCATTTTCTTTAGTGAGCAAATCCGACCTCGCTGGCGCCAATTAATCCTCATCAACAACTTCATCTGCCAGGGCCCCACCTTTCGCGAGATTTCGAGAGCCCTGGCTGGCTATTGAGGAAGGATAAAGATGTTAGCACGGTCATTTGGCTTGCAGAAGTCACTTCAAACTTTCTTGCCTGAGAGAGGCTCACCTCCGCTTCACCTTCACCCCCTTCCCCATCACTGCCCTGCCACAAATGCGACCTGTGACCGACTTGATCCCTACTGGGACATTTCCACCGACGAAGCTGCACTACATGGAGATGCAACACACGACCAATATTCTTCTATTATATCATGGCCATACCGCACTGAAGGCCTGGAGCTTTTCAAAGTGTTTGAAAAGCGTTTCTTAAGTAATCATTTCAAGATATCTCACGTCACGCTCCTTTCACACTTGCCACAACTCCTTCAGTCTTTCTCATCCTATATTTACTTTAATCTCCATGTGTTCTCTTGTAATTAAATCTCATCGAAACCTTCCCCCGCTCTGTTGATCAACAGTAAAAAGGGGGTCTGCCAAGCCTTAAGCGAGAATTGTAAGCTGTTGGACTCAAATAGCCGGGCAGGGGAAATAGGTAAATGCATCTTCAGACGGTCATCTCATGATAAGGTGGGCCTTTCTGATAATTTCATTGATCCAAAATAGGTAATTGACGAATCACTGCGTCTGTTGGGGCATAGGACAGCGGGGTGTTGAACACTCCGGGCCGAGCCTGGCCTGACATGGAACTGCACTTTCACACGAAAAGAAGAAAGAAAGAGGAGGGTGTTCGTAGATATTTAAAAGCACCACAATGGTTGCAACAGATCCGTTCTTCTCCTTGTTGCAACTGGCATTCACACACACAGGAAACATGGGTTTCCGGGCTTTAGGCCACACATGATAATCCTTGCCAGGATATCATGACAAGCATCTGCGGCAGTAAGAGCTGGGTAAAGACATGAATTCCACGGGAGGTTGTACTTTCCCAAATCGAGTAGAGAAAGAAAAGTATTGGTTCATGAGAATACCCAGATGAAGGTGACCGAGAGAATATTGACAAATAAACAGCAGCTACAAAAACGATCCGATGCAAAAGTGTGACCAGGTCTTCCGCAGCCAATTTATCACGCTGTGTTCTCAGAGAGAGAGAGAAGGTGAAAATCAACCAATTAGAAGATGCTGCTCAATCTAGGATTTCAGAGATCATTTTTCGTCGACTCTGAATTATTTCAACCACAGCATCAACATAGCAAGCATCAGGAGCAGCAAATGAAATGTCCGCAAGACTTCGTGACCTCGGCTTAAGTCCATAGAATTGACCTACCAGTTCCCTATTGGCATCCACCACAATACCAAGACGGTGTGGTGTGTAGGATTTCCGAGTTCGTCGCTGACCTGGACAAACTCTGCGGCTGAATTTCTCCATCCCACCAACGCCCCTCCCCATGGCCTTCAAATTAGACCTCAAGCAAAGCTAAGAAGACCTTACTAACAGCCAAGCTAACCAAACTACATGCAACCCCCACCTCATTCCAGTCCAGTCTCAACACACAAAAGTGTCAGGATAGTTGAGCTGGAGCAGCTACCCCTCTCCAATGTACCTATATCAGTTTCAAAACACCCCACCACTCGCCACTTCATCTCGGCATCACAGCTCTGCCTGAACGGCTCTGAAGCAAGCCTGCGACTGCGCTCATCGAATCGTCACACACAATCGTAAGCTGACCCGCCGGAGAGGCACGGCAAGTGTGTATCCCGTGAACTTATTAAGCTGCGCCGGCCAACTGCCCTTCAAATGCGTTCCACGTCCCAGTCAAAACCGCAAACTCCAAACTGGGAACTGGAAACTTCAAACCACAAACCGCAGTATGCGAGATGCGAGATGCGAGATGTGAAGTTCGGGATGAGAGGGTGGAAGTGAGATACTGGTACGAAGCGCAAAAAAAGGGGTATTGATTCTACCGTCTCATTTATTTATAGACCCTTGTCAACTCCCTTTCATCGCCTCCCAAGTTCCCAATCCTGTCCTTTCCCATGCCCATTCCCCATCATAAGTCATCCTAAGCATCTAAGGCAGTCCCATAAACAAATCTAGCATAGCAGGATAATTCGGCGTCCCCAAACCCGTAACCGGGTCCCACCCCTGGACGCTCAAAAAGCCCTTCGTGCCACACCCCTTGTTACCTCCAACCGTGATATCATGCAACACCTGCGGATTCGCGTACAACGTGGGATTCAAGAACCCCACGGGACTCTTCCTTGCCTCTATCCTTTGAGCATTAATCATGTTAACTAGCGATGCAAAGGTAGGGCAGGAGGCTGAGGTGCCGAAAGTGAGAGAGAATTGCCCGTCGACGGCAACGACGTAGTTGACGCCATTTGCCGAGACGTCAGGGTAGCCGCGCACGGTTTGCGAGTTGTTGAAGCGGTCGGCGCCGTAGGGGGGCATGTGCGAGGCGAAGTAGGTTGCCATGGCGGTCTTCTGGTACGATGGCATGGGGAAGACATTGGAGAAGCCGCCGCCGGAGAAGATGACACGCTCGGATGCAGATTCCGGGGAGTGGACGGTAGAGCCGTTGAGGATTTGGGTTGCACCGACGGAGGTGATGTACGGGCAGGTGCCGGGGAAGGAGGGGTTGAAGAGCCCAGTGGAGCCGTTGTTGTAGGCGCCGGTAACGGGGTTGATGCATTGGCCCGAGTTGCCTGCGACGCCGAAATCGCCCGAGGAGTACAAGATTGAGACGCCTTGGAGGCCGAGCTTCATGTATTCGAGGCATTGTCGCTGTTCGTACTTGGCAGTCAAATCTGCTTCATTAGAACTGTAGCTAGTGGAGATGACGTTGGTGGTCTGCACTGAACCGCAATTTTCAGGTCCCTGGAAGCCACCTGGAAGTGTGTCGGGATATTGTCCATCGATGTTGGGATCCTTGGAGTCACCGCCTTGGAAGGTGCAATAACTTCCATCGAGGGCGTCTAAGAAATTGTTGAAGCTGCCGCCGTTGACCAAGTCACCAACCTGATACATTGTCACCTTTTGCGGGAAGATGAGGGACATGGCAAACTGCAAATCTAATGCCGACTCGCCATTGAAGCTGAAGCTCTGGTTCTTCGTTTGGATAGTCGCCCCGTCAATCAGATTTGTGTTTGGTGAGACACCAACCTGTTTAGGGGAGAATTGCTTGAAAAACATGTCCAAATCGGACTGCAGGAAGGCTTGAGGTGTGTATTCCACGACCCCAAGAGTGTTGTTCGGTATTGACAAAGCATTTGGTGGGGCGTTGTAGAGCGCTTGTAGACAAGCTGGAGTGATCATGGTATCACAATTTTCCAATGTCATCAAAGCATTCTTGATTTCTGCGCCATGTTTTGGATTCGAGGCATCGAGTTCAGAACCGAGCGTGCCATGAAGCGGTCTCGATGAGAAATCTCTCTTCGCCATTCTCCTGTTCAATTCCAAGATGGGCTCTGGCAGGTTTTGGTGATGTATGGTTTTTCTGGTCGATCCGATTCGTGTGTCGAAATGGACTGTTGGCGTCACAATGTCGATGTGATCGGTAAGATGATGAGGAACACTGTATGACTCGCAAGCAATGTGATTGTGGCCCATCTCGTGCTTGTATAAGTGGTACTCCGTCCTCAGAAGTCTCTCGGCCTCGGCGACTGTCGCATTGAAGTTCAACCAATTCCTCGAATTCGACATCTTGATCCTGCTGGGATCGATTCCCGACGCATGCAGCCATTCCATGACAGCAGAAACTGCCTCTGTTGTAGGTGCAAACATGTCCGCCACTTTCTCCTTCGACCAGTGCTTGCCATAGTCGGGTGAGTCGGGGTGCGCAACTTCATTAACAAACTCCTCGGCACGATGCAAATTCTGCTGCGCCAGGCCAATTCGGAAAGGAATAGTTGCTGCCGGGTGTAAACGAGTGTGGCGAGACCATCTTGGAGGAGGTTCGGATCGGCGTTCGTGGACTACGTGCCTTGTGATCGTTGAAAGGGGTGACGCAGTCACCGCTACCGCCAGGGCAGCGAGTATCTGAAAAACGGCCTCGATGCGCATCTTAACCTTCCCTCCCGGTGCGAGGCTAGAGCACCAGAAATCTGTCGGTTATGGCAGTGGGCCATTATATGTATTACAACCCCATGATAGCTGGTCCCGCGGCGAGCGGTTGAGTTAACCCTACAAGCCACGTTTGAAACCAAGCCAAAAAGTACATGGAGAATGAGACAGCCGGTGACAATCCTTCCCATATTAACGTGATGTCAATTATTGAGCAGTCGTGGCCTCGGTGGCCCGGAATGCAAATAGCATCCGCCCTCAAACGAGTTGAGTTTGTGAAGGTGCTCGATAAGATACGGCATGGACGGCATCCCAGTAAAAGTCCAGCTTCCAGAACCGTCCGAGTTTCACCGCCCCGAGGCAAGCATTCGCTTCGCACGATAGCGCAGATCTTATGCGACAATTCGAGATGCAGAGTACGAAGTAATCGCACGTACAAAATACCGGCGGCTGGTACACGGCTCACCGGATGGGCGCAGACAAGGTATCATCAATCAATGTGGAGGTGATTGAAGACGAAGTGGAACACAGACTTCAGATGAAGCGATCCTGACACGCGAATGTACATTCAGGGACCACGGGATTTGAGCTTGGTATACTTGTCCCAAGTTTGCTTCTGCAGTTCGCGCTGCTCACTGATTATTTGCCAAAGCTCGTCATTCTCCTTCCGAAGCTTGTCATCTCCGCTGGGAGATGTTGCCGAAGGCCCGGAAATTCTTGAGATGGAATCCTCAAGCAATTCTAACGAGAACCCCGGAGTGGAGACGGCATGACCAAAGGCACTATTGCCCATTGATCCAGTCAGTTGGGCCGTAAAGGTGTAATTGCTCTCACCAAGCTTGGGCTTCACCACGGTTTGTGGCCTAGTCAATCTCGTTTCCGGAAACGGGGCTAACATGAAGAGATTAGTGACAGGAGCATTCAGGTCAGCAAGCTCGGCGGAAAAAGAACGTCTTCCAGTATCCCATTGAGCAATTTTGCCTGAAGAATGTCCCGTCAGAAGATAAGTCCCATCGTAACTGAGCCCGATGCACAGAGCTGCGCCTGCTTCCAATGGAGCTGTCCATGGAGGAAGGGTGATTTGCACCGGCGTAGTTTGCTGTCGGGTGTCATAAAGCGGATTGAGTATAGAATCTGGCTGGATGAACTCAATCAGTTGCACTGAGCTGTCCTCGAACCCAACGTAGACTGCCCGATCGCACGGATCTAGAGCTAAGCAGAGTGGCGTCGACGAGAGAAGAAATGTCCGAAGGAGATCTCCGGAATGGTAGTTCCAAACAATGACCGTATTATCCTTGCCAGATGAAACACAGATGTTTGTAGTACTGGAACTGTGGCCCACGGCCAGGTGTATTACTGCCGCACGGTGGTTGGACAGACTCCGCAGAGGCTCGTGTGTTTCCTTCCACGACAGAGACAAAAGGCGCGGAACCGACCACACATGGATATTCGAGTCTTCGGAGCCGGACACAAGATGCCATTGACTCGCGGCCAGACACGAGACAGCTTGCAAGTGTGAGGTGGGAGTGGACACTTGTCTGCCGGTACAAACCTGCGAAGAATCAGCCTTGTCTCCCGTACGTGCTCGATCACAATTTCAAGACAAGCTCAGCTCACCTCCCAGAGTATAACCCGCCCTTCCGCTGTTCCAAGAGCTAAAACCCCATCCCCAATTAATGTCAAGCTCTGTATGCGTTCTGGAAACGAGACCAAGGACTCCTGGTTTCCCCGCTCCCTCGAGTACACATGAACGACAGCCTTGTCTGCCTGGGCAGCGAAGATGTGGGTGGTGCTGACAGCCAATGCATTGACAGGGGTCGAGCTCTTCTTGAAGGAGGATTTGATCGTGTGGTTCGGATGCAATTCGTGAAGATATATTCCAACATCCTTCGCGATGGCGGTATGGGCAGATTTGGGCTGCGCCCGAATGGATGTAACAAAGGCTTCCGATAACATGGTCTCGGTTGGCGCGAGGCCGCTGAAACGCGTGCACTGGTCTCCTTGTATGCTGGTATCTTCACGGGGGGGTGTTCTAGGGAGAAATTGAGCTGTCGAATATCAGTGCTTGGGGGCTATTTCTGTGTGCCAATCGCGAGAAGGTCAGGATGAGTGATCTGCAGGAGAGAAGGCTCTTGAAGGTTGGGAAGTTGTTTTGTTGGACAGAATTGCGCGAGAACACGAGAAGAGTGCGCACAGAGCGCTGCGCCGGTGAAGCTGCAACGAAGAAAATTGAAGATCTGCGAAGGAATTTGTTTGGTGTTTTGCTTGTTCGCCAAACAAGAAAAAAAGCGGGCACGCCAACCTCGCTTCAGTCAGCACTGCCAGCTCAGCTCCCATGCACTCACGACTCGTATCCTCTCCCTCTCCCTCCTCTCCTTTCCTTCTTCCTCCATTTCTTCGCCTGTGCCCCATTCGCTCAACTCGTGCTATACCTCCTCCTTCCAATCCACGAAGAATATCAATTTTGTTGCTTTTGTTCGTATTGCGATTTTCTAGCGCAGCTGAAAGCATCTTACGAGATTGACTCCACCCTGTCTCGCTGTTCCCCTTCTCTCTGCGCACCAATCGACCCCTTGCTGCGCTGCCAATACTCGCACCTGCACCCGCACCCCCCTATCCAATATTCCCCTAAGCCGATGTATCGCTTTATCTGTCAGCCACAAGATCTTCCCCGCAGTTGATCCTGAGGCCAGGCTCGCTGATCTGCGCTGGGCAAGTGCCACATACTGCGCCTCTGGTTGCTTTTCCCGTCCCGTCCCGATTCGTCTCGATTCATCTCACACGCCAGACGAGTCGGCGACCGAGGCTGGCTTTTCGGCTTCCAAGAGGCGCAACTTAAAACCTGCAAGGAGAGGCTCTCATGGTATCCTGTTCAGATGATGGGCCCTGCCACCCATCGATTTTCGCCCAGGTGAGGCAACGCAATTTCGCTAGGGCGCCACACACAAAGTCATTGTGGTCGTACCAAAAACGCCCCTCATATTGCCGTGCCCGATTCACGAACCCAACAGCTGGTGAGACACTGATGATCATCCTAATGGAAGCCCCTCCCGGTCACCCACAACGTATGTGAACTGCATATCATGTACCACTTGCCCCGACAAGAACTTTCCACTGCCGCATATCAAACCTCTTCCCGTTTGTGCCACGATGCACGCGATCGAGCAGTCAACGTTAGAAGACTCCTGCAGTGCTGAAAAGCACGCATCCTATCACCACATAACGAGATCGGTCCCAGGAATGAAAAGTCTCCTACCGTTGAGACTGTTGTCTCCGATCGATGTTTGGCCGTCATCTGCTCCTCATAACCGATCGACTTTCGGGATGAACATTGTTTCAACCGATGAGGATGGAGATGGAAGCTTACCGGGAAAACTAGCCGACGAAAATGACTTGGAATCGAGAGCTGAACATCATCGTCTGAAGCCGTATCGCGATGTCCCCATCTACTCAGAACCCGGATCGCCTCTCCTCAACCGTGCCTACCTTACCGACGAGGAAGTCCATTCCAATTGTAGCACATCTGAATCCGAGGAATGGTTCGAAATCTATGATTACCTGGGGATGGAGCGTGAAGCTTCAGAGTGTGTTGATGAATCCAGTACAATCAAGGTAGCTCTCATCACTATTTTTGACTACCGTATCAATGCTGATCTGGAGCAGGGACCTATAGAAGACGAAGTCCAGGACGACCTCAAGACTGTTTCAGAACCATCAAAACACCGCACGTCACCAATGGACCGCAACTCGGCGATGTCTTTTCAATGCTCTGGCGAAGCCGAGGCGCTCTTTTCCAATGAAGCTGCATGGCTCCGAAGCCCGTTGAGCTATCATCATCCTGGAAAAGCTTCAAGGCTGCTACTTCGAAGTTCAAGCGTGCCGTTCGAGCAAAATGTCGAAAGTTGGCTAAGTGATACAAGTAGCTGCGGGGATGATCGTGAAGATTTGTTGGTGAGTCTCGTCTGTCAGTAAAGTTGCCAAATACCGACTAACAGTCCCAAGTCTCGCGCCACATGCCTTGCACCTGTCAAAGCCCATGTGATCGACGTCAATTCCAACCGCCCATCTGACCTCTCAATTCAAGTTCCGCCCAGGTCATCGTCTTTGGTCGGGACTACCATCATTCATGTTCCCTCAGAGAACAATCGAGATAGTTGGCTGTATTCTGCGTACAGCCCGCCAGCCACCCCCTCCCAGCCGTGGACGTGCGTCCAAACTAGTTCACCAAACCCAAATCTGTTTCAGAGAGAATTCGATCCTCATATGACCAAAAGACGCCTCGATCTCGCTATGACGAGTCCGCCTGACTCTCCACCGCAGGGTTACCGTGACGCCTTGGGCGCGCCACCAACTTGGGGGACACCAACCTCCACAAGTCCTGAGCAAAAAGCATACGACGGCGGCCAATCTACGCATGCCGATCAGGCCGGATTGGACGCCGAATCCATCAATAATATTCTCACGGCACTTGAGAACCTAACTTCTCACCTTCCTTCCGGCACATTGCAGCCTGACACGCCATGCATTCGCGCCATTCGTTCACAACTAGTACCACCCTCAGCTATACACCAACAGTCAACCCCAGCAAACGCACTACATATACACCCCTTTCCTCACCCATCCCCTCCACCACCAGACATCACCCTCAACCGCCGCAAAACAACAAATTTCTCCAAACCGCGCCGCATGCCATCAGCCGCAACCTCGAAATCCTGCCCGGTTCCGCGAAACCCCCCACCACCCACACCATCCCTTCCAAACCTCCACTTCCCACACCCAAACCCAAACCCAAACTATCAGCAACCCCTCAGGCTTCCACCGCCAGATACGCAACCGCTTCACCGCATCTTCCCCAAATCCTCAAAATTCATGCGCTCTTCGCTCTACGCATACATCCTCGCACACATCTTCCTAAGTTCCCTTTCCACCCCGCCTGGGCATGAGACACCGAGGTTCCCGAAAAAGAGAAGAGATACGCCGTATTGGCCAGCAACAGACGTGCCGTCCAAGGCGGCTGATGTCCTCGGTATTGCGTACCACCAACCTGTGAATGAGGATATTGATTTCAACAGCAGAGTGGAGGGAGTGAAGGACAGGATCGGGAAAGCGATTGCAGGCTTGGTTGTGGAGATGGAAGTTGATGGGTACCGAGAGGGGTTTGATGCCGGGGTTGGGTTGTTGTTTATCAAGAGCCTGGAGGAGGTGGTTAGGGGGTGTGAGATGGATGCTTATCGGGCTTTTTGAGCAAATCCATCTGGGTTTCTTGATCTTGGTTTAATTTCTGAGAGTACGATATGCTCCTCAAATTACTCAATTCATGTAATCATCGCCATCAATTGCTTGTCTCCAAAATAGTTAGATATAGTCAACATCAATATGAAGACTCGAGGACCCGTCGATTCTACTTCACCAATCCTCATTCCTACAACTTGCTTCCCAAACTGCACCCGGTGCGTGACTACCCCCATTCCCACCCCTTACTTCGCTCGCCGCAATCTCAACCCTCCTTTCCACTTTCCCAAACATCACCCTCGGCCTCGCCATCATGTTATTAGTCACGAAGTCAGCATCACTACCATTTCCCTCGAGCTTGAGTTCGCGCATACGAGGGCTGAAAATAATACACCACCTTGGAGAGAGATGTCCTTCTTTCTAGCTCTCGGAGAATAACGCCATATTACCATATAACCCAGGAACACAAATTATTGAATTGCTGGTTAAGATTACATAAAGACACCCCCTTGGAGAGAATTGAGCCTTCGATTTGTTCTTTGGTATCGAGAGCCTTAATCCAGGTAAATTCGTTAGACAGGGTTGTAGAAACAGTTGGGTGTTCCACATTGGTTGGACTTTTGGTCCAAGTTTTCTTCAGTCAACATTTTCCCAACTCTCCCTCTTCTATTTATTGATATCAAAGATTTTGAAGAACCTTGCCCACATGAGAAATATGCGATGGGTAATACAAATTCTGAGGGGGCTAATCATGTTTAAGGGAGCATCACCAGCATTTTACAGGGCTGTTCCCATGGCGGATTCTATGGTTTATTTCAATTATTTTGATGCTGAGTTCATAACCAGTTGTAAACTTCATTGAGAGAAGTACTAAGTCCTTGCCTAACAAGTTTCAAGACCTCATCCCGTATTTATTCTTCGCTTGTTCCAAGAACCTTTCGGCCGCATTACCAACCCTGTCCTCCAGTCCCGAGGGAAGGACCTCGGCGTCCTTCGCCACCTTCATCATCTTCCCCACGCGGAGGCTTGGCGTCAACTCGTGCCCCTTTCTCCAGGAGCATGGTTGCAATGCCGTGATGTCCTTGCTCTGCAGCGCCATGAAGCGGCGATAGACCATAGTGATTCTTGACTGCCTCCTCTGGTTTCAGGAGCCATATTACAGCATTAAGTTTTGATGCTGTGGGTAGGATGTTCGTATTGTTGGGCAAGTTGGGATCGGCTCCGTATTCAAGAAGCGCTGCAACGGCTTCGGTGTGTCCGCTTTTTGATGCTTTGTAGAGACACGTCTCGCCGCCGAAGCCGCGCCCAATGTTGGCTGATGCGCCGTAGCGGAGCAGGAGGCGGATGGGACGAGGCAGTACACTCCCGCGGACAGGCCTGAGGAAAGAAATGCCATATTTTGCCCGAGTGACAAAACACGCAAGTCCTGGAGTACGTGCTTTCTTCCAAAGTCCGATTGCTAGGTCTAATAGTGTTGCAGAGTACAAATGCTGTAATTATGGGTCGCAAGACTTGGGAGAGAGCATACCTCCATATTCCCGCCATTGAAGGATAGGACGAACGTCGCCATTTCACGGGCCTCCGGAATGGCTGCCGAGGGCGGCAGCATTGTGGTTAGCTCCGTCGAAGGAGCCATAGAAGCGGTAGCAAAAACCGGGATCCCCAAGGCTCTCATTATTGGTGGTACACCATTATAAAAGGCTATACTGGAGAGGGAAGCGGCCAAAAGGATACTTCTAACGAGGGTCCTGAGTGACTTTTAATGCTTCCTTCCTGGTAAAAGTAGTCGAGACTAGGAAGAGCGAAGCTAGGAGAGAAAACTCAAGGCGGAGCTTCATACTTGGGTAGGAGAGCAGGTCCCAGAGGGAATACAGGAGGAGGGTGCGACCAGGTATGTTTTTGAGGTGTTCCAGAAGACCGAACCATGATGCCATGAGCCAAATAACATCCCAACTTTGGAGTCCAGTGGAATGTCTGGTCGCAGGCGACCTTCTTTTGGAGGTAGTGTCTCTTCCTACCTAAATAAACCACAGGGTTTGAAGTCGGTGCCAAGCACCCTGGTCTGTCTGGATTTTCTTATATCTGCTGGCTGAGATGCCGTTTTCATGCCAAGCCACTACTTTGACATCGCAACCGCTATATTTACGTTTGAGGAAGCTGTCCTTTAGTTTTATCGGTGGTCTTGGTTGACCACATTTACATTTCCACTCGAAGAATCCAGAACTTTTGGCTTTGTCAAGTATATCTCACGGCACCATGTCCAAAGGATGAGATGATGGAATATATACAATGTCGAAGAAGATCCCCTCCCAATGAGCTTATTCTAAAAGAAGCTGGCCAAGTGGCAGTGTTTTCTTAGAAGCAGCAACAAACATACCACTCAAATATTAGAATACATGCAAGTCGAATAGTAGGAAGGGCCAAAGCCAAATACCATTAATTTTTCAAAAAGACTGACTTCGATTTCCTTCTTTACAGCCCTACGGCATCAGATTTCTTTTTCTTAAGAATTCTTCCAATCCAAGTTTATCTGTTTACTGAAATATCCCATCACGAACTCTTGGGCCGACTTCTTAAATCATTACAAAACGCCTCTTTCGCACTTTCCAGATCATTCTCCACAGCGGCCTCGTACTTGGCTTTCGCATCCACCTGTTGCAACTGTTTCAAACGTCTCATTGTAAGTTTGAAAGGCTTTGGAAGAGGGGGGTATGTTGCCACGAGTGCAGGTTGCGTGAATTTCATGCCAGTTGAGTCGAGGATCAGCGGTGCAATACTCGCAGTTGATAGGAGGATACGAGGCATGCCTGGTTGCGAGGTCAATTTCATTTGCGGAGGAAAGCAGGCTGTGACCGTGAGAAAAACTTACCGTGTCCTGTGAAACCAGCGGCGAGGAAGTGTCCATCGTTGTTCGGGACTGCACCGATGAAGGGGAACTCGTCAATACTTGATGACATAACTGTGAGATCACTTAGATTTTTGTTGGTGTTATTGAGGGCCAAGGAGGATCGCACCTCCAGACCAGCAACCGCCTTCGTTAACACATCTGTTCAGCTTAGTAGGGATCTCCCCAGGCCAATCAATGATATCTGCCGCCGGCCAGGACTGGTAGAACTCTGGAATTCCCACAAATTGTTGATCCTCGCTGTCGTTGAGAATATAGCTGTGTGGGTCATGGACGAGTAAAGACTTTCCACCACCGACGATTATGGCGTTATAAGGTGGAGGCAGCTGAATGTGATAATTCTGGGGTATCCTATTAACAAATGGTTTGAGAGACGGTGGGAGATATACGTTGACAACGTGGTCCCAATGCTGGGCACCAGTGTGCTTGATGAAACCTTCCAGTGCTTTTATACTTGCTAAAGTTCCTCGACCCCCAAAAATAAGGTTCCCGAATTCTGGTAGGAGGTGCGAGGCCCATCTATTGGTGGCATGTACCACGGTCCTGGTTCGAACATCACCCCGCGGCGTCTTTACTGTAATCCAACCGTTGTCATCTCTTTCTGATACTGCCACGACTGCTGTGTTAGCCTGAAGATTTAGCCTTGCCTTCTCCATGACTATGCGGAGTAAAGCGTGGACAAACTTGTACGGCCATCTGAGTGTTTGTAAGCGACAGTTTCGCTTGGAGGCGGACAGAGTACTTACACCTGGCCTGCAGCATGGACAACTGCCCCAATACATCCCTTCATCTGAGTGAAGCTTTTAGCAGCTTGAGGGTCTTCAATAATTCTACAATCTCTTATCACATCGCCCTCTTTCCCATGGTCCTTCAGCATTATCTCATAAGCATGCTTGAGGCGTGTCCAGGCTTTCTCCGACATTGCTGCATCGAAGGTCTCACCAAGCTTGAGGCAAGCTTCTTCAGCAATACCTTCCTCATTCAGTAGCTCCTTGAATGCCGAAAGATGTGCCATCTCATGCTTGATAACTTCTAGTGCACCGTCCGGCCCAAACCTCTCCGACCATTTTGGGTAGCGAGAGTAAGCATGTGGTCTTAGCTGTCCTCCTACATTAAATTGTGCGCTCGTCAGCAAACTTTGATTTATCTATAAGCTACGCTTGAAGGAAAACCCCCGGAACGCGCTCACGTGGTATGATAACTAACCATTTCGTCCTGTTGCACCTCCGCAGATATCCCTTGCTTCCAGCATCAACATACAAGGTTGACGATGATTTCTTTCTGTGAACCTGTGGAGCCAGTATGCAGTCGTTGCACCTGTATATCCACTGCCCACAATGACTACATCTGTCTCCTTGGGAAGCTCTACAGTAGAGCGGAAATTTCGCAGAGAGGACTTGGCTGCCTCGATCCAGTAGGACTTTGTTGGGTTGTCAACCGGAAGAACCATAATGAACGTTGAGAACAGCCAACCAGTGACGACTATATGGCAGTGAAGAATTTAGTCTCAAGATCTGTGTGTGCAACGGTTTGCAATGATCAAACGCTTGAAAATTGTTTATAAGACGAGTTTTCTCCGTAGTCCGGGCCGGTTCTGCTTTCCCACTTCTGGCATTCGAGAGTGGGGGAGATTGAGGCTTGAGGTAACGACATTCTCGTTACTAGGGGAAGGCCCTTCCTTTCTAACTTGAATATCACTTCCAGAGGGTTCATTCGATGAATTCGACCATTCGCCGATCTTGAAAATTTAAAAAGCGATCTATGTCTTTTTTTATTAATCTAGCTATACTGTCTTTATGTCGGATCTCCTGAGTCAGGTTTTCAGCGTTGAGCCACTCAGAGCCTCTGGTGCCGACATTAAAGTCAGATGGACACACTTTGCAAAAGTATCTGAACTTTATTTCCACTCCCCTATTTTTGTTGCTAACGTTTTCCAACTGATCTCATGGCTTATGGTTACACCTTCTATTGCTTTGTGGCTGAAAATCCTCCTGTACCAATAATATCTCCATCCTCTTCTCTCCCATTCTTCGCCCGATCGATCCTAACCTGTGTCGTCTTAAACAGCCGCGGCAGCGCTGTGCTCTCAAACTCTTTACCATGCACTGCCATTGACGCTAATTCCTTCGCTGCCAGCCAAATGACCGGCATTCCGTGGCCATTAAAACCAGCTAATATGAACTGGTCCTCCCGGCCCGGAATGGTGCCAATGTGCGGATTGGAATCGTACGAATAGCCCATAACTCCAGCCCATATACTGTCAACCTTTGCTCCGGAGTCCTGCCAGCCGTGATACGTCTCTTGCATGTAATTTGTGTAGTAGTCTTTGGCTGCGTCGATCAGGATACTGTCGTCGACATTGTTGTACCATTGTGGTTTGTGGGGCTTGAAGAGTGATGAGGCTCCGCCTACGATTATGCTTCCATCCGTGCGGCCAATAAGGTAAGAAAGTGTGCCATCGGCGGTGCGGTTGATGTAGGAGTTGTTGAGTAGAGGGGCTGTTTGACCTTCTGGGACAGCAATCCGGCAGCAGATACCTTTGCATGGGATGATGTTGTTTGCGTATTCGGGGAGAAGGCCCGAGACATAGGCATTGTTGGCGTGGATGACCGTTTTGGCGTGCGTTGTGCCACGCGGAGTGGTAATGATGTGGCCACCATTTGGATCCGGGGAGATTGAAGTTGCTGGAGTGTGTGTTTGGAGGTTGACTTGACCCGAAGCAAGCAGGATCTCAGCAAGGGCCAAGATAAATTTGTATGGCCACATGGTGCCAGCAGTATACGATGCAGCAGCCTTGGCGCCTTTTACTCCCGAGATCTAAGCTTGTTAACTCAAATAATGATTCCCCTCTCTCGAGTCTTACCCCTTCTGCAACCTTCCCAGTATAGAAGATCACATCGTCCATGTACTTGAAGTTCCGAGCTACCATTTGGTCGTAGACCTGCTTTGCTTGCTTCGCGGAATCTTCATTACACCAAGTATCAATCGTCCTTGTAAGGGTGAAGTCGCAATCTATACCCTCTTTCTCGACGATTTTCTTGATTGCATGCACATGGGCGATTTCGAACTCCGCAATCTCCAAGCCAGCCTCGGCGCCAGCTCTGTCGATATAGGTTGGAATGTGGCCATATAGATCTGGTCGTAAATGACCACCATTTCGTCCAGTAGCGCCAGAACAAACGCCTCTGGCCTCCAAGATCAGGATGCTAAGATCTTTACAGGACCCATCCTGGATCATGTGATATGCACTAGCAACGCCCGCATAGCCTGCTCCGATGATCACAAAATCAACGTGCTCTGGCAGCTGCTCTGTAGAGCGGTGGTCCTGTAGCGGATGTAAATCTGTTTGCCAAAAGGTTGGCATGGGATTCGAGGCCGGTAACCATCCTGAGAATTGTGGGTCACGACTAACTGCTGGTTTTGACTGTTGGACATGGCTCGGGACGAGGCGGAGTTGCTCAAATGATTCGGAGGGTACATTATTGTTCAGCATGATTGCGGTAGAGTATTTTTAGCTTGAAGTATCGTGGGCAGAGACAGAAGCATTGAATGAGAGTCTTGGAGGTTTTCAGCCCTACTCTGATGAGGGAGACGTCGCGGATCACCAAGATGACAGAGGAAATAAATGGCACTAGCTCATCGATGCTTTTCACTAATGCATATGATTAATAGATAATTCATGATTTCGACCGGCGCGGTGTTTGTAATCTGCAAAGCAGATAGGACGTGTTCAAGCCACTAGAACTTGAAGCTTGTCGAGGCGATCCATGACCATCACCTCAAAAGTGGAAGGTTCTTAACCTTGCTGTTCTTTATCTTGCGTGATGCTTCCCGCCTCCACCCGATGGACCGGCCCGGTAAAATAATCGCTGATTTGACTGCACCCCACTCTCAGTTCTGGACAAGGAATGATCTTTGGTCCGCAACAGATACGGTATGTACATAGCGCTGCGGCTTCCCGGTATATTTGTTTTAAAGATGTGGTGTTCCATTGTGTGTGTGTGTGTGGGAGACATCATCACGTGATACGTTATTAAAACAATCTACCGTCAAGAACTCGAAAAGCTCCTCTTTATACTATTCGCATTTTTTCACAGGATCCTCTGCGATACGCCTACCATGGCCCCATTCAAGCATGTTGTTTTCGATGTCGTCGGCACTCTTGTCTCGTTCGAAGCATACTTCTCTCAAATCAACAAAACTATTGGACCAAAACTACTCTCACATACCATCACAGCTCAGACATTCGGTTACACCTGGATGACAGCAGCAGAGCTCGAATTCACCTTTCTCTCCATCTCGTCACGATATCGCCAATACAAAGATGTACTAGCCGCCATCTTTTACCGCACCCTCTTTATGCTCGGCGTTTCGTCACCACAGAGCGAATTCACCGACGAGGAGCGTGATGCCTGCATCGCGGGGTACTCGCTCCTCGAGGTGCGCCCGGGTGCCGTACAATGCCTACAGACACTGCGAGATGGTGGCTTTACTGTATGGGCACTCACGACCGGTGACCCAACCCGGGTCTTAGGGTATTTCAACAAGGGAGGGATTGAGTTCCCAAGGGAAAATTTCATTACGTGTGATACTGCCGGTGTGGCGAAGCCAGCGCTGGCCAGCTACAAACCTGCACTTGAGAAGTTTGCGGATGAGGATCAGAAGTGGTTCGCTGCTGCTCACATGTGGGACGTGAGTGCGGCTGTGAAGGCCGGTTTCAGGGGAGCGTATTGTACGATATATGAGCAGGACGCTTGTGAGACCATATTTACCGAGAAGATGGAAATCATGGCCGACAATTTGGAGACAATGGCGAAGAGGATTGTCGAGGCTTCGAATCCATAATTTACCGGTTGTTGTATCAGGAGGGAGCGCGCGACTGAAAATCAGCCAGTAAGTGCGGGTAATAATAGGATGCCCTTGGGCAAAAGGTTCACAGAAAGGTAGAACGGCATTAAAACGTTCGGATTTGGGGCTCCAGGAGGCCACTTCATAGAAGATCAAACAAAGACCTCATGCAAGCGACATTCAACTGTTCGTACATTTTGTCAAAAATTCAGAGCACTAGATACTTGACACCTCAAAATCAAAGTCTGACTGCATGGCCGCGTGGCTTCCAGCTTGAGGCATAAATGTGTTCCCTTCGGCTGCCATAGGGAGACTATCTGACCGGAAAGATTGCGAGTCGTTTATAAATTGGAGGCCCAGATTGTGGTCACTACCGACGAAGAAATTATCACTATTTGTATGAGAAAGAATATTTGTCGGCCAATCATAAGTTGGATGATCCAAAAGGTTTGACGTGACAGGGGAACCCCATATTGATGTTGACACGCGCGGTTGAATATTGGCCATTGTTGGAGTTCTCAAATTGTTCCTCATCTGTCGAGGACCTCCGCCATTCTTCCACATCGACTCCCAGTGTTTGAATGTGTCATAACCTGAGCCCAGAGAGCCAGAGGCCGAAAGACTTCCATCATTGCGTGTTTTGAGAGCTCGCTCAAGGGCTTCTATCAAGGCCACTTCTGACCGGGCGGAGTCTCCTGCTGCGGAGATATAACGAATCATACCGAGACCATCTTGTAAGATATTTTGAAACTCGTCTGAAGACTCATTGTACACACAGTAAGCGATCAGGACGAGTAACGATGCTCGGCAGGAGCTGTACTCGATATAGGACCCTCGAGCCAAGCCATAACCACCGTCGCGTAGTGAACGGCATATCTCTAGTGCTTCCTTTGCAGCCTGAACACAATCCTCGACAAGTTGCTGTCTTGTTGATGATTGTTTATGGTTGTTCCCTGATGCAGGACTCTGGCTGTCAGAGAAACCTGACTGTGGGTTGTTATTTGAGCCAGGATTCGGACGGCTGAGCAAGAAAGGCCTCCCGACGAACATGCGTATCAGACAATACTCAAGCCTTAGATGAGCTGTTGATCGATGATGGGCCTCGCGGTACGGATTATCGGGGGACTCCTGAGAAATAGGCAAGCCTGACCACCAATTTTGCAAACCAGTCTTGATAGTGATCAGGCGCGCCGATATGTTGGCAATTTCTTGCTTTGGGCAATTACGAGATAGATTTCTTGAGACATGTCCGTTAGTCTTCAGAGGCTTAAGTAAGGAAGTAGAGAAGACGCACTGGTGCGTACATTTGATTTAAGTAGTCCTCCAGTTTGTGAGTCATATATATTGAAGCACGCAAGTGAGAAACGTTCGATGGGAAGTCTCCTTTTCGTATGTCCGCCTGATCCTTTGGAAAGTCTGCGTCGATGTCAGAGCGATGAATTGAAAGAGGTCTTCCGTGAAAGATGCAGATTTTCCTAGAAGAAGTTAGTCATCCCTTTTAATTGATAAAGCTTGAACTCTACCTCTCCCACACATATGCACTCCACCAGACACGATTTCTTGTTTCAATCATCCCATCGCTGAGCGCGCTCCCCGTGTATTTCCGATGCATTCCATTCTGCATACCCAATCTCAGTGCTAGATTGACGTAAATGTAACCGAGACCAGATGCATCGATGGGAAGAGAATAGACACCGAGTAATAAACAAGCCTGCACACTCTCCAGCGTCGAAGTCTCGATGATTTCTGGCAGTAGTCTGACCGCTTGCTGGTAGAAAATAGATCCGATCTCGTCTTCTGAATACTCGACGCTTGTGTAAAATCTTTCATGCTGAGAAGGTGAGTCGAGGTAGGCGTATTGTATACCAATTGCAAATACGCTAAGAATTATGCTCATCGTCGAGGCGTCTTTGATAGCCAATGCTGCAGGCTTATCATAAATAAGATCTAGCTTCTCCAAGAGCCAGCGTCTCTCAACGTAAAAGTGATGAGTCTCTGCAAATTCGAAAAAAATCCGAACAAGAAAGTCGGATATGGGCCTTGGTGGACAGCAAGAAATGGCGGCAGATAGATTATCTGGGCTGGGTTGTAGTTGTCCAGCCCTAACATAATCCGATATATGACTTGTGTTTTGTGCCTGTTCATCGGTTGTAAGCCGTGTTCGTTCTCAAAGATCCACACGCACTTACCGATTCTCGCGGACTATACACTCTCTCCTCCAATTGTCGTTTGATGCGCATGGAAAAGTTCCAGTAAGAGAACTCACCTGAGTAATCTAGTCATCAGTTAGCTTAATCTACTGGGAAATGTAATTATAGGGATTGCAGACGAGTTGCAGTATCTCCTTCAACTGGGCTAATAGTGCAGGTCTCATCTTTAATAGCAAGTTCTTCGGAAGAAGGATTTGTATTGTCGCCGTCTGACCCCTCACAAGGTATGGCTTCCGCCCTGAGACGAAGGCTTTCGGTATCAAGAGCAACTTCTTTGATCTCATACTTCAAAATTCGCTCCATGTAACGAGCGCGGTCCCGCAGTTCAGCGAGGATTCCACTCGAAGCGCTTGACAATCTGTGCATCAGGTCAATTGAATCAGCTGAGATGTATCATGTATAGAGGCGAAAATGGATTTACCCCCCGGAGTTCGAGTGAAGCTCTCCAGTTTGAGATGCGGTAGTCATGAATTCGCATGCTCTTCGAAAGTGAAGACATCTTCTGCACGGAACTCCTCCTTCGCATTTCTCTTTCACCCGCCGACATTGGTCACAGCTAGAGTCGAAACCAGTCAGCTTGTTACTGCCCAATCAGAGCACGAAGTCTCACGCTCGGGCAGCTCTCTTTCTTTCATCTGCTGCGCTCCTGCGTTCCTTCAGTTTTCGAGGAGGCTCTGCTAGTCGACTGCTCGGTGGTAGCTGTTCGAGGTCGGGGTTCATGGTGTTGTAGCTCATTTTATAGCTTATCTATATGGGATAAAATAGATTCCTTGCCTATGCATGTGTATCATCTCAATATACACCCCAGCGTAGAACAAAAGGCAAAGTATGACAGAGTGCCAAATGGGTCGTAATGCTTGTTGGGGCTAAGGTGGGGGTTCTTGGAGCGATAAGATAACGATGATGCACTAAAACCCAGTATTATCTTCCAATTAACAGGGGGAGTACATCCCTGTACTTTAGGGCAGTTGTAAGTATGAACTGTTTCTGGTAAGTTGTAAGAAAAGGATGTGCATATACTGATACTGAACTCTAGGGAGCTGGCATAGTATGTAGGCGATAAGATAGAGATGTACGATAGACACGCGTTCGTCGTGAATTGACCAAGAACAACAGCATTCACATTCGCACTTCTATAAATTTGCAGGGAATATCATTTGAAGTATCTGTATCTGACGGGGCGCATATTCCATAAGTCTCCATTTAATTAGTCTTCGCCACGCCTTCAATGATCGGTCCATCAGCCTCGTTATCATAGTGGGCTGGAGCCTCTGGAACCAGCCGAATGAGAAATGCCATGCAGGGAATCGTGAGAGCCAACAAGGCGCAATTGACATAGAATGCAGTTCTAGGGTCGCCGCCAGTTCTTGAGTTGATGCCATAAGAGGTAGCCTGGCCGAGAGTTTCGAACGCACGGAAGAGACCGCCGGTGCGAGCATTGGCTTTGACGTCGGTAGAGAATGTGCCAAGGATCCAGTATAGAGACAGTTGGCAGAGATATCCGGTGGTGAAGCTATGAGTACTAAGTCAGTATATTGCTTGTATATATCTTGGGGAGTCCTGAGTTTTCTTTGGAATCGAGACTTGCATGAAGAGGTAAGGAAGGTATGCTTCAGCCCAGCGATGAGTGTTACTAGAAATGGTAAGGTCAGGCACTACGCAAAGTGGAGACTTGAGAAAAATATCTTACAGGCCATAATCCAGAGCAAACTTCCCGCGCCCGAATTTATGGTATTCAATTCCAACCCATATGAAGCCACCAATCTGGGGAATTACCCAAAGTGCAAAAGCGATGCAAGCGCGCTGCATTTGAGACCACCGCTTCACGTCCAAGAGTTTTCCATAGAGCATCACCATCGGGATAGTGATACATGCTGACGGTGAGTTAGTGCTGCATTGCCCAGGATTGTGTTAAAGAGACTTACGGGTGATGAGAGATGATAGTGCGCGCGCTCGAACGGAGAAGTGCAGCGATAGGTAGGTTCCCATGGTTCCACCATAGAAGAACGAGTAGAATGCTGGGATGAAGACAAGCCACGTCTGGGGATAAGTGTTAGCTGTAGGCACCGGTACTCACTGGGAGAATTGTTACCTTTTTGCGCTGGATGTGCTTCCCCAGAGCAGCAAACTCTCCTCCCCAAGAGAGGCCAGGGGATGTTGCAACCTTGGATCCATCACTTCGTCTGACTTTCCTGGTGGCTGAGAGTAGTAGTGCCCAGAGGAGTCCAGTACATTCTGCGAGAGACCTGGTTAGAGATTTTCCGGCCGCTATCTGTGGGAATATAGTTACCAAATCCGACGAATATTAAGTATGTCGACCACGCAATGGAGCCCGCTGCAGATCTAGTATAGTTTGTCGAGAAGTTGATCGCTCCGCCAATTATACTGCCAGAATTCCTCATTGCAGACCAGATGCCTAGGAAGAGGCCCCTATCGTTTGGATCTGGGTATGAGAGCATCGCAGTTGTTTCGGCTACATACAAAAAGCCGCTTGCAAAGCCTCCGATAATCTTTGGAAATGTTAGTCGAGTTTCGCCTGAGCTTCGAGAACCCCGAAGATCCAAAACCGAATATAATTACCTGTGCTGTCAGGAGATACCAGTTTACACCGTATCGTGCACTAACATAGTAACCCGAGCCAGTGAGGGGCATGGAAAGGGCAGCAATGACACATGCCCATTTGATCCCAATTTTGTTAATCAAAGGCCCTCCGAAGAGGGTAATCATACACCCAGTAGCATATTGAAGAGAGTTTGCGAGATTTCCCAACCAAGGGGTCGAGAGTCCACCACCACCTAGATTCGAGATGGCGTCCGACATGGCGGGACCAACGAATGAAAGACTGCGATTGTGTCAGCCGTGCACTGCGAACCGTAGCCAGGTAGTATCTTACGCTCCAAAGAGGACCATCTGGAAAAGAACGCTGCGCCAAAACTTTGCTGATTTCGAGGCGGTAAGGTACGTTTCATCGATCTCGAGGGGAAGGCCCCACTCGGTGTTCTCAGCAGCAGCATAGTTGTTCTCGACTTTAACGGCGTCGACTTCGAGATCGGTTTCTTTTTTGCCCGGTGAGATTGACATTGTGGGGGGTGGGGAAACGAAGAATGCTTTAGTTCCAGAGGTGGGATGATGGTGGATGTGTGGATATGGGGCATCGTGTATAATATATATACAGAAGTTTACACTTCGAGATCAATTGACCAATGGTTGGCTATTTCCTCACTTCAAGGGACAATCTCTCACATGCTCAGGAATGGGTTCACTCGTAGATAATGCACCCTACAAAATGGAGGTCCTTGTGTTATCGGTGAACAGTGAAAAGTGGAGCCGGCAATGCATGGCCGAAGCATCCTGGCATCGAGAGATAAAGAGAAGACCGGCCCGGTACGCAAAAGTATTGTCTCCACTAATGGTCGGCTCACTAACTGAAAATGGAAAACCTGAGGAACAGACCACAAAAGATGTCCCGGCGTTATACAGAATGGCATTTGCAGCTAGTGATAACAGATAATGTTTAAGTTTTGCTCCATTTCACGATTGGCAAAAGACTCTTCCCCGAGATTTCCTTCAATGAAGACGTTCTCTGTTATTCTCTACGCTGCGGGCCAGGTCAACCTTTTTCGCACTGGAATAACTAATTGAGGTCCGTAGCAAAAGCATGCCCCTACAAAAACACAATCTAGCGAATTTTTGATTTCCTAATGATTAAATAACTATACGTCAATTTTATATAGGGTTTATAGATATAATGAAAGAAGTAAACTTATAATAATGAAATATCTTATATAATTAAAAAGATATTTAAAAGATATTTATTATTAATTTATTAACTTTTAATTTTTTCCCAATAATATTTAAAGTATATTCTATATACTTAACAGATTCTTTTTAAAAAGAAAATAAACTATTTTATAAAATGGTTACTTTTTAATTAATTAATCTATTTTTATATAAAGCGTGTTTTTGTGCGGGCATGCTTTTGCCAGGGACTTCGGTTAACTGCAGGGATTCATTTTTGCAGCCATGTTCTTTTCCATACTCGTTCGGCCGGGCTCACCTGGTTCTCGCTTAGCACGCTTACCAGGTGAGGGAGGGCAATACGCAAAAACCAGCAATACGCAAATGTAAAACCCCACCAAAAATCAATTATTCGCGCATGATTTTGGGAGCAACCGCACGTAATTAATAACTCGTTAAGAAGTAGAAATAGTTTCTTAATACTAAAACTTCTCCCCTCTAAAATTTAGAGCTAAAAATCCATGGTTGCGGGGGGTGTCAAATTTCCCCATACAAATTTTTGCGGTGATTTGCGTATTGCTGGTTTTTGCGTATTGCCCTCCCTCACCGGGTAAGCGTGCTAAGCGAGAACCAGGTGAGCCCGGCCGAACGAGTAGCTCCTCTTCAGGGGTCTCAGTTCAGAGTTGTCCACGAACGATATACCTACATTGTCCCGTCTCCCATGAAAGCAGTCGATCACACTTCGTAGACGTTACCCAAGTTGTCTGCTGCCCTCTGGCTTTCTCAGAACTACTATTCCAAATTATGAAGTGTACTTGCTTTCTCAGAGCTGCATTAACCCCGAAAACTCTCGGCTGTGCTACTTGCTGTCTGTCAGCGCCCTGCGTAACATCAAATTATCTACAAGAGACTCTCCCCCAATTCACACTTATGAAAGAGATTAGAGAAGATATCGGCCCTCTATCTCTCAGTGAGTATAAACAAAGAAAACATTCTTCCTATCCGTCTGATCAGCAAACGCCATCTTCTCCCTCAAATCCAGCTTCTCCTCCTCACTCATGCCCTCCAATACCTTCCTATTCCTCTTGTTCAACATATCGTTATACCACCTCAGAATCAAAATCACAAAACACAAGATACCCAACGTAGCGATGATGCTAATCTTCCCAGAAATGTAGCCAGGCGCTTGCTTGGCTTGGAAAGTCTGGGTGCCGAGGATATTGCCAGTTGCAAAGGAGACGAGGGTGAGGGCGTTGATGGTCACTTTCTTTGTGTGGCCCGCGATGTTTGAGGCATTCCAGGCCAGCATCAACATAAACGCCGCGCCAAATGTACCAGTTAAGAAACTTGCAGCCAACAGCCCAGCTTTGTTCTTTGGGACACCATTGGGGTCAAGCCCGATCATGAGACCGGCACCAAGAATGGTGGGAAGGATACAGAGTAACATGACGGATGACCTGTCTCGCCATTTATCGGAGAAGTATCCAACGCCGAGGACGCAGATAGCGCCGATTGCTCCACTGGGTGCACTCAGAATGAGTGCTTGACGAGAGGAATAGCCGAAGGTTGTGAGGAGGATACTGGAGAAGTTTGAGAGGCCGCCGTTGGGGATTGAGCTGAGCATTGTGCAGAGGCAGACGAGGTACACTCGGACGTCTTTGAATGTTTCGAAAACCTACATATCATCGGTTAGAACATCTGTTCAGTGTGCTCGAGATGGGAGAGGCGTACCTGTGCCTTCTTCAAGTGCGCGTTCTGAGTTCCGCTCTGATTATCCTTCGTTCTCAACAGCGCAGCAACCTTCTCCGCATCCGTGAACCTCCTTGCCTTGACCGGAGAGTCAGGCAGGAGAACGCACACCAGCGCCCCGACGCAAATAGTCAGGGCCCCGATAGCAACGAAAAATATCCTCCAGCTCGCAAATTTCGTGTTGACGAAGCTGACGCCATACGCGAGTAACCCACCAAAGATCTGGGTCAACGAGTTGCATACATAGAACCAAGATACTCGGCGTCCTTGCTCTTCTTTCTTGTACCACATTGCGATGATCAAGACGAGAATTGGCGCCACGCAACTCTCGAAGACGCCGAGCAGCGTGCGGCAAATCGCTAGTCCGGCGAAATTGGTGCATGCTGCGTGGCAGCCGAGGATGAAACCCCAGAGCATGATGTTGATGCCAAGGTACAAGCCGAGCCTAGACATGTGTTGGGCGAGGTATTGAGTGGGGAATTCCGCTGCGAGGAACCCTGTATCTCATTAGTTCTGCGTTCCTTTTGTTGGAGGTCAAGTTCACCGATGTAAAACAACATCGAAAGATCCGAATAATCCTGCCCCACAAGATGCGTATCCTTCCTGATTCCCATAACCGCCGTATACGACAGCGTTGTTTTGTCTAAGAACTGCAGGAAGTACACTGCAGCCAAAAGTGGGGCAATCGTGAAGTCGATCTTACGGAGCAGTTTTTTCAGCTGGACCGGGTCTTCGAGGATTGCCGTTCCTTCGATGGCGATTACTGCTGCTCGGGGGTGGTTTGTAAGAAACCCAAGGGCCTCGTCGGCATCGATGAGGTCAACTACTGTGACAGTCGCTTCATCGCTGGTGACGGAGTCCTGCCGACCGTCAAGGCCTGCGAAGGGCTTCTCGGGATCGACTTTTGGTTCAGTTGGAGCTAACATCTTGATTGCGATTGAAATGCTATGTCAAGATTGAGATCTGACGAAATTGGAAATATATATAAACAGAGACATGAAAATAATTCCAGATAAAGGAACCAACAACGGACGTCCGAGGACTTCTCGACATCATTCCATTCCAAATTCATTGATAACAGCAGTTAGATATTACACTCGATAACCAAAAATGGACCTCGTCGTCGCGGAAGCACTTACCCGTCCACTGCTCGACGTTTAGTCTGCGATGAGCCGGGGTTCCTATGCATGGGGGGAGACAATCTTTACAAATACATGTTGATCGTGATAAGAGAAGTGAGTGACGTTGAGAGAGCAGCTGCCTCATTGGGAAAGAAGTAGATTCGCGGGGTAGAGTGGCGAATGGAAAGTGGGAGCAGACATATATTCACGTGACTGTATCTTGAAGAAAATCTTTAAGTTCATCCTCCAATTGGATTTCAATTTGTTGATTGAAGAAGTGTAGGCAGAAATCCGACGAAAAGGTGAAGATGTGGTTGCGTTCCTCCTTTTCAGTTCGCCAACTTGGTCATAGAGGACCGCACTGCCTCCACCAAACCCCACCAGACCCCGGGATCGCTCCAGGGGCCTAAAATAAGGGAAATAAGATTTCGGGGCTGTGCTCGCGGGCCGCACAGGGCATTCGGGTTGTTTCGTCTGAAATTTTTAGCGACCGCAGGTGCCCTGCCACCAACACGGTGAAAATCAGCCCAGCATTCTATTCATAGCCTTTCGACAGCATACAATCCGATTATCTGGTAAAGATGAAGAGCCGCAGGCGGCTCGGGACTAACAACGTTTATCATTTGAATCCAGAGCCTCAATTTCGCGTAGAATATCCTGAGCCATTTGGTCAGTCGAGGCTCCGCAATCATCAGAGGAAGGAATTCCCTTCGTCCGCAGCCAAGCCCAGTACGAATACGGAGTATCTCTGTGAAGGAACATACACACACTAATTAGCCATGTTTTTCCAACTTTGAATACACATCATTAACTGGAGTCTCGTCTTTTACTCATATTTCCATTGTTTCTTCTCATCTCAATTCTTTGATTTTGTCCCAACTATTCCTCATTTCAATTTGATACCTACTCCCATCAGACATGTGATAATCTGCTTTCACTATCCGAATTCACCAATCAAACTACATGACTCTTAATTCAAAATGAGGCCAACTTTTCCTCTTGCTTACCGACTCTGCCACCTCAAATTCTGATTCCAGCCCAACCTCTCTCCCAACCACCCGAGCCGCACGCCGAGCCCGACGGACATCAAGAAAGGTGCGGTGTGATGGATGCGAGTTCGATTGAGCATGTCGTGTGGGGTGCGGGTGCTGTGCTTCTGATGGGGGTGGGGAATGTGGGTATAATCTATGGACCTGTTCAGTTGGGAGGCAGAGGTAATAGACGAAAGGAGGTGTTCCGGATCAATGACCGTTGAAGGAGTTTGGGCATAGGAAATGAATTTAGGGACAGCATATTGCTTGAGTTCTGGTTAGCTGGATAATGAATTGAATAACCATCCCGATTTTGGTTTTATTTTACAAATGACCGCCTGATGAATCGTAATGTTTGACTTGGGATAAGCTTCTTTTAGCTTCTGTATCGAGACTTAGGACGTGAAAGGCCAGGCCTCGCTTAATTCTCGTCACCCCCTATGTCAACCTGCCCTCTTCTCTGCACTAAAGTCATTACGATATGCAGAACGGAAAACAGAAAGTCTAACATTTGGAACAGGAGGGACAGATCCAATCTCTTGGAGCAGAGATTTTCAGTTGAAACGTGTATGACTTTCCACGCAGCCACGCAGACGAGATGGGGCCCAAAAGGCAAAAACGAACACTCCAAACGTGCTGAGGTCAGACTTCCCCAATCCTGCATCCTGAAATCTCCACTTTCGCACGAGAACTTTCCTCCTCCGGCTGTCTACAAATCAATACTGGAAGAACAGAAATGTGAAACCGCAATGAGAACTCCACGCATCAAAACAATTTCAAACGGTTGGGTGGAGATACGGATACGGTACGCAGCGCGGGAGACCTCCTATTTTCGCAGCCTTTCGCCAGGGTCCTCGTACAACTGCGGCCGCACCCGCAATACTTTTCAGGAAGCCGTCAGCACTTTATCTTGGCGAGGCTGACTGGACGACGTGGTCCTATGGGGTCTTTCTTAAACTACGGCAAGGCCAATCAGTGCATCGTCAGCCCCTGGCAAGGTCGCTTTGGTCTTGGACTCTTGAGTCAATATTTCCAGGGGTGGCCCGTCCCATGTGCTGCTGATGCTCGCCGATCAACATGCTGGAATTTCCACTAATAATTTTAATAATTCAACAGCACAGTGAGAAACTTCACTGGCCAAGATTCTGATGAGAGTTCAGCAAAAAGCGAGAAGAGAATTGAATCTCAAGAGAATTGATCTTCAAAATCCAAAGCAAAAGAAAGAAGAGAAACATCGTGGGGAAAGCTGCTGCGGCCAGCGTTTAATGCTCAAGCGAGCAGCACTGCCGTCTGACTGTGGCTCCGCGGCACAGTCAACCCCGAACACAGCCCACCAATCACTTTACTTTCCTAAGACTTTCCTAAGAAACGAGCCAGTCCATAGTGCACAACCTCTGCACAGTGTGACAGAACCAATATCGAATTTCACAACTGCACAGCCGCGTCCCTCAGCAATCAGAGACGCGGTTCCTCATATGGACGGTAAGTCCCATCTCCTTCTCTCATACCTCAACGATCCTTCTGCACGCCTTCGGTGAGACAACGCCCAAGCCGTCGCCATGGAGCCATCTGCGTCAATCCGATTAGAGCCTCAACCAAAGGCAAGGCGAGCCAGCAGAGCAAGCCTCGAGCCCCTCCCCCTCGAGCCTGCTAAAAACCCAAAAAGACCCAGCAGCGCGAGTCTCGAGCCTTCCATCCCGTTCTCGCCCTCCCGCGTCTCCAGCGAGGCACCGGAAGTCGTTCCAGGACAACCGCTGCCAGAACCCTTTGTCTATATGACTTATGAGCAAGCAAGGTCGAAGAGGGCGAGTTCGGAGGGAAGCGAGGATCTCAAGCCATGGGAGGTGAGGGAGAAGGAGAAGGGGAAGTTGGTTCCTACGCCGCAGATTGCATATGATCAGACTTCGTTAGAAGATATTTCGTACCAAGAGAAGCCTGCTCCCAGACGAAGAACATTTGGGCTCCTTTATGTCACCATATTCGTGGTTATTGCGTTCTTGGTTGGAGGAGGCATCGGAGGAGGTGTTGGAGGTGCGGTGGCCGCGAGCGAGAAGTCGAAATCAAGGTATGCTTACTCTAACTCTGGCGAAGGGGGGGAATCGGGACTAACTTGGCTTCGAAGTACACTCCAATCCAGCGGCACCGCATCCGCATCTGCAACGCCATCTACCTCCACCGTCATCGTGGACACAGCAGGCTGCCCGCTTGTTAATAACTCGACCTTTACCTCCACCTCCAAAACGAACTTCCTAAAGTTATGCGCTACCGAAATCGTCGCCCCCGCCAACCAATACATCGAAATATCGAACTCGGTGCAAGGCTCCTTTGATTCATGCCTGAATTCTTGCGCTGCGACGACGGGATGCGTGGGTGCGAGCTGGGTGATCTTTAGCCCGACGAACCCGAGCCGGAATTCGGTCTGCTATTTGAAGAACAAGACGGGCGTGGCGACGGCTGCGAGTGTCACTGGGGAGACGGTGGTTAGTGGTTTCCTTGCGTCTGCGATTGGATTGTAGAATATGGGATTGGTGCATATTTTGGAAGGAGTTCGGACATAAAAAGGTAGCATTGGTGGTGTTTTGGAGCATTTGAGCGGTTGGCATTGACATTGGCATCGGCATCGGCATGGGCGTGCTGTTGTACAGAGAGATGTTCTTTTGGTGATGAGATGCTATCGAAGAGTTGGACTCGAAGAACAACTTATTGCTTCGGTCGAATGTATAAGTATCATGCTTGTGTTCCTCTGCACAGAATGGCTTCACTGAATGCGGGTTCCGATCCGCAATATAGAGCCTGCATCTGCATCAGCGCTAAAACCTGCCATGATATTTCCAGCATTTACCACACATTTTCTCATCCCTACACTTTTACCTTGCCAACCGCTTATTTGTGCAAGATGCTCACAGCGAAAGACCGCGGTTTATGAAGTCCAGAGTTGTTTAGTTGCATCCTTCCTTCAATTGCTCTTCAATCACTCCTCATCGAAGCTCAACTCGTATTGTCGGACCTGGAAGGCTTCCATCGACTCGTCCAATCAATCACAGCAAGCACTCTGAGAGCCGAGGCTTCATGGCGGAGGGTGTTTGTGGTACAGCCAGCTGTATATGATTTTCAAGTCCTTGGGCAGATGGCCATTGGGTACGCACCTGTGATCAGGACTCTGAGGCGCCTTGCTCGTCCATAATTTACTGAGGGGATGAGGATGGGAACATTATGGGCCGTCATGATCGATGAGCTGTGGCAGCGGTGTTGCAGTTCAACATTTGGCATATGCCGACATATGATTCCAGCGGATTTGAAAACTCACGAGAGCTTCCTGGATATGTTAAAACGGACAGCTGCAGAGACACGTGCCAGTGGAGACGGAGAACACGAGCAAAGCCTCGAGAACAATACGAGCCATAGGAGGGGAGGGATTGAAAGATTCAAAGAGGAGGAAAAGATGGAAAATCTGCTCACTTTGGCATTCACTCATATGACGATTCGGCTCAAACGTATTAAGACCGAACCCCATTAGTTCAAGAGTCTCGGATAGGAGAAGGTCGATCTGCAATCTGGGGACGGGTTTGAGAATATGAAGACATAATGGCCTCTGGAGTTTTTATCTGAAGGTGCCGCATTTGTCCGTTTCCCCCTCGGAAATGGTCCAGGTCCAGAGGGGGCAACCTCCTGCAGCCTTGCCGCAGGTGGCTGCCTCAATGCGCAGCTGGGTGCATAAGCGCTAAAACCACAACTCACCGATATTTTTCAACATCGCGAGCCTGCTGCACCTCTACACCCTCTCATCCACGATGCTCACAGCCGGAGATCGTGTTCTATCGACCCCAGAGCTTTTCATCTGTATCTTACTTGAGCTTCCACAACAGACTCTCCTCGTCCAAGCCCAGCTCGTTTCTCGTACTTGGAGGAACGTTATCACAACCTCCACACAAATACAGCAAAAGCTCTTCTTCACCCCGCTTCCCCCTCTTTCCAAACCCCGCAAACCACAGCAAAACCCCCTTCTAGTCCCTCGGTTCAGGCCCTGGTTCAAGCATAAAGAGTTCAAACTCAACGAGTGTCCCTACCGCAATGATTTCAAACCCACGGAAGGCTGGCACAGATATAAAGATCTGCGGGAGCTGGAGTTCCAGTGGGAACTCGATGCAAAGACTGCGTACATGCGAGCTGAAGCTTCGTGGCGCAAGATGTTGATTGTGCAGCCTGCTGTTTGCGATTTGAGGGTTGTGAGTCAGGTGGGCGACTGGCTGGGGCCGGAACGTCTTGCTGCTTTACATTTTGAGCAAGGATTGAGGATGGGTGTGTTGTGGGATATTACTATGGATGAGTTATCGCGACGTAGGAGCTCGGAGTTCAATGTAAGTTGGTATAGGAGACCGGCACATGAGGAAAGCGTTGGCAAGAGGAGGAGTGTAGATGTGGTTTGCGTGGGCTGCATTGCGCCCCAACCTCAGGTCGGCCACTTCTGCGCAAAGATCTGGGCCATTGAAAGGCGCGATGAGGCGTTAGACGCTGGAGGGCGTACGAGAGACCATATGATCAATTTGGTAGTTAGTCATAAGACTCTCAGACGGAAACCTGTCAAGGAGACTCATTTGTTGAAGAGCCTGGGACACGAAAAAGTCGATCTGCAGTTTGAGGACGAGTTTTAGGATTTGGTAATATAGTCAGCTCTCCTGCCGAAGAAATGCTCGCGGCTGTCGGGTAGAATTGTGTCAGAAACATTCAGAAACAATATGCAACTTTGAATGTGGTGCCCACAATAGCTCTACTCTCTGCTGCTCTCCCCGGCCCCCTCTACCTTCTTCCCAATAAGTCGAAACCTTGTCGTCAACCTCGCCTTCCCATCTTCAGACATGGCCCCAATATCACCCGAAACGATTTCGAATCCCGATCCCTCCGGTTCTCCCTCCGTCGTCCCAACGCCCCCAAGTCTTCCTTGTACAGCTGCTGCCGTGATTCCCCTTACTTTGAACGCATCGTGCAGAGTTGACCAAGTCCAAATGTAGCTGCTAGGCGTAACAAATGCCACGATAGTTTGCCTGATGTTGAATTTCTCGTAGCGACTGAGTGTTGGGGAGGAATGGCCTCAGAAAGAGGGATAATGCGTGGGGAATGCCTTGCTCGACGAAAACAGCGAAATAAAAATAAGGACCGATGCGACTGGGAGGATTCAAAGAAGAGTCAGGCGACCGTACAAGAGTTGAGAGGTGATTCTTTTTATAGTTCTGGATAGGTGTGCGTGATCCTTTGAAGTTAAAGCTTGGTTCCAATCGGGGACAATTGCTCGTGCCGAAGAGACCCAGATTTACATTCCTTGCTGTGAAAAATCTTTAGACGACGACCTTCTAATATGTTGTCAATTTTTGGGCAACCTCTCTCTCCTCTGAATTTTCTTTCGGAATGAGGAACATTAAGATCTCTCGCGAAAGTAAATCCAGCAAAGCACATCCGCAGTTTACTGTGCCATTTACCTCCGGAAAATGGAGCTCGCAAACTCAACGAAGCTCCACCGCTCACGCCACAGTTCTACTTCTCCATATCCCTCGTATGACTCGCCTCAACGCTCTCCCAATGATCTCTCAATCCCCTATAATCCTCAAACTTCTCCCTCATCCCAGCCCCAAACGCCAAATGATCGTCCTTCTTCTCCCACCCCGTAATAATCATATTCTCATTCTCCGCCCCCCTGCCCTCAGGATCAACTGTCCAACCCTCAGCAACACCGGACGGGCTCGTCCTCTCCTCCAGCATCTCCCTATACTTTCCCGTAATCTCATTGTGAAGTCTCAGATGCTGCCCACTCTTGACCTTGATCCTCGCAATCGCCACCACCGGCGCGTCAAGCGGTAAGTCCTCCATCTTTTCCAACGGGATGTGAACACACCAGCTGAAATCCAGTAGGTGCTCCTGAGGGGCGAGGATATCGGCTCTCAAATCTGAGGAGAGGAAATCTTGGTGTTGGCTGAGAGAGGTCCAGAGTCCGAGGACGTAGATTAGCGAGAGATCTTCGATGGATTGGTAGAAGCGGGAGTGTGTGGGGTGGATCTTTTCGGCGAGGGAGGTGCGGACGGTTTGTAGACTGGTGATGATTGCGGGGTCTGACGGGGAGATGTTGGGTTTGATCTTTAGTTGGAGGACTTCGAGGACTGGCATTTTGAAGATGGTGAAGAAAAGCTGTTCGAGGAAACGAAATTGGCAGGTGCGTTTCCTTTTGACTTGGATCGAAGTTGTGGATTGTGGTTGTTCGAGTTGGGGGTGGGGCTGGAAGGGGTGAGGCTAATGCAAGAAGAACACGGGCCGAAACTTTGACAGTGTGACGCACACGTGATCACCCCCTCCTCTAATCAAAGAGCTCTCCTTTGTTTGAGTAAGTGCTCTAGATTCATGTTGGACATTTCTTAAGCCAACTCGTTGCTCGCAACATGCGGATAAGAGTAATTCAAATGTGCTCAGCGTTTGGCCGGCTCAATACTACATACTCCTAAGCTACTAATCATCTTAGAGTCTTATATTCTTTCTTATTTTTAAAAATTTGTAACTGTCTAGAGGGAGTTCGAGTATTGGGACTTCCTGAAAACATGGAACTGCCCTTGAAATCTAGGTATCAAATCCCCTCGAACCTCAAATGACATATCACGTGAGTGACTGAAAGGTTGCGCAACTTGAAAGCGCGGCAACTAGCGGGAGCCTGAGCTGAGCAGCAGACGTAAGCTCATCAGATTAACTGTTGGCTTTACTTTTTCCTCGGGCTTCAACACTAAACCCAACCTAGATGCAGCCAAAATGGCAGAAACTGGAACCACTCCCCTCGTCGAAAATGCTGCCCACGTTGAACATGTCCCAGCCTCGGCTTATTTCCATAGAACCATCCAGTGTGTCAAATGAGTAGAGTAGTGTAGAGTAGTGGGTCCTACTCATACTCTACTCAGCCAAAATATGTCCTACTTATACTCTACTCAATACTCAATGAGTATATACTTGAGTAACTTAAGTAGTTTGAGTTTTCCTTTGACACACTGGAACCATCAAGAGGCTCACCATAGCTATTCTCGTCGTTTCAGTCGTCGCCCTTCTCAGTCTCCTTATCTGGTTCTTTCATGTCACGGTTTGGTCTTTCAGATGGGTTATAGGTTGCCCCCAAGTGAAATTTCTGAACTTGTTCATACACATCTCACCCTCGCCGCCTCTCACTTCATCCCACACATTGACATCTAGTAGCTACTTATCGCAACCTTCGTTGCAATTATCAACCTCAATATCAATGTTCCTATTCTCTTAGACCTTATCTTCCTTGTCCTTCTCCTTGGCTTCGTCCTCATCTCATGGTCTTTTGGTCTGATTCTCGGCTACCTTTTTATCGACTTGTGCAGGATTGAAGTCGGGTACCGGAAACCTCCAGATCGAAAGATCCCTCCTCCAGGTTGCCCTGGCCGGAGGCTAGGGGTGTGGATCCTAAGTGGTTTTGCATTTGGGCTTGGGCTAATCATTGGGTATGTTTCTTCTTCGCATTGTTTCCCATGCGTTTTTTATGTGTCTGCATGGCGTCGACCTAGGGCTTTTGCACATTCGGAAAATCCGGGGACAGGAAACTTCCGGGCGATATCAATCCTCGACGGCACTAGGTCGAAAATAGACGTGGTCGAGAAGCCGACTCGGCTATTTCAGGGAGGGCGGAGCACAGAAGAAAGAACTTTCCGCGGCCACTCGATCGAAATAAGTCTGACATAGTGACACTGCACCTTCCTATAGGTGCTGGCCCTCGCAAGGCTGACAAATGTCGGCCGACTCTATTTGCCAAGACCTTAATACCCTTAAAAGGAGCCGTGAGCCTTAGTTGCATAGCTTAGTAGCGTCGGCTGACTAGAATCTTAGAATAGCTATAAGCCTCAACTTCATAACATCCTCGCATATCTCGGGGCTGTGAGGCTATTGCAGAAAATTTATAAATGATGAAGAGATCCTTAAAGAAAAACCATCATTCCATTCCAATATCTTCAACTCATTCACGTCTCATTCCATCTCATTTCCGTCTTATTATCTTTAACTCGCTCAAGTCACTCGCATTCTCAGCCAGTCAAAATGAAATTTTCCACTGCCACCATTCTACTCCCATTCTTCGCTCTAGCCAACCTAGCTGCTAGCACGCCCATCTCCCCCCGACAAGCTGACCCCAGCTGCGGGCCGTTGTCCAAGCTGGTGGCACAACTAAGCGACTTCGAAAAATTCTCGACCTTCATACTTAAAAACGCACCCCACGATCTCCAGAAAGCCATTTCCGACGCGCAAAAGGGTGTAGCTTCAATAGTTTCACCAATCGACCTTTTGAACCCCCAAGTGCAGTCGCTACAAAACACCATCTTGGCGGATCTTTCGACAGTGGGTGGGGGCTTCCAGAAAGCTACACAAGCAAACAATGAGGGGGAAATTGTGGACATTGCCGTGGAGATCCAGAAGATTCTATTTCAACGTCTCTGGCCTGATGCTGTTGGAATTACTGCTCTGGTCCACACAATCGGTGATTGTAGCTCGGGAGCTCCTCAATCCTAGATTCTGCAATATGTGCCTAGGTATATAGATTGTACTTGGCATTTTCAATGTGCAAAGGGGCTGTACGGTTTACAATAACGGATGGGCATTAGCGTATAGGGGTATTTGGCATGAAGACCTAAATAGAGCGTGATAAATAAGATTATATTTCACTACTCTTTATCACGGCACCTCTGGAAAGCGCGATCTCGCTTACAGGGGCCTGGAATCTTGACTTCAGTTAGCCTGTACGTGACATTCCTACGAATATATAAGATCACTTTAAGTCTCTCCTTACTAGCAACGTGACCACTATTACCACATCATCTGGGAATATTAACCTTATAAGCTTAAAGGGGCTCGGACAAACCTTTGCCCCGGATTTAGTTAGTACGACAACGCATTAGTCAATAAATGATTTGGTGAGTGAATTAGAATAGTGTCACGGCGGCATCTATGCAATGGCCGGAGCACAAAGTTCAAAGAATCTCATGTATTGAAATACTAAGCTATAGAGTAAAGAAGAAGGGAGTGCCTCGACCTTTAATAGTCCTTCGCTGATCTCTAGCTTACTCTCTCCTTTCGGTCGCGTTTCCTCTCATGTGGTATTTGCGGCAGATTATGCGGGTTGCCAGCCGTCACAAACAGCCTGCAATATTTGCTAAAAGTATAACCTTTGAAGATACTTATTATGAATTGATTCGTGTTTCAAGAACTTCAGCACCCATAAATATATTCAGCCATAGAGACTGTTGCATTCGAGAAAATACACAGTGAAGTTTCCTTATGGAGGTATTCGCAACTTTTATTGAGAACTCTAATAAATATTACGCTGTACTTGCACCGAGGAAATCCCTCCCACTCGTTCAAGCTTCTCGTGCCTTGAAGCATGCTTCGAGATACAATTCTTTAACATTAAACACTTTGCATCATCCAAGAGGGTGAGGTTGCTAGAAGACACTCAATCTCTTCTACTTGAAAGTGCCTCTGCCTCCCCCTACCTTTTGAAGCAAGCTTACTTTTTACTTACAACATACTAATTACGTTTTCTGTAGAAGATAACCCATCTTTATATCACCTACAGTCAAGCACAGTCCACGGAGTTTGTCATACTATCCAGTGAGTAACAACCTCGAGAATTCCCATTGCTCCCCTCCGTATGTTTTCCCAAGCAGTAATAGCAAAATGAAATGGAATATTACTGTCCAAATAGTTCGCGGTCACGTTCCTTTTGCGGGTCGGTCCAGTACTTGTCCCACCACGGTTTGTCTCCCGAGCCATCGGCAGGCGGCTTTCGCAACTCGAGTGGCTGAGCGGCAGTAGCTTTGGCTTCCGAGTCGCGAAACACATAGTGGTCGAACATGGACACAGCCTCTACCATATAGCTGGTGGCAACACGCTGGTCTCTAATCACGAACAGATTCTCGGCATTTTTGGTATCCGCGGCGACGGAGAAGTTATACGATCCCGTGTACACGCGGGCGGTAGGCTTATTGAAGTCGATGACGACGAATTTATGGTGCAAACGGGTGCCGCTACCTCCAGTTGCCTCCTGGCTAAATGGTGGTGGTACGTCTTTTAGCAGTGCAGCTGGGAAAGCGATGGGCGGATTGCCGTTGGGAAGCTGGATATTCAAGCCGCCAACAGTCTTGTCGGAGAGGCCATAGACAAAAACATTGTCCTCACTAGTCACTTTCGTAATGGCATCTAGAATTGCACCCTTCGTTTCATAGAGAAAGGCAAGGGAGTAAAATAGGCTCGACTCGGCGCCAGAGATGTCGTTTGCGATCTCTTGTAGTTTGGCGTTGTGTATACTGTGAGGCGAAAAGGTGACTTGAGCATCGACATTGGTGAAGCCAAGGTTGTTCCAGTCCGCGGAGGCTGTATTGTCGAACCCGCGAGTGCTATCGGGGCTTGCCCAGAGACTGTTAAAAGCGTCACTAAAGATTTTGACTACATTTGCTCCCTGGACGACGACTGCATTGTTATTTTGGACATAGAGACCCCGCCAAGAGAAATTAGTCGATCCGCCAATGGCGATCTTAGTCTTGTCACCGTCCACGACTATTAACTTGTTGTGTTGCAGGCCGCCCATGTGCTGGCGCTGAATATTGTTAGCCCCGACCGAGTCGGCCAGCATGGCTGCGGCTTTTGTTTCAGAGGCGCTGGCAGGTTGGTGCGATCCAGAGTCGTCGATGATGATCTTCAGACGCCCTTTGAGCTGCTCGAGGCGAGAGACAACCTCCGGGTCGTTGAAATCATAGGCAGCGACACATACCTGTGCCGTTGAGTCGGCAATGGCAGTATCAAGGGTCTTGAGAATGGCGCTCCGGGCTTCGAACCCCATCCAGGCGAGGGCGGTTTCCTCTTTTGGATCGGTGGATTTGAAGGTGATGCCTGCGTTTGCGGTTTCCGGGAGGAGGGTGCCCACCCCACCGTTAGTCCCGAACCTGTCGACGAAGGCCTGCGAAGAAATAAATCCACGCGTGAAGCAGATGTTCAGCTCTCCAGAGTAAGTCTCGGCTTCGAGCTCGATGCCAACTTCCTGAAAGTCGCCATAACTGATGATGCCTTTCTGGTCCATGAAAACTGAGGTGACACGATAGGTGAAATTGCCAGGGGTGCTGGCATTCATCGGGAAATGAGTCCAGCGGAACTTCTGGAACGGCGAGAAGCGGCTGGAGAGGGTGTTCGGATTGAGCTGCCCGCTTGCACCTGGAAATGCGATACGATTGCGGAGGGCATAGAACTGACTGGCCCCGGGCTCCATATACTCAATGGCAAAGCCAACGAAGCTGTCGGGTGGGGTGTCTTGCTTCCAGTTCATGGCTAGGAGGCACATGCCTTCTCCCCGGTAGCAGGTGAGCGTGAAGAGGGCTCTGTCAATTGTACCACGGACGATGAAGTCGGGTGCGAATGTGTTGGTGGCAGGCGTGAGAGTGGTGGAGGAGGCCTTGGTCGTCTCCTTTGCCTTGCCCTTTCCTTTTCCTTTTCCTCTTCCTATCAGAGCATGTTTGTCCTTTGTCACCGCCTTCTTCTTTGATACTGCTGCTGTTGGCCTTTTGCCAGGCTCTTTCCTGGCTGGCATCTTTCTGGTTCTTGCCATGGCTTGAGAGGTTACACTAACTCGGGTCAGTGCGGTCTAAAACGTGCGGTACTGTGCAGAGTAGACAGAGCATATGGGATGCCTCGTCGCAGTTTGATGGAAAGGCGTGGATGCATTTATACCTTTACGATGTCATGTTCGGAAAGAATTGAGGATGCAGGCCGGGTGTTGACCTGACAGGGAGATTAGCCAAAAGGTATGGAACAGAGACATTTAAACCCCCAAAAGAGATGGGTAAGAGCAGACATCTGACCTGAGGTGTGCCTGAGTTGCTAGTGACCGGCTAATGCGAGCTTGTGAGACATTCCGGTGGGATCACAGAAAAATCGTTCTGCTCTTTAGGACTTCATGCAAATATTCAAGTAAGTGAAAGTTTTCCACTCACTTCCTCAAGGCCCAGCACTCACTACCGGATCCTTTTTCATAGTTGTTGAGAATGACGGTAAATGGTAAGTGACAGCAAGAGGACACATAATTACACGATCAATAGAGCCGAACGTAGCCTCTGCTAAACGATGGCTTCTCCGCATTCAGCGTTATGCAGCCTGCCAAGACGCCACGTTCGCCTCGTTTTCTATCAGAGCTAGTTGTTAATTGGCTTGTGTTGGGTTACCGAGTTCCATTTGGTAAGCCGTCACATTTCGTGTTGATGGTAGCAGCAGATGAATATAACCAATACATTTTCAAGAGGGTTAAAACTTGGACGAGAGTGACGAGGCTTTTGCAATTTTCAAAAGATCGGAGTGGTATTGAGTCAGTTAGTCTAGCACGGGGCAGAACCCAGAGAGGCTAGAACTTCCACGGATCTCAGTCTTGGCTTGTCTGGGCCCATTAATGTCGTGATGTCTGAGGTGAGGGGTCTCGTCTGGCTTATTTGAAAGTGTTGAGCAGCGAAGTCCTGGTGATATGGGTCCAATAATAGCGACGACCGAATGCTAAATTTGAACGAACTCGAAGATATGGCACCTGGCAAGGACGGCGATGTTGAGATACCAGGCAATCGTATCATTTATGTACACCTATTTCTCAACGATGTACGCAGTCCTAACCCTCACACACAGAACCAATGTCTCGCCATATTTTGAGAATATCTTATCGTATAAAGTGACAATAAACAAGTTGCTGACAATGACTTCGAGATCAAGGTTGCAAAGCTAATGCTACAAACGAGGTAAATGAAGTGCCTAAATGACATCTCGCGCTCGTTTCCATTGTCCTAATCCTGGAATGGTAAAGCTGACCTGGAGCGGAGCACCTCACTTGGCTTGTGGTGCCCATTTTGACGGAAAATTGAGCTGGGAGCAGGTATTGAACAGAGTGGAATGCTGGCGAGGTAGCTTTAAGTAGCAGCCAGAATACTACACTGGATTTCTGAAGTGACTGAGAGCTGCCCAGTCGTTAATTTATATCCGTGAGGAGACGCCGATTGGGAGGAGATGTGGGAGGTGTGGATGATGTCGTTGTTGCCCGTGTTGCTGAGGACGCCGTATTGCCCGCCGGTGATTTGGAGGGCGAATGTGGACAGTGGGCTGCTTATCTGAGGTCAAAACTAGAACCTCTGCAGCTGTCTAGACTCGCAGAGCGACTCCGCCAATCCACGGCCCATGGCAGAACTCACATATCCTATACATTTGATAGCCAAACATCGTACATTTCAACAACTAGCTAATATGTGTCGTTGTAGTCGTACTCATACCCGTCGGCCCGTTATTCACCGTGGTGGTCGTAGTAATCCTTGGAATACCCTGCCTCGTCGACGAACTCCCTTGAATTGGCATATAACTGGACCCTTCATTGACATTACTCAACGGCGTCTCGAACTCCGTATCCGTATCCGTTTTGTCACTCAAACCTCCTGCATCTTCTATCCCCCTCTCTTTCCCCTTCTCTTTCAAATCCTGTTCGACCCCTTCGGCGGCCTCATCAACGACACCCCACAGCCCTTCGTCGGTGTTGGTATGGCTCAAGTGCGCACTCCTATTCTTCTCCACCTTCTTCATCGCCGCCTTCGTGAGCTCCTGTCTGAACATCTTCTCCAACACGTCCTTTTTCCTGGTCTTGTGGTCTCCAATACTGATAACAATGCCCGCCGTGATGTTACACGTAATGCTGCAGCAGAGAATCACCGTCGTGAGAGCAAACGGCCGGACATGGTATGAAATACTCCACGTGCAAGTCCCCAGCGCGATTTGCAATAGCGAATGGCAATCCAATAACACTACCACAAGTACGAGTAAGTGAAGTGGAAAGGCATGATGCGTAGTCGTCTCATGAGGCTTGTAAAAAGAGTGGGATCGAGCGAACTTCTTCTGATGATGTGCAAGCTTCCTCTGCTGCTCGGGAGACAGGACGCTGAATTCCTGCTTCTCGACATCAGAGACCTGGTCCGGCTGCACGGCAGGGAGATCGTTGTGGTCTTGCAAACGTGGGAGGGCGCGTTCTTTGCGGAGACGCCAAGTTAAGTGGTGATAGTGGGCGATGAAGCACATGTGGTAGGTGTCAACTGTGCGGAAGGGGGCCAGGCCGTCGCCGATGATGGCGAAGAGGGCGACGAGGACGTTGTCGATTACGTTGATTATGTAGTCATGGCGGCCGCCGACGTTGATCCAGCCTATTTGTCTGATATCAGCACGTTCGTTCAAATTGAAAAACAAAGTTGGGGAGGAAACTTACCGATTAAGAAGAGTACCCAGATCAGGCCGAAGAGCGTGATCAGTGTTGCGTAGACAGTTACAAAGAATCCCAACGCTGTCCAACTAATTAGCCAAACCCATCGAATCGGCGAAGGGAACTCACGCCTCCTGACATATTGCCCGAATCCCTTCATCGACCTCTTAAACTTTGACCGTCTTGAATGCAGCATGTGCCTGACATGATTATTCAATTCCAACTTCTCCTCCTCAGTCCACCCGGGTAGCGTGACACCATGTGGCAGCACAGCATAATACTTATCATTCACCCTACTCGTGATGGTATCCAATGTAGCCCCCGTGTGCGTCCTCTGCGTGGTAGGCCTCTTTTGCACCTTCGCCTTTTCCTTTTCCGCTCCGCTCTCAGCATCACTGGCGCTCTCTGACTCCTCCGAATCTGCTGGTCGTCGCGTCAACGTATATGTCGGTTGTCTATTCAAATATCTCCCCAGATACGGAATAACGAGGGAATTTTGAACGTTCGTCAAAGTCTGCAGCGCCTGGACTTCCGGATCTGCAGGAAGGTTAGTTGGTAGAACAAGTGGGGATGAAATCTCTTACCGACAAGATCTAGAATATCAACCAATTCGGCGTCGTATTCCTCCCCACGTTCTCTTTCATCCTGTTGTTGCTGTGTTTCCTCCGTCCGCCCAATATTCGTGCGAGCCCTCCTCAATGGTCTCCAACTGCTCATGGACGCTTGATTCGCTTGGCCCTGCCCTACTTTGCTAGTCTCAACACCTGCCAGTGTGTTAAAATCTGCAGCAGCAGGACCACTGCCAGTTCCGTCCTGCACGTCCCTCGTTGCCGGTGATGTAGCCTCCTCTGCTACCTCGGGCATATAGCTCGGCCGCCTCTGACTTCCGTCCGCAGCACCCACGCCCAGCTGCTGCGGCGCCGAATTGCTCCTGCTCCTCCCGCCGACATGATGCCCTTCTGTTGACACCACAAGCAGACCACTATCTTGCGCGTTCGAGGGTTGAGCTGGTTGATAATTCGAAGGCGCGCGTCGTATTCTTATCGATGGCCGCCTATCGAAGTCTCGTCTGTCGGATCCGGGAGTCTCCGTTGCTGGGGGTTGTGAGAGCTGGGAGCCGGAGCGAGGTCGCCCCGTGAAGGTACCGTTTTGCGGTGGTGATTGTTGAGGCGAGGAATTCGATGCGGGGACTGTGAGATGTTGTTCTCGTTCCATTGTCCCAATGTTCTTTCGGGCCAAAAGGAATAAATAAATTTAATGAAGAGATTAGATGGGAGCACCGACTGGCAGTGGGTAGGATGGGAGCCGTGGTTAGTTTATCTTTTCCATCTAAGGTTCAAGCTTGCACAAAACAAAGTCCCGGAAAATCCGACAGGCTCGGGGCGGGAAGGTCGGATTTTTGTACGTCATGCAGTGCACCCCTGTGGGCATGGCTGGTGTGGTGCTGAGTGAGCTGCAATTAATCACGCTGAAGTTGATGAATAATCAGGCTGCAGCGTGGTCAGTTTGAGGTGTTTTCGAGGCCTTGTGGGGAAACAAGGTAGGACCGTATTCTTTACCAAAGAAGATGTGAAGTGGCTTCATCTCAAACTCCGAGGGGAGCTAAAGCCATTTCTCAAGCTCAAAGATTGCTACTTCAGTGGATTTCGCAAGCGCAGTGCAAGGCCTGACTCGCTGCGGGGTTGGTTGGCTTGCAAGGGGTTGAAGGGCTAGAGCAGCCGAAAGACCATGCCAAGTAGTGGACATCACTTCAAAACAGCTTCTCTCTCCTTGACCTGTAGACGCGTGTGATTGTTTCAACGTCCCTGCTTCTCGTTGACTCTCCTCAGATGTCCAATCCGAACATTGTTACGACGATGGTTCGAGTCCGGACCCTGCCAATCCAACTCCACAATATGCACGTCCCTCGATATCAGTCCGGCTTGAACTTGCCTTTCAGCTGTCCACGCCGTGCTCGATGGGTCGAGATAGTTAACGATTGTGTTGACCAAACATGACAAAATGTCCAGCTGCTCCTTCGGTACGGCCTTGCTGGGAAGCAGAGTTGCAGGTGTGGAAGCAAGGACCCCATTCTCTTGCCAGCTCTGCGCCAGCAGCAATCGAAGAGCATGATCGAGTCATTAGCCCGAGAATCCCGTTCGTACGCCTCAAAGCGTAGACGGAAGAAGTGCTGCCACGAGGATATGTTTGCAGCTGTAAAGGTCGTCAAGTCGGCGGGCCATCGATGCATATGGATTTGCTAACGGCACAAGAGTGTACTGCAGGAGACCTTTGACTTGGTTGGTAGAGGTGGGTCTGGAAGCACGAACTGATCTGATGCAGCGGAGCGATGGATTACTGGAGGAGGACTTGTTCGTGGACTGCAACGTGCAGAGGGTGAAGGTGAAGCTGTGTTCGTGGAGGGGACTGGTCGAGTGGGCCATCGCGGACAGGAAGCTCGGTAGATTCGATGTGTCGGTGGAGTCTGTGGCCTAGGACAACTTCGTGCAGGATGTTGTCTGAAGGTAGGTGTTGGCTGTTCAGGGCTCTTTGGGCTGCGAGTTGTAGAAGGCTGTCGAGGCTCTCGACGTTGTCGATGCTGTCTACGTCTGCGGGTGGGCTGAGCGGCCGCTGCTGCGATGCCGATGCCAGTACTTGGAACAGGCAAAAGAGCATGATGGCGCAGCAGGCGATTTTGGTCATTGCCGAAGGCATGGCGAGTGGCCGGCGGGCCGTTTGTGAAGGTCTTGGCGAGAGTTGACGAGCTGTGTGTGAAAAGCTGGTTTCATCCCGAGTTTGAAGACAATCTAGCGCCCTCGATCATAACCACAACCTCCAATCCCGCCACTACGCTGTTCTACGCTTTACTATATCCTATCAAATTGCTTTTAGAATATTCCAATCCTTTTTTTTTTTCCAGTTAAGGAAATCCATCAGATCCTCGTGCACACTGTTCGTTAAAAATTGATGAGGCATGGGCGCTGGGAAAAGACACCTTCCCCAACTGCAGCATCGTGACTTCCTCAATCAGCCAGCAGCTTTCCCTCTCTCTTCTTCTCTTCTCTTCTTCTCTCTATCAACATCTCAGCCACCTTCCACCCTGTCCTCCCCACAGATATCATCAAGAGCCATCGCTCCTCTCCTCAAAATTCACATCCTCAGTCACGCTCCCTTGCACTGCTTCCCTTTGTCCTCGATAGGCGAAGAGCCTTCCTCAGAGGACAAATAAGCTCGCGCTGCAGAGACTTCTGCTAGGCTCTGCACTGAAACTGCGAGGATTGGCGGAGGTTTCTACTAGATAGAAGGATGGCGGGCTGTTGTTGCATTTAATTTCTTCCGAGACCTTTTTGTCAGTTGTCACTTAGCTTCCTCGTTCGCTCCAAGTGTCCTCGATGCGGCCCCTCGGCAAGGACGCTACTGGAAATCTATCAACGACTTCCGCCTGGTGAGCACTCCTTTCTTGATAGAATCCGCTTGGACGGGTGAATTGACTTGAAATAGAGTCCACACCATCCAGACGATCGCCGCGCCAACATCATCGGCGAAGCATAATCGAGATAAAGCTATCGATGACGGTAGCATTTCATCTCTCGTTCACGTGGCGTCTCTATGATGTCCATGAGCCTGCGAACAACAATTTTGAGAGTCAATACCGAATCCAAGCGAAGTCAACCGACGGTCAGGGGCTCGCTTGCTTCCCAAGCTCCCGAGCTATCCTGCCGAGGACTCTTCATGCTGTGTTATTGGCGCCTTTCCCGACCTCCCCAACAGCCAGCAGCGATTTCCATGCAACTGAACGGAGAATGCCACACTGGTTATGTCAGTGACTTTATCTTGAGTGCAACTGCATGATCTTTATCCGCTGGGCCGCACAAATTTCGTTTGTATAGGCAGTCCATCACTTGGTGAGTGGTGCAGCGGTAGAATTGGTTGTGCGATATTTGACAACTTCACTTGTTTACTTCAGCCTTTCTAATGCTTACCTCTCTATGCCGCTCCCGCACCACAAATTCACAACGAGACTACCACTTTCCTTGCACTCACACCCTTTTTAACGACCTCAAAGGCCTCCTGAATTCTCTCCAACCCTTGCCCAACAACCAACGGCTCGGGCGCATATAGATAGCTCCCCGCCTCCAACGCCTTCGGCAAAAATTCTTCGAAAATCTTCGCACCAAGCTCGTTATCCTTCAACGTACTTCCTATGATGAACTTCCCGTCGACCCCTTCCGGCATCTTACCTTGATATACCATTGCCAAAGCCACGAACTTTGCTCCCTGGCTCTTCGCGACGATGTCAAGACACGCTTCCGCCGCCGCCGTCCCATTCCCAGGAGGAGAAATATTCCCAATCGCCACCGCACCTGCACAAAGCTTCCCTTTCAGCACGACAAGGATATCTTCTACAGCCGTCGGACTGCTGTAATCGAAGGCATATCCCGCGCCAGGTTTCTTCACATATTCGAAATTATGCGGAGAGCATGTAGTCACGACTTCATAGCCCGCGGCAACACCAAGCTGGATAGCATTACACCCCACGCTAGTGCTTCCACCACAAACCAGGAGTATCTTTCCATTCGGTGTTGGAGGAACCGTAGGACATTCCAACCCGAGATAATCTTTCTGGAACAGCCCGCACGCGGCCACGGAGAGACAGGCAGGCGGCACACATGCTTCCTCGAAGCTCGTATTGTTCGGAAAATGAGACGCCATGTTGTCTTGAGCAACGATAAATAATTGGAATGCTCCTGCAGCAGTCTTCTTCAGGACATCGGGGTGTGCAAGGACTCGGTCGCCTGCCTTGAAGCGTGTAACTGCATTGCCGACTTCCACAATTGTGCCCGCGAGATCCATGCCAAGGGTTCTGGGGAATGTGAGCCCTGGGAAAAGGCCAGTTCCCACAGTCTGAATGGCAAAGTCGACAGGATTGATTGCGACGGCGCGAGTTTGGATGACGATTTCGTGGAGATCCGGGACGGGGGTAGGGTGCGTCCTTGACTTTGAGTGGGGTGGCCTTGTCGGCTACGAGCCAGGCTGCTTTATTGGAAGGATGCGAAGACATTACAGTCAGAAGCGAATAGGGGATGGGTGGTAGTTTTGATGCAATAAGAAGACTCGATACGAATGGAAAAAGAGGGAACGAGGATGGAAGTGAGACTCTGCTCAGTTCCCTTTATACATGTTCGCTTGAAGATCTCAGCTGGAGGTCGCAGGGGCCTGGACTCCACCACTCGTACTTTCAGAGTCGGGGACATCATACTCTAGGATCCTCGCGATTGTCGAGGACGCTATCGAGCATATCCTGGGGTCCAAATACGATTGAACGTCGGGTGAGGATTTTGCGACAAGCTGGAAAGGCTCCCCATGAATATGAGTAAAGGGAAGGCGTCCATTTAGGGTGGGGAGGTGGTGTCGATCAGACACCAAGGATAGAAAAGTACTCGCGTAAGTCCGCCAAACGCCGAGCTCCTGCGAAGCATCCTCTGTTGATCTCGGATCCCGAAATCTCGATTCCGAGATACGTGGACAGAGAGAATGCAACGGGGAGTTTGCTTACGAACTCTGCTGTTGGAATTGTCTGACGTTGGCGGGGGGGATCAGGGACCAAAACCTGCAACTCATTCATTGATTCGCCTAATTTAGCGGCACGCAGCCCGGGTCTTTCAGAGACTTGTCAGGGGTGTTCTCCAGGCTCTGAGCACTAAATTTTCCTTGAGCAGTACCCCGAACTTCCCCACAGGGACACGCTTATTCGCGAAAGAAGCACTCATTTTCTCCCACTCTTCCATCAATTCTCTCAACATTGCCAAGGTTATTTCCCATCCATCCATCTTTTCCCTGTCTCTATGCCTCGAGCGCCATCTTTTTACCTCCAATAGGGCAAAATTTTTAAATTGACGCCTAGGGCTATAATCAACTGCATTGGCGTCAGACTTCTCCTGTTCTTTTCTTCCGCCCCAAGAACAGAAGATCGACTTACCGGAGCCTTGATTGAATAATACCAGCTATATCAAGAAGTATGGGACAGAAATATTTCTGGTGTGTAAAGAATATGGCAAAATAGAAAGGTCACAAGCGACAGCGCCTCCTGCTGATTCAACCACTCCTAAGATCAAAGCGTAGCGGATGATTTCCTCAGGACTCTCAGCTAAGGAACCAGCCACCCAATTGCAGAAGCTATCCCGCCATCGCAAGTACTTCAGCATCATTCTACGCAAGGTACTTACTTGTGAACCAGGGCGCTTTGAACCAAATTGGCAATTTCTCATTGATCGACGCGGGAGAAATACTCACAAGTTCACCTGGTGGGAAATATACTGGGCCCATCCTCGACTCAAACCACAATCCACGCAGTCAAGAGCAAGCCTGTGATGCCAGTATCCATATTTGATCTTAATAGGAGTCCCTCTGCTCTCCCCCGCAACTCTACACAATGTTTGGAAGTTTTTGGACTTACGACCACAGCCCAAACCCAACTTCCAATAACCTTGGACATCCCGATACACGCTCACTCTGCTCTTGCGTTCTAACTTACCCCTCGCCAATCTAGAAAGCCACGCAGAATCGCGTTCGCGGTGATCTGAGCCGGAGACGAGATGAGCGAATCCAAGCCTCGAGAACGAACGCTGAAATAGAGTGACAGGTAAGAGCCGCGCCGATGTAGGAGAGGAAATGTGGCGTATAGCGATAGAGGGACAAGCAAGAGAAATTTCTTCCCAATGGCAAGCTTTACGAGCGCTTTTGGCTCCTCTCTGGTTGAGGTTTCCTTTCCCATGTCGACTAGGGTGCTGTCTGTTCTTCGGACGCCTTTTGGCTGGGAAAGGAGGAGGACGATGAAGGGACCGAGACATTCTGTATTGTATCAGGAATCCACTTTATACATTTGAGAGGGAAGGGCATTTTATGAGGGGCAACGAAGACTGTGTATGTTTTCCAGTTTAGTTTCCCTGTGCTCTTGATGCTATAATCTGTCAATTCATCAACGTTTACTTATAAAGAGGAGGGATGGGACGCACTGGGAACTAGATTGATAATCCCGCCGAGGATTGAACCACTCTTCAGTCCAAGGAAGCAAACTGTTCCCTAAGGATGAGAATGAAACTCACATATTTTGATATGCAAGCCGGTATACTAAATATCGTCCCCGTTTATAAGCTTCTGGGTTTGATATCCGTCTATTAGTCAGGAAGGAAAAAGGGTTGTGAGGATGGTACTCACAACCAATCGTAATTGCAGCCTCAGCAGACCAGAAGATGCCAGCCGTGATTCCACATGCCGCCGAGAGAGGGGGGGAGGCTCGGTTGCGTTGTGGTGTTTGCTTCTACCGTACGCATTTGTGAGATTGCCGAAGGTCACCTTTCCATCTGGTTTATGCTTGCGAATTATTATGTAGGAATTAGATTCGTCGCAATCTAGGCAGTTTAAAAGAGGAAGCACCTACGCGGGACAATACGAGCGACACTAATACTTCCATTTGCTTGCCACTCCCACCTGTAACTATGTCCCGGCACCTCCTCCTCAACTTTTCGCCTCACTCCCTCAAAATCACCTCCCGGAGTCACTTCTTACTAATATTCCCCTATGACTCTGTTTCCCACATTCGATTGCTGTATCGTTTCTTTGGAGCACAGGTATACTTAGCGCACATCTTTTCGTGGTACGAAGAAAACGGCATAAAGGATCGGGAATGCAGGGCATTTAGTGGCCTTCATAAAATAATGCCCTGTATTCCCGATACTTTATGCCATTGTCATCGTAGAAGTCGGAACTTCGCGTTGAACGTATTCTGCCAGAGAGATGCTGGAATTGATGAAAATTTCTCCTCTTGTTTCATACTGCTCAGAGCTTAGGTATCTTTGACTTGACTGGAGTGGAGAAAATACCAGATTTTTGAGTAGCCAAGCTCGTGAAGATCAGCCATGACGGATTTACAGTCGACCATCAGCATTGATCTTGTGTAAAAGAAGTATTTCGAACTCTTCATTTGCATTTTTTACATTCTTCGCAAGTACCGTCCTATTCGGTGGTCTCCCCAGTTCCTCAAGAGCAGTGAACCCAAACGCGTGGGCAACGTCGCTCTAATCCTGTGGTGTCTTGATTGGGATGCCGCAGAATAGCACTGCCCCTCCATATCTCTGTATCAGGGAGAAAAATACCCCTGATTCGGAAACTGAGATCAGTACCGCGATAGAGTTGGTCCATGGCCATCATTGAGGGGGAAGACAGCAGAGATACCGGCCATCTGTCTCTCATAAAGGAAGCGTTCAAAAAGCCTGATACTACTATCACTCGTGGAATAACAGTGAAGCAAAAAGTTTCCAGATAAAAGTGGGAATACAAACATCGTGGCGTAGAAGGGCTCCTAATGCCAAGATATGACTCAAAGTACTGCAACTAATAGCAACTACTGACTTTCACTTGATTCCCATTCAGGGGCATAGTTCCTGAGAGTCTTCAGAAGGATCAGAGATGGGATGCACAAGAGATTTTGAAAGGATAGTTAGAGATGGTGCAATTGGAAAGTGACATAACGCAATGGAATTTATGGAGAAAGGCCTTGACACTAGCCGCGCACTGATCTCTCTTCTCGCTTAATTCAGGGGTAGCCCGAGTGAAAGTTATCTGCTTTTGCAACTGTTACAAGCACTCAGCACTACATTCGAGGGTAATATTATCTTGTGGGTGGGTTCTACGTAGTCAACGGCATAAAGTAACGGGAATACAAGGCATACGAGCAGGTTCGGGGCTGCGAAGGCACTAATGCGTGTGATTTAAAGGCTTATACTTGCTATAAAGCCCTATCCCTTCGTCCGGCGAGACATAGTCCACGCTAGCAAGGGGGCCTGGCTCAGACTGTACGGAGGTACAGCCCATAAGTATTCATATAGCGCTAGCAGGGGTCTGAACTTCAAACCCTTACAACGCAACTACGAAATGCTATAAAAAACAGAAAAATAAAATAGCATAATAGCATACATATATGAGATGATAATCGAGTTTACTAGGCGCCTTTATGTCACGATTTGAAAGAGTTATGAGGGTTTAAATTTTCATAGACCCCGGTCGATTCGGTTGCTATGTGAATACTTATGGGCTGTACCTCCGTAAAGTCGTACCTTTGCTTAAAAACTTATTAGTCATCTATCGCCTTTTCGCCCTGAGCCAGGCCCCCTTGCTAGCGTGGACTATGTCTCGCCGGACGAAGGGATAACGTCTGAGCGCTATAGTTGCCCTGCTAACAAAACTATAACCCTTGAACATTTTCCACAACCTTACCTATGGCTTACAGCACACTTTTAGGACAGCGGCCTGGAGAAATAGAGGACTTTAGTGGTTAATTGCAGTGGAAATTTGATACCCTGAGAGCCTTAAACTTGCGCGCATATCCTGTATTCCCGTCACTTCATGCCGTTGTCTCCGTATACTCGCTTTCACTGGATCTTCATTTCTCTATCCGGAGGCATAGGTACAAATTATCAATACTATTTGGGTAACTGTCAGTGTGCCAAATTAGGTTGCCAGGAAACAAGTAAGATAGATACTCTTCAAAGGAGTTTGAGGTGGAAAGGGGGAAACGGTGAATAACCAAGCGAGGCTTTTTGATTCACACATGATCAGAGAGAAATCGCTATTCGGAAGGTCAACGTATTTCCATTCATTTACTTTCTGAGTTCTATCGTCTCGATGTTGACTCGCAAGTTCACTAGATAGAGAAAAAGTTGGTCTTGGGGAACAGTAAACAGTGCAATAAGTGTATATTTATGTCCTTCTAATCATTGGATCCTCCCTGCTTTAAACCCTTTACATTCTCCTGAGTGATTTCAGGTTGGCTGGAAACGTCGAGTACCTGCCAGTGTGTCAAATGAGTAGAGTAGAGTAGAGTAGAGTAGTGGGTCCTACTCATACTCTACTCAAGCTACTCATGAGTAGTGTGAGTAGTGTGAGTAGGTACCCACGTGACAGACTAGCCCAATAAGGTAAGCCTCCCGTCTAGCGCCGCTCTAGCGCCAGGTATCTACCCAATTAGGCAGTGGCATTACTTAGTAAGCAAGACAGGGGAAATCACCAGAATCAAGATTCTAAAGAGCATAACTAGTTTATTATTATAGAAAATTAGTATTTAGCTAGCCTTATATAAGCCCTAACTTACCTTTACTAGGGCTACTTAATAAATACCTGTATTATTTAATTATTATTAAATAAATCTTAATTTATTCCTGTCACGTGACGGCTACTTATAACTACTCATACTACTCATGAGTATATACTCTACTCTACTCAGATTTTTAGGAAATTACGCTACTCATATTCTACTCACGCTACTCATGAATATTCATGAGTAGTATGAGTAGCATGAGTAGTTCTTTGACACACTGGTACCTGCCAAGTACACGACTTGGATCCCCAGAGACTTCACCAAGAAAGTTGTCAAATAAACCCTCCTTCGTAGGCTCAATCTCTTTGAAGCGTTCGGGACTGAATGAATAGTAAATATGGTATTGTAACCAATCCTCCTTTCGCGTCTCGCGAATCCCGTCTTTTGGGCCCTCGTAATTATCACTCGGTGCCATTGCTTCGGATCGCCCATCAAGCCAATCTTTATTTGGGCCTCGTGAACTGTCCCTTTTTGCTATTTTCCATTGTTGCTGTCGCCGGAAGATGCATTATTACTTGGAGATGCTGGTTGATTGATAATCGAGATTTTTGTGTTCTCCACGTAGTCTAATTGTCCAATTGATCTGTTATGTATCTTTCTGTAACCGAAGTCCCTATCAAAAGCACGACCCCACCAAAAGCACGTTTTACATAAAAATAGTTTAATTAATTAAAAAATAACCACTTTATAAAATGGTCTAATTTTTTAAATATAGGATCTTTCAAATAGTTAGAATATACTTTGTATATTATATAATCAAAATACTTAATACTTCTTAATATAATAAGCTTTTTCTTATTTTAGTTATATATAATAAATATTAATATAATTTTTATATTATATAATATTATAAAGTAAAAAAATTCTAGATTTACTATTTTATAATATTAAAATTAATATATATATTAAAATTCTATATATTATAAGTATAAAAGGCTTAATTATAAAACTAATAATTTTAATTTTTTAATTTTTTAATTTTTTAATTTTTAATTTTAAATAAAAAAGTATTTATAAGATATAAAAATAAGATATAAAGTTATATACAATATTTTATATAAGAACTAATATTTTAAATATAAAAATCCTAATTATTAAGGCTTTATATAAATAAATATAATAAATATATATATTATTAATTACTTAATATTAAATTTATAAATATTATATTAATATATATAAGAATCTCTTTATTATTTTTATTTAATTATGTTTTGAAGTTATATTTATAATAAAAAGTTTATACTATTTTTATTAATATCTTATAAATTAATAATAATTAAGAGATTTATATATTAAATAATTAAAAAAGCTTATATAAAATTATAATAAAGATATTACTTAAGGAATATTTAAATGAAATCTATTAAAATAAATATTAGCTTAAAGAAATTATAATTATTATATAAGATTATTAATAAAGTCAATATTATTAGTTTTTTATAATATCTTAAAATAAGATATTTTCAAAATTATAAAATTAAATATATAAAGAGCTTTTAATAAAGATTAAGTAATAAATAGATATCTTATATATAATATTAGAAATAAAATTAATAATTTTATTATATATGCTTTATTAACTTTTATTTTATAAAAAGTTTTTAAAAAATATATTTTTATAAAAAAATTAACTTAAACTTGGATTTTATTTAGAAATAATAAGTTTTAATAAATTACTTCTATATATTTTAAGTTACTATAACAAATAAAATATAGCTTATATAATTTTATATTATTTTTTATATTTATTATTAAAATATATTAAAAGTTAATAAATTAAATGAAATATATATCTTCTGAAATATTTTCTTTAATTATACAAAATACTTTATTATTATTTTATTTTATTGTTTTATTATATATATAGAGCTTATATATGAAATATTATATAAAACGGATTTATAGTTATCTAATTATTAAGAAATAAAAAATTCTCTAAATCGTGCTTTTGGTGGGGTCGTGCTTTTGGTAGGGAGTTCGGTTACAGTCGACTTTAAAGGCGTGATGTGGTGGCAAAGTGCGCAAGATCGGGAGATGAACAGGAAAATTTGTTGCGGAGAAACGGCCACTTTTTATAAGCATTTCTCAGAGATTCTTCGGGGGGCTGGCGTGACGTGAATGCAAGCAAAAGTCAACCGCATTAGAACTTATGGTTCTGAATGAATAATAAGCGATCAAGCTTAAAGTGCTCTGATTGCATTACCAGGTGCTCGCCCCACCCCAGCTGCCCCTTTTATTCCTCGCTTGGAGAGTCATCGGGTTTTCGCGAGGAGCTGCTGATGCGAAGCCTGGAGCTTATTTCACCGCAAGAGGTGTGGGCGCCACGAAGTATGCTCTTTCTTAAAAGCATCATGAAGTCTGTTCCGAAATGCCAAAGTGGGTAATGTGATTCCAAGCCGGAATTCTTTTTATTTTGTCCTGCTATCCCCCATTTCCGCAGCTCCCGCATTAGCCCTTCCCTTCCGCTTCTCGCAATTCGCTTTCGAATGTTCCCAATTTCAACCAATCAAATTTCACGTTACGCAGCGACTTATTCAGCACGCTGCATACCTTTGGTTATGTCCGGTCACGCTTAGTAGTTCATTACTCAAGGAGCTATATAAGTGAATCGACCCAATGGAGTTTCCCTCTCATTTCATTCAAGCGTCTCAAACAATTGCAAACCAACTCCATCCGACACAATGGCAACAATGCAAGCCCTCCTCCTCAGGAAAGACATCCCAGGCGCAGCGCCAACTCTCACCCTCACCACCGTCCCCAAACCAACACTCACCCCAGGCCACCTCCTCGTCAAAGTCCACGCCTCAGCAATCCACCCTTCTGACCTCATAAACGCCAAAGGCGCTTTCCCCTTCACCACTTTTCCGCGGATCCCAGGGCGCGACTATTCTGGCACTATCGTGGAAGGCCCTCCGTCCCTCGTCGGCACGGAAGTCTACGGCACATCAGGCTTCACGCAAGCCTTCTCCCTCGATGGAGCGCAGGCTGAATATATCCTCGTTCCCGAGGCGGCCGTTGCTCCGAAACCGAAGAATCTGAGCGCCGTGCAGGCAGCGACGTTGGGCGTGCCGTTCACGACTGCGAATTTGGTACTGAGGAGGGCGGCGTGCAAGGAGGGTGATGTTGTGTTGGTTCTTGGGGCCAATGGTGCTGTCGGTTCGGCGGCCGTGCAGTTGGCGAAGAATATTGGCGCGAAAGTACTCATGGGTACGAGAGATGAGAAGGGGGATGTGAATACCACTTCTGACCCCGAACTGAAGAAGATCGACGAATTGACTTCAGGGAAAGGTGTAGATGTTGTGGTTGATACTGTGGGCCAGCCCGGGTTGACGAAAGCTGCGGTTGCGAAATTGGGGAGAGGTGGCAGGCTGGCGTTTATCACAGCACCCAGGATGGGAGTCACGGAGTTGGGTGTTGAGATGTTGGATTTTTATCGGATGGAGAAGACGCTTGTTGGGTGTAATACGCTTTCATATTCGGTAGAGGAATTTGCGGAGGAGTTGAAGGCTTTGACTCCGAAGTTTGAGGATGGCGGCTTGAAGGCTGCAGCGCCGGGAGAGTGGAATGAGTTGAAGTTAGAAGATGGCGTGCAGGCATATGAGAGAGCTGGCCAGAGGGGCGGTGGTAAGTTTGTTATTGTGGCATGATTTTTCTGAGGAAGTTTATAGAGTCTTTGCTTTCCCACTGCGGACAGATCGAGGATGAATAACTTGCCAAGCTCCACGAAGCAGATGCAGAATGAGTAAGAGGGGCGGGAAACGAAAGACCTGCACCAAAAGTGTAAGCCGTGTGGAATATGGATAGCCTAAACATAAGGATTGCTATTGGAGATTGTGTACTGAATTTTGTAGATAGAGCAGGGTGAACTCATGAAGTTAATCTAAATCGCCTTCTGGAGCAGGCAATATTATGGATCACGTGACTCTGATTCCCTCTCCCAATGTTTTGCAGCGATGATCTTCAGGGCAAAGTACTCTGCTTGAAGTCACCTTATTCAATGCTTCATTTGCTTGAAAAGGTCGTATCGAGAGGTCCAGATCGAGACTCCGTTCTTGTTACCCGACTCCAGCGGGGTCAAATGCGGGGCAATCCAGTGTCGATCACCAGCGGCACATGCAGAACCACTGAAAAGCCCTTCGTAAGAGGGTGATTTTAATACGAGAGAAAGTATATATCCTACTCCCATCGCCGATCCCTTCTCATTCGTCCCTCGTGAAAGTTGTACTGCATACACCCGTACTGGGAGTTGACTCGCTTTTTGCCTGCCCCTCGCTTGTCATTCCCCTTTCGAGGTTCTGTGGCTGCCAACACCTCGGCCCAGCGCTGCCCCAGACACCGAGACGCCGTTTGAGCCTGATCTAACTGTGCCCTTTTCTAGACTTCACCTCTCTTCGACATTCCATTCATCTCTTCTTCTTATATACATCCTTCAAAGCGTGGATTTTGTGTGTTACTCTCGTGTCACTCCGCACTCACCGCCAAAATGCCCATCCACGCCCGCTGGACGATCCCCATCCCTGTGTGCTCCCTCCAAACCTTCCTCTTCAATCCTTCAATCGGTCTCTCGCCCGATAAACCCGCCTTCTACGATGCCGACCGCCCAGACACGCACTTCCTTACTCGCGAGACCGTCCGATTGTGGTCTCTGCGCTTCGCCGCCGGGCTGCGGAAAGCAGGGCTGCAGCCTGGGGATCGCGTCCTGCTGTTCTCGGGGAACAGTTTGTTTTGCCCGATTGTGTTGTTGGGGATTGTGATGGCGGGTGGGATCTTCACGGGTGCAAATCCCGGGTTTGTGGCCAGGGAGTTGGCGTATCAGTTGAAGGACTCAGATGCTAAGTTTTTGATATGTGCTGATGGGAGTTTGGAGCTTGGCATCGAAGCTGCTGAAAGTATCGGGTGGTCGAAGGAGAGAATTTTCAGATTTGATGATGAACTTTTCGAAGGTACTGGAGGGCCAAGACTGGGGACTAGACATTGGGCTACTTTGATCGAGAGTGAAGAGGTGGGGAGGAAGTTCAAGTGGTATGAGCCAGCAGACCCGAAAGATACGACTTGTTGCTTGAATTACAGCTCTGGGACGACAGGAGTGCCCAAAGGAGTGATGATTACGCACTACGCTTATGTGGCGAATGCAATCCAGTTTGCGCATCTGTCGAGCTTGCATCCAGACCATGAGCACCGGACGAAGACTTCGTTAGCTACCCCCTCCCTCCGTTTCTCGGAAGGTTTCTAACAAGGGCCAGGAAATGGCTCTGTTTCCTCCCCTTCTACCATGCTATGGCGCAGACGATCTTCATTGCTGGTGGCCTAGCACGCGGTATTCCCGTGTACATCATGAAGAAATTCGACTTTGTCCAGATGCTCGAAAATGTGCAGAAATACCGCATCTCCACCTTGACCATGGTTCCACCAATCGTTGTGGTAAGTCCCCCAACTCCCCACCCCTTCGGTCTCCCAATTGACCATAATCAGGCTCTCGCCAAATCCCCCCTAACGAAAAAGTACGATCTCAGCAGCATCCGCGACATCGGGTCCGGCGCTGCACCGCTGAGTGGCGAAGTAATCGAAGAATGCGAGGCTCTCTGGCCCTCGAGAGACAGGAGATTAGTGCAAGGCTGGGGAATGACGGAAGCTACGTGCTCGCTGCTTGGCTGGGACCTGACGAGCGAGATTGATCCGAATTCAGTCGGCGAGTTGAATGCAAATTGTAGCGCGAAGATTATGGATGCGGAGGGGAAGAAGGAGGTGCCTGTTGGTGAGAGGGGGGAGATTTGGGTGCAGGCTCCGAAGTACGTCTCGTTCATTTTCCTTTTTCCCCTATTAAAATATTCAATTGAATTGTGAGTATGGAAGGAGACGGTGCTGATGATAGGGGATAGCCTCATGAAAGGCTACTGGCGCAACGCCCCCGCCACAAACGAAATCTTTGTTGAACAATCCGACGGCCGCTGGATGCGCACAGGAGACATCGCCTACGTCAACGAAAAAGGCTACTTCTTCATTGTCGACAGGATGAAAGAGCTTATCAAGGTTAAGGGGAACCAAGTTGCGCCGGCGGAGCTGGAAGCGCTGTTGCTGGAGCATCCGGCTGTGCAGGATGCATGTGTGGTTGGTGTCGTGATTAAGGGCGAAGAGGTGCCGAGGGCGTATGTTGTGCCCCAGCAGGGGAAGGGAAGTGGAGACTTAGAGGGGGAGATTCAGAAGTGGTTTAGGGAGAGGACGAGTAGGTATAAATGGTTGGTTGGGGGCATGGGTTTTGTTGAGGCTATTCCGAAAAACCCAGTATGTTTATGGCCCTCCTTACTTCTCGCTGTTCCTGCTAACGAGACGAAGTCGGGTAAAATCCTGCGGAAAATCATGAGAGAAAAGGCGAAGGCGGAAGTTGGGGATAAAGATCCTGTGCAGGCGAAGTTGTAGATGTTTAGAACGGCCGTATAAGTTGATATCATATCTCAGGAAAGATGTGAAATGATTACGAATTCAACTGTTCGGTGGCATTCAGCTTTTCTGTCAGCTTACACCTTTATCGTCATTCCTCTCGAAGTCCTCCAACCTCACCACGACAGCGTATTTCAGCACGCGAGCTTGCCCCACCTTGTAATCGATAATTGTCATCTAATTTCCAAGTCCGTTTAGTTGGGGAGGACGCAGATATCGTTCCCGATTTGATTTTCTCCAACCGGATATTTGGTATTCGACGGAAATAGCTTTGAGTTTAAATTCCTTCTAGCAAGGAGTTGTGTAGGGCTGTTGTTAGCTCCAGCGCAGTTCGGCACCACTGCATCAGCTTACTCTTTATTTTTCTCTTCTATGGAATCGAATCACTTAGATTAGAGGGTGTCCGATATAACTTGACGTTTCTATATATGAAGTTTTTAAAACCCGTAAATGTAATATTTAGTGGAACGAGCGGTCATAATTAAAAATCGCCCATGTAGCCAAAGCAGTACTTCGTCACAGGCTCACAGTGTTTTCATCATCATGACGTTATTTGGGCAAGCACTTAATACAGAGGTCGTGGCATAAAGTATCGAGAATACATGGCATTTTCACCTTTGGTGCTCTACAGGTACGAATTTAGGGCAAGAGTTCACTCTAAGCCCTATAACTCCAGGCAGTGCTCCCTAAATCGACGTAAAGAGGCGCTGTAAGAGATTGGCAAGGGATAAGTAGATATTCTAGGGTTATAGCGCTATTAGTAGAGCAACTATCGCTTGGACGTTAAACGAGTAGCTATTGTAGGCCTCCTTAGCGATGACTCGCTTATAAGTACAGGAGAGAAGCCCCAAAAAGGTGGGCAGCCCCAGTCGAAGGCTCATAGACTACCTCTAGGGGAAGGGCCTGGAAATATAGGGCCTTATAGCGAGTTTTCTACCTTGATCTGTAAGTTAGAGGGTCTAAAAGTCTCCCAATGCCTGTATTCCCGATACTTTATGCCGCAATCTCCATAAATGTATAAAAACAGAGGAACTTCTCACTTTGGTCGGCCTTCTGCAAACAGAAAGGGTAGCGCCCAAGGTGCTTCACTGGAGACTTGGGAAGGATAACAGTTGGTTGTTAAACCCGAATCATAGCCTCCACGGAATCCGTTTCTGTTCGAAAGGTGACCAGCGCTGCTTTATCGACCCCACTAGGCAAGCTAAGGAGATGAGGGGAAGGTGAAAAACGGGTAAGCAGTGGTGAGCAACGGTGGAAAACCGCAGAGACAGCCGAAGTATGTATTAAGGAGAGAGAGGGGGGGGGGGGGGGGGCAGGTGGGCTCCCTTAAGATCCGGTTACACTTTCCTCGTATCGTCTTAGGCGCAGATCCCATTTTAGCTCCGCTGTAGCCAGAATTCCTCCAGAACTAATTTTGGATTACGTATACTTATATACACATTACAGGTAACCTTAACTTAATCTTATTATTCTATAACATCTCTTTAATATTTATAAAGGCAATTTAACATAGTAAGAAATTCAATAGCTCTTAATTTACTTGAAGCAATGGGACAAGGCGTAAAGATCTCTATTTCCTGTCTTGTAGAATACAAAGCTGAAGAGAAGAAGAGATAGAGAGAGAAGATAGAAGAGAAGAAGTACTAGCTAAACCGACTGAAATGCCAGCCTGACAGGTGAAACCAGTCAGGTAATAGCCTACTCCCCATAACGCCAGCCAGTGCCGTCACAATATGAATATAAATATAAATATTTTAATATTATTCCATTGCTTTATAAGTACAAATATAATTCTTTTTTTAAATTACTCCTGTAGTCTCAGTTAAGCTTTGAAGAGGAAGAGCTAAATTATCGATCCTAGATTCCTGAAGTTCAGGTGATCGGGCAATCTCTTCTTGGTAGAAGCGCAATTGGGCCGACCTTTGTCTCGCTCTCTGACTTTTCACTCCCTCCCCTAGAATGACCCTCCCCACCCTCGCACGCACTCCTGATTTCCCAACTTCTATCACAGGCGTCGTCAAGCAGAAGCCGAACTGGATAAGGAATTCCACCATAGCATAGAGCACCGCTCCACGAGCACGACTCGCTTCGGTGGTTCCGACCTCGAAATAAAAATAGGGATTCGAGGCCCCATCTCCAGTAACAAACCACTCGAAGAACTTTTGTGGTCCATCGGTAGACGAAACCAATGTCATGCCCTTCTCTGCACCCCATTTCTGAAGCCGTGATTTGAGAATCGTTTCGGCTCTTTTCTTGAACCCGGCGATCTTCCCGGCTGTTGACCATATCGTGACTTGACGAAGTCGCCTAAGCCGGCGTTTGTATATGACAGCAAGCCCCAAGCGTCCAGCAGTCACATCCCAAATCCCCTCTGCCCACCGATCAGCCTCATTATCTATGCCTGGCCAGGTTTCCGGGACCATGTAATCAGGCGGTGCATTCCCCACATTGGCAGGCAGGCCCTGAGAAAAAGGTCTTGTTCGAGAAAGGGCATTCGCGATAATGTCTGAAGCTCCAGCAGGCCCCAGATAGTGGGTAAGCATTGTGGTAATAATAACCAGAGATTTTAGCAGCTGCACAGTTCGAAATTCGTGGTCGTGAAGTAAACAGCTCTGGTCGGCGATCTGAGCAAAGTCCGGCGTGACCATGTCTAAGTCCAATACCCCTAACAACAGACACATCTCTTTGCTAGCAAGAGTCCATACCTTAGGATTGATTCCCGAATTTTCTTCTACATTTTTGTATTCGACGGTTACTGCTCCAGTCCATTTTGAATCCCACATCCTCTCCATGTGACCAGATAGCATGCCGTACTGTCGCTTATTTGCAGAGATATATGCCTTTATGTGCGAAATCGAAGTCAGAATATCAGATGGTTTGTTCGTGACCGCATCAAGCATGCACCTCTCGACGAGATCTCCTGGCTCCAGTGACGGCTTCAAAGGTTGGCCGCCCCAGAGCTGAGAGAAATTCGTAGACGTGAGAAGGGTCTTCAGCTGAGCCTGAAGCCCGAGAATGATTTTCTACGCCCCAATCAGTACGTCTTCAAATCTCATACGGATGGGGGGAAGTACCTGGAGACTTTGATATACAGTCATGAGATTACACAACACAAACGTGACGGCATTGCTTTGCTCCTGAACACGCTTTCTCTCTTTTTCGCTCCGCGCCTCGATAGCTTTCATGACCAACTCTTTTAATTTGTTATTTTCTCGAAGCATGTCTTGCCGCAATTTCAACATAGCCTGCATCACCTCCCCGAACTCCCTACGGAGAGTGTCGTGCTCAGATCTCGAAGCCGCATCCATTGATTCCAGAGCTTTCTTAACATCCATGTGCGCTTCTTTCTGCGTTGACACAATGGTACTAGTTGTTTGCTCATGCCTCTCATCCGCCCTGGCGCTTTCAACTAATATGGAATCGTAGAGAGACTCGGTGTTTTCCAAAATAGCTTCAGATACTGACCTCGATTGGTCTTCGAGAGAATTGAGTGCTGATATGAACTCTGCCTGTGTTTCCTTTTGTTTCGATACGATTGTAGTTGCTGTTTGGGCGTGCCTCTCGGCAGACTTTGCACTCTCCGAGGCCATCGTATCGCGAAGGGAGTAGTGATTTTCGGACAAAACCTCGAACAACATTTTCGCATGCCCGTCGAGGGAGTCGAACCGTGCGGACTGCTCCGTAGATGTAACATCAATATGACACCTAGCAAAATTAGCTTTTCAATTCATTAGGAACTTCCGATTGTAACCAACTTCAGGTCCACAAGCACATGAAATTGTATCTCATCGCGATACCCCTCCAACCTCCGTTTCATATCCTCCACACGCTTCTTCCCCCACATCGCCTTTAATGCCTTTCTCGAGCTCTTGATTCTGCTCTTCTTACCATCCGCTTTCATCCCCTTCAATGCGTCCGACAGCTCCTTCGCCACGATCGTGCATTGCTCACAGATACAGTCAAGGCTGTTATTTCCAGTCGCTGCCCCCGCAGACGCTGCAAGCTTCACAGCCACCTCGGTAATATCCTCAGTGAGGACTCCGATCTCGATATGCTCTACCAGAGCTCCATTGGACGAGTTGTGAATCTCGCGCGCTTTGGAGACAGCCTTCACCCCAAGGTCCAGGAATTGGATGACATTTGCTGCCACGCCTAGAGCGGTTATCGGGTCCATTATGTCCGCTCGCGAGGAGCATTATTCGGGGAAATTGATGGGTGGGATCAAGAAAGGAAAGAGTATAATCATTCTTACACTACGTAAAGGAAGAGAAGATTAATTGAAGGAAAAGCTGTTGGGTTTGGGGTAGAGCCTCGTCCTACGTAAGCCACATTATGCACGTCGATACTCACAACCGCTTCGGGTGCAGGAGAGCTGAATAAAAAGAAAAATATATTCATGTCACTCTGGATGCCTGCGTTGCAAGGTTTCGGGTAAGGTTCTAGTTAACCTTTCCAGTATCCAGACATTAGGTAAATCAAGGGGTTACTTCCCAAACCGTACTACTGCTGCAAGTCACTGCGAGGCTGTGAAGCCGCATCAATGCCAAAGGAGCCACCTGCCAGACAATCGCGCGTGCCATTGGTCCGAGAAGACTTCTCAGGAAATAGAGATGTGCAGCATACCAGATTCATAAGAGACTCGAGAAAATTTCCAATCCGCTAGTATATTCAGAACGCTTACTGAGGCCATTTGCGAGTTAGAGGACAAAACGCGAGTTTTTTTTAACAGAAAATCAGAAAATCAAAACTCGCTTCCGCGTTTTGTCCGCTAGCTAGCTATTGGGCCTCAGTAAATCGCGGGGGATCGCAGCTTATGAATGGTGGAAATTAGCTCCTCACTAGTGGGAACTATCCGAGGGCTGGAAAGGGGGGGTATAACACGTGATGCTGGAGACTCCCAACCCACGTGTTCCCCTCTCTTCCACTAGCGAACAAAGCCAAGGGATACAGGTCTGTTGATAAGTTCCATGGTTTATTGGCTAGAGTAATTCCATGGTCTGAGTAACCGCCGTTTCATAATAAAGTACCTCGTATGAAGACTAGAATGACTTTCACATCTCTCCTTTGGACTGCGCAATATATGGATGGGCAAGGATGGCGCGGCAGAGATCGACTGACCTTAGAAAGGAACTCGCTCCATTTTCTTATTTCTGGAATCATGCGAGTTAAGCCGTTCATTTCGCAATTTCTTCCAACAAAACCAACCCCCAAGCTTGGAAGTTGCTCCAAGGTTCTGCCCTCAACCGAACCTCCCCCAAGCCCCCCTGAAAAATTCCATTGTCAAGTCCACCGTCTTCTCATCATCCACCGGCAGCAACTGCGTTGCAAAAACCATCCCCAGTCTCTTCTCTTTATGATGGCCCAAATAAAATTCGGCATCCCATTCCAAGTCAACGACCCCTCTGGCATGCCCGAAAGCGGCAACTCCCCCTCAACAACTAACGCCCCCAAGCTATGATTAACGGGAACCTCCTTCATTCCCGCAGGAACCCCCGCCGGCGCCGCATAGTTCTCAGTCTCCCCTCGAACAGAAGCCAACGCCGCACTACCCTGCCCAAACTGCCCCTCAAAAAAACAAATCCTTCATCTCCCTCCCCAACACCTTAGACTCTTCTCCCAACAATTCCGCAAACAACTTACACAAATCAGGCACACTAGTCACCAACCCATAGACCTGTCCATCAGCAGGGACCAAAACCTCTCCTTTCCTTGCCACCATCTGCAAAACCCTTTCCGTGATATCAGGGCGGTCTTCCGGGAAGTACGTCGAGCTGTCCATCCCCAACATCCCAAAAACCTCCTCCTCAATGTACCGTCCCAGCGGCCTCCCGAGAATGCGTGAGATAAGAGCGCCCGTCCACTCAATACTAGCACCATAACACCACCCCTCGCCCGGCTCAAAAAGTAGCGGCGTAGTGAAATCTCCTTCTTTCGGCTCCTTCCCCTTCAAAAATTGGGGATGGTAACTCCCCTCCACTTTCTCCCCTCTGGACTTTCTCCACTCCTGGATCACCTTCTCATCTTCGACACAGAGACCGCTGGAATGGCTTAAGAGGTGACGGAGAGTGATTTCCTTTTTCGGTGGCGTGAGGGTTCGAAGAGATACTTAGAGACGGGTTCGTCGAAGGTGAGGAGACCGCGCTCGACGAGTTGGAGGGCGGCGATGTGCGTGATGAATTTGCCGGCTGAGCCGAGGAAGAAGGCGCTGTTCGCGTCGATGGGTGGAGAGGAGGGGAAAAGTGATTGGGAGCCGGAACGTTGGTGGTAAAGGACTGTGCCTGGCGGGGTCAGTCACGTTCTGAGATGTGAGGAAAGGAAAGTTTGCCTTTGGCGTTCACGACTGTCGTGATCACGCCGAGGATTTGTGCGTTGGGTGGCGCTGTTGCTTCAGCTAGCTTGGATTCGAATGGTTTCATTGTGATTTTGGGTTCAGCTTGTATACTCGATTTTGATATTGAGTACATTCAGTCAACTGTTGAAGGCACTTTGGAGAAGATATTCTAAATGGATCAGACCTATTTTTGTTGGGGGGAGACGGGTTTGATATATTTCGGACATTTGGTTGCTGACGGATTGTTTTGCAACAGGGGGGGTTTCAGGGTAGGGGCTCAAAAGCGCTACTGGTAGGGAGGCACCGCCCGACACATGAGTGCGGAGCCGCCCCAAACAGCGGAACACATTGCTTGGAAATAATGCTGCTGAACATTGGATTTATTTTGATAGAAGATGTAAATATACCAGTGGCTGCAACCGCAAGAAGGCCCTGTTCGAGTGTCTTCTGGGTTTGATATGCTCCACAGGCCCAAACAACAGCAAGGAACAATTAGATATTACTGTGACATCTGGTAATTCAAGTCTATGTTAGGCTAACGCTAGACTGCCATCAGAACCTTTAGCAAAACAGGGAAATTTGGAGAGCTAAGAATAGTCAGTCAGCGAACTTCGATGAGAGTTCCCAAGCACTTACCCAAGGCCAGTAACGGGATCCCATCCAGGAGCCGCTGGGAAACCAGGCGAGCCGCATCCAGGGTTACTACCAACAGTGATATCGGTGAATGCCTCTGGGTGTTGATACTGCAAAGCTCCATGTCAGCATTGGTCTCAATGCACGAGGCAGGATTCAGCCAAAAGGACAAAACTTTACCAGAATCGGATGAATGAACCCAACAGGGCCTTTACCAGCCTCAATACGCGCTTCGTTGACAAGAGTCAAGACCGCGCCCCAAACAGGCGAAGCGAGGGATGTTCCGCCCACCAACCACCACGATCCATTGGAGTAAACAACCTGGCGATCACCAACAGCACCGACATCCGGGTATGCACGCCCACCGTGATGGTAAACACCGCCTGTAACGCTGCTGAAGTTACCATTCTCAACGAAATGGTGATATCCACTGAAACCAAGAGTCTTCTCCACCTGGTCAAAGTAGGCAGAAACAGCATCGCGCTGGTAATCTGGGATTCCAAAGACATTGGAGAAGCCACCGCCGCTAGGGAATCTTCGAGTAGCAATCTCGTTCAGTTTCTCGCCTGGGGTAGGGGGAACCGAGGCGTCGAAGCGGTCCCATTCTGTACTACCAACTGAGAGCACGTACGGGCAAGTGCTGGCGAAATCTGGGTCAAAGATCTTGCCATCTTCACCCCAGCAGGTATCTGGGCCAACACCGGAATCGCCAGAAGACATAACAATGGTCGTTCCTTGCAGAGCGAGCTTCATCCATTCGTTGCACTGGCGCTTGATGTAGAAGTCTGGAAGGCCGGACTCGTCGGCGCCGTATGAGATCGAGATCACGTTGGTTGGCTTGTAGACACCGCACTGGAGCGCACCTTTATATCCACCAGGGTTTGGATCGGGGTAGGCTGGATCAACGCATGCTGGATCCGTGCAATCGCCTGTCTCGCCGAAGGCGCTGTAGGTGCAGTAGCTACCGTCGATGGCATCGAGGAAAGTGTTCCAGAAACCCGTGAAGTTGCCAGTTGACTCATAGTACTCGTCATCTTCTTGGTAAAGAACAAGTCCCTGGGGGTAGATCAGTGGCCACGCAGAGTCGAAGTCCAAGGGAGCTTCGAGATCGATGGGAACAAACTCCGTTGTGTCTTCGATCGCTCCAATAGCACCGTCGATTAGATCCTCCTCGGGATAAGTTCCATTGGGTATATGACTAAAGCTATATTAAAGAGGGCTCAAGAGCATCAAAGCTGAGGCTCTCTTACGGGTAAAGAGTGCTGAAGTAGATATCAAGATCCTTTCTGCTGTAGTGAACATCAAGAGACTCAAAGATGCCGAGCTTGTTGCCAGGTGCAGCCGTGGTGGCGTCTGGAATGTCATATTGAACTGAAGGAAAGGCGTCAGATACGGATATTCACATAAACACTTGAAAACACGTACCTCGCGTGCAATCAGCGGTAACATAGATGTCACAGACGCTGGAGTTTGGGTGCGGGAATCCAGGAAGCTTGGTGATGAGTGGTTTCGCAATCACTTTCGAGTCTTCACGCTTGGCGTGGCGCGTAGCCTTGATGTTTCTTTGCCGGAGTCTGGTACCAGGAGTAATGTAGTCAATGTGCTCTTGAATGTGGGAGGGCACGTGATAGGCTTCAGTCGAAATGTCATGAGATCCTGAGGCGTGCTCCCAAACGTAGAACTCGGCGATGAGGAGGTCTTCGACCTCGGAGGTTGCTGCATCGAATTGGATCCACTTGAGCGGGGCTATTAGCTACACAATCCGGAAGGTTAATGGCAAGATGGAGAGAATTACCTGTTTGTTGGCAGAGACTGCGACGCGATCCGCGCTGATTCCAGATTCGGCAAGCCATTCGAGGACGATGTCGGTTGTCGACTGTTCAGGGGCGAAGAAATCAACAATCTCTTCCGGAGTCATATGCTTTCCGTAGTTCTCAGATCCAGGAGTCGAGCTTGCATGGAAGTCAGCCAAATTCTGTCTCCATACGAGAATCAGTTCTTACATCTCCATGAGTTTGTCATGGCCAGCCTCGAGGTTGCACTGCTTCAGACCAATGCGCATGGGCAAAACTTGGTGGTCTGGAACTTTGCTTCTCTTTTGCCATTGTCCCTCCCAGTGAGGCAAGTGACGCTCGTGAAGGGCGTGTGTTACAGGAACTTCACACTTTCGCTGAACCCCAGCAACCTCGTAGGTGATAGGGCTGGCAACGGTCTGAAGCACGAGTCCACCGGCTAATGCTGCCACAAGAGAATGGAGCAACATAGCGGGTCGCTCGTTTCACGTCTCCTTTTCTGGGCGGAGGGGATTGAGAGGAACTGAGGGGAAGAGCAAACTTCTGCAAGGAGCTTGAGGAAGGAGTCAGCCATACTTATACAAACTTCCTTTCAACATTTGATTATTCTGCCCATCGTTGACCAATGCCTGCGGGTTTACCCATCCGAAAGAGCAGGTTGAGATCCATTTTCGCGCATGACTTCGGGTCTTGCGGTGGCGGCGGGATGCTAGACCTGGGAGATAAGCTTTAATAGGAAGCAGGAGGGGGGATCTCCAAGCATACCCAATGGTTTAAGGGGCTGAGTAGCCCTGAAGGGAAGCTTGTTTGCTCGGTAAAATCACGTTTTAACCCCTGTTGCCCATGGTTTTCGCGTCTTGGGATTTCTGGATCTTGCAATAGCTGTATTGGGACATAGTCTGCCAATTCACGGCAAGAGTATGATGCTTGCCTTGCACAAGGCTGCGCATAGTCTGCATGTCCACCAGTAAATTAGTTGCGATTTTTAAGGCCAGGTAGTGGAACACCTGCCAGTTTGAGTTGTAGTTGACTTTGTTGGGGCCTCGAGGAATCTTCTGGACCGACGTGTGATTGCTGCCGTGAGGTGCGACCTTCTCGATGCGGCCTAGATGATCAATTGCCTCACCCCGCTTGGACAGCGAAGGCATAATTAACCCCTGGGGAAAATCTCATGCAAACCGACATCTGGTATTTGGAAGATTAAAACGGGCTTGATATAGACGCGCGATAGGGTTGACGTTGGGCCCACAAATCGCAAGCTGCTGTGGTCTCTATAAGAGTGGGTTGTTGGTTAGCTGGGCTGATATCCAATCGTGTGAGATTCCAACGACCAATGGGTCCTGCGATTGGTTGATTCTTGCATTTGCAATTTCGCAGTGCATCCTATCCCGACTGCAGTTAACGTGATGATTCCATAACTATGAGTTCAGCGTACTGCCAGTGTCCAGGAAGTTTGATGAGGATAGTTTCAACCGCCACATATGGGGTGAGAACGGGGGTGTCGATCGCGGAGCGGCCGCTCTCAGGTCCGTGTAAAATTAGGGATGGGAAACCCTATCACGCAGACTTATATCACCAGTCACCTGGTCTTTGGATCGCAGCGCGAGGGATCCGAATTTTCGATGTTCGCTGGCAATTTCTTACGATTAAGTTGCTGATCGCTATATGAATACAATTCACACGGAGACCCGAAAGTTAAGTCTAGGATTGGGATGGTACTCCATCGAGTACCTGATAGGCCAAGCAGGAACACCAGTCGCCTTCCTTTTGTAGCCCACTTTCAAGAGGCTAGAGCCCACGGGGCGGTCGATAGCACCTGCAAGAAACTCTCCTATTTGTCAAAGATGAAGATGTGTGCTGGCTGTCAAGGAACAATTTGCTGCAACGGTCTCTGAAACCAGCGGAACCCGATCCAAGGTCGTCCGGTCTAGAATACGATTCGTTTTGTTCGATAATATTTACTATCAGCTGCAGGAAGAGTTAAAAACATCAGAAAGTGCTCTTTTCTTCGGACCCTGAGAGCTGACAGACCCAGGAAACGTGAGCAATGAAGTCATTAACCACACCGAAAGAAAGTGTCGCCGTGAGTCTGCTTTCCGGCCAACATCCAAGTTTAGCATCGTGGCTGTTGAGTACATAGGGCCATTATCCCTTGTCTTTTCGTTGGCGAGTTGACGAAGAGAGAGAGCGGGTTCATATTTATCGGCCGCATTCGACAGGACTTGCACTATTTGGAAAATCGTCAATGAAATCGTGTCATGGTGGCATATGGGGAACCGGGCTCTGGAAAGTTCGCAACAAAATAAGGGTGGCTAGTGGCCTCGGCCCATCAACACAATCTCTGCCTCCCCTTTGCCTCGCCACCCTGACCTCGAACCAACCCCTTTCCATTACAAACATATTCCCCGGTTCCAAAGTCTTGACATCCAGGATTCCATCCAATGGGCCATTTTCGTTTCCCCTTCTCGTTCTGTGGTTTGGCTTAAACAAGCCTGACCTTGTATAAAGTTTTGTTTATTGGTCAATCCGCACCTGGCGATCACAATGCCGTGGCTTGTTCCCATCTGTCGCTTCATGGAAGGGTTAATCCATAAACTTGACCGAGTGTCCCATCTCAGCCCGGCTAGGTTCAGCTCTCTTTCCGCTTGGTGACCTGACGCTACTGGATAAGCTTCTCTCGACTCCTGCAAGCACGCGAGATGTTCGTGTAGACCGGAACAAAACTCCTACACTTGCGTGAAAAACACAGCAACATGGAGCTTATGGATGGGTTTGAAAATTTCTAACAAAAATCAATCCAAGGGCGGGGGCGGGGGGGGGGGGGGGGAAGAAGAATGATAGAGCATGCAGCTCACCATTTTGGAGAGCGCTTGCTCCCATGCATCCGCTCTCTGCAGATATGGTAGAACCGTAAGAATGCCGAATGGAAAGGACAAACCACCGGCGAGAGCCTTGCTCTCCGGATTGCTGCTTCCCATCGAGCACACTCGTATCCGTGTCAAGTGTTTGCATCACGCTCCCGCTTCATTGCGCCCAACCACAATCACAGGCCTCCAGTATCTACGCAAGTCACGGACATTGATTCGGATCAACGGGTATGCTGGCTTTCTCATATGATACAATGCCAGCTTCGATTCCACCACCAGCCCAATGCTTCCATCTCCATGTCTATACTTCCACAATCGCTCCGCCTCTCCGGCAATCCATCCTCCTCTAGTGCTTGTCCGCAGGCTTCGGCGTCTTGGCATTTGGGTTTCTTGGGTCGTTCTTGAACTCGTCGCCTATAAATAATGTCAGAAAGGTGCTAACACTCTCTGGATTCGTGGCTAGACTGACTGTTCATCATCAAGGTCGCGAAGGAGTTGACGCCGTATAAGATGACAATCCCTGGGCTCTAGTCAGCGCCTCCAACGCAGATTTCCCCGTCTGTATCATTTCTCCGCCATGTTATTATTCGATTTGAGGAGTGCATGCATACCGGCAACGTAGAAAGGAGCCATTGGCTTAGCTGTTAAATTCTTCATCAGTCTTCATCCTCAAAGCCGGGAGCTCCCCAACACCAATTGACTCACCGACAGGCGCGGGAAACTTTTTTCCTAACCAAGACATCTCCGTGTTTGTGTGCGAAGACGAGATATGGACGTTTGTGATGAATTGGAGGTGGTTGTGATGGCTTGTCGTTGTCAAGGTGAGAGGTTTGACCCGAGAGCTCTGACCCGCAACCACATCTGCTGACTAAGCTTTCCCACCTCAGGCTGCACATCTTTCAGCCGGCGCTTTCTCCAAAGCACTCTAGCATTCACGTGCGGATCACCCCTGGAAGCCATCAACACTCTCATCCTGTCAGATGTGAGGAAATCCAAAGTGAAGGTGCGGGGTGAAGCTTCACGGCAAACACCCAGCCAATCGAAGCACCTTACTGGCCGTTCCCCTGCTCCTTCCTCGTACTCTCGTCTGCCCCCCTCAATCTGCTCTCCTTCTGCTCTGCTCTCACGATTCACTGCTGTCGACGATTCACTCTTATCACGATACTGTCATTGCGTCGTTGTGCGGCCCAAACGTTCCGATTGAGCTCGCAAACGCAACACAAGCGAACTCGCCAAAGCTGAAGCTCCAGCTTCCAACTTCTCACCACGATACCCCCGGATTTCCCCACCTCAACAGCATCACCATGTTCGCCCGCCGCCTGGTTAAGAGCTCCAGCTCGCTCTCAGCACCAAGCAACGTGATCCGCACACTCGCAAGCACATCGGCACTATGCCGCACTCCCGCCCTAGCAGACATCACCCCCGAAGGGGTCAAGTCCTTCGACGCAAAGCAGAAGGAGTTCAGAGAACGGATCGCCGAGCAGAGCAAGAAGAAGGAGCCAAGTCAGTCCGAGCTGTCCTCCAATTCCCCCCTTCATGTCCCTTTAGCTTGGTCCTCCACTCCCACTGCTCCACCTGCGAGCACTGCGAGATCTCCTTCTTCTAACAGTCAGTCCGGACAAGCTCTAGGCTCACACAAAGGCTCCTCTTCTGCAGAAACAGCACAGGAAGATGAAACCGGCAAGAAGGGCAAGCTGAGCAGCTTAATATATGGCACAAAGGAGGGAAGGGAGATGGATCGCGAGATTGAGCACTCGTTCAGTCAGGTTCTGGCGAGAGGGAAGTATGTGCATTCGATTGTCTTCCACGAGGTGAAGCCAGATAAGGTCGATGAGTACGTTGAGCTGGTTGGGCGCTGGTATCCACGCATGGCAGGGATGCCAGAGAACAAGGTGCACTTGGTAGGAAGCTGGAGAACCGAAGTTGGAGACTGCGATACATTCGGTGAGTTTCTCCACCCCTTATCCCTATTATTGTGTGAAGCTAACACATGCAGTCCATATCTGGGAATACCAGCGCTACCATGGCTACCACGACTCTCTCCACTCCATCGCCAACCACCCCGAATTCCCTGCCTTCGATAAGAAGCTTAAATCCCTCATTACCGCCAAGCGCACCTCGCTGATGCAAGAATTCTCCTTCTGGCCCACCACCGCACCCCGTCAACTGGGCGGCGTCTTCGAACTGCGTTCCTACACACTACACCCAGGCAATCTATTAGAATGGGAGACACACTGGCGTCGCGGCCTGAGAGCTAGAAGAGAAGTCATGGAAGGGGTCGGAGCGTGGTTCGTACAGATCGGTGAACTGAACACGGTGCACCATCTCTGGCAGTTTGCGGATCTCGAGGAGCGGAAGGTGAGGAGAGAGCAGAGCTGGAGTGTGGAGGGTTGGGGAGATACCGTGCATAAGACGGTGCCGCTCATCCAGACGATGAAGAGCAGAATTTTGATTCCTATGCCTTGGAGTCCGGTGGCTTGATCAGATCTGGCATGCCTTCTTTACACCGTGGAAATTGAGGTGCGAGCTTTTGCTTGAGAGTCATTCAAGATGTTGGAGTAAGACGAGATGGAATTCTGTTTATGTATTTTACCACTTTTGAGTGGATATTACAGAGAGCTCAGGTTTCTTTGCGTCCTTTCACACTGGGGATATTGAAGCTATTGCTGTTTTATGGCGTTAGAGAAACATCATATCCAAGGCATTGAACCAACTCTAGATTTCCAGTTTCCGTTTGCTGCTTGTGAGTATCATTCCCTTCTTCTCCATGATCTCAGTGGATTCAATAGACCGCACAATGCTCATCTCCGAGTGGAGCGGTCATCAGGCCAGAACAAATGGAGCTTTTCTGCCTCTCAGTTGATTGTCGATTTTCTCGTCAGTCTCTGCGGTTCAATGTTCCAAGTTTGACTGGAACAACGGAGGAGTGATCGCCTGCGTCCTGTCCTTAGCTAGAATGAAGATTTCGAATGTACCCGTACTTTCGGGACATTATAGGCTCGTAGCATATCATTTAGAATCTCGACTAGCCAAGCAGTTCACTAACCATAGATTAACGATAAACGTCTGCAACTTATCGCCTGGGTATCCTATCCACAACTCCAAAGCAATCTTACCCAATGTCAATCAATCATCCCCGTCCTCCTCCCCAACCCCCATCAAAACCTGCAGCCCCTTCCTCCTCTCCGCTACTACCCTCTCCAGCGCCCCCAGCTTCGCCCCAAGACTCAACAAACTCGGATCCGCACTCCCCTCCACCCTCACCTTCTCCCGAACCCGCACCTCTTCCCCTCTATACAAAAACACCTCATCCATCTCATCATGCTCTAATCTCCTTTGTGCACCGATCGCCAGTGCGAACCGAGAGATGGGAGTTGGTTGTGTAGACGTCGGTTCCAGCACTCTTAGCGTCAATAACAAGGTTGAATCTAACAGAGTGAGGTGGAGAGAAAGTGTCGGCGGCAGCGGAGGCGTAAATGTCTCCGGGTCAGGAGGGCTTTCAAACCACGCCTGTCCCGGGGGCGCCGAGATCATATTCGGTGTACTAGTGCCTGATTCCGCCGAATGCACAGGAGTAAGTAAGTTCGGGCCTTTCAGCACAGAGATCGCTTCGAGCAGAAGGGAGTGCAGGAGGTGTAGCTGTGAACTGATGAAGGGCGCGGAGTGCCGGTCGCCAGTCCACCGTGTGATGGCGACCATGTCGAGGGATTGGTTGAGGAGGGTCCGGAGGGTAGTGAGGGGGGAGAGGAGGAGTGGGTGTGTGGTGTTGAGGGTGAGGTTTAGGGGGGCGTGGGTGCGGAGGCGGAGGGCGAGTGTCTATTCCATGTAAATGAATATCAGCTTGTGGCCTATTTCTCCAAGTCTCGTGGTATGGTGGGAAAGGAGCTTGGAGTTGAGGGATCAAGACGAGCTGTGGAGGGAAGTAGACCAACATACACCCTTAACAATTCTCGTCCCCACCCTCGTGATATGCCCTTTAATACTCTCACTCCTCGGACTAGAAATAACCAGCGTACTCCCGGGCTCGATCGGCGCCAGTAGCGCATAACATTCTTCCAATCCGCTCTTCAAACTCGCGAGGGTTTCCTGCAGCGAGTCGAGAAGCCATGCCAGTTCGCGAGCCTACAGCTTTCTATTAGCTTGAGCTGAGGAAATTGAAGAGTAAACAAACAGTGGATTCATCTTCAGCTTTCTTGAGAGCATCCGGAGGTAAGGGTGGCCAGACGGCGGTAGACATGTTTGTATTCTTATGCTTGTTGTGGATTAAATAGTGGAGTATTTAAGCTGCAGCTCAATAAACGACGATTCGGCAGAATTCGGCGGTGAAGAGCTTGAGCACCACTTTAACATCACGTCTCCAGCACCAACACTCCAACCAATTCCCCCTCCACAACCTCTTAAAGCCTCCCATTATCCTCTACCAAAAATGGCGCCCAAACGCCCTGAAACGAAGTCGGCTTCCTCAACCTCCAAACCACCACACAGGAAGCTCCCCCGCCTCCCAAACAGTTTGTCTTTCCCTCCCCTCTCCTCAACTCTCTAACCTCTCCCATAGCTCAAAAAATCTCCAAGCGTCCTCTCCTCCACCCACCCGTCGCAGGCCCTCGCACAGGCTCAACCACCGAGAAAGTCATCTACGTCTCCGCCTCGTCGCCTTTCATCAGCACCATAAAACGCGTGCGCGCCTACCTATCCCACATCGAATCCCGTGCCGCCGGGCCGATCACCCTGGCAAATGGCACCAGCAGGCGTACGTCACAGAAAGTCATAAAATCCATTGAGGAAGGGATTGAGAAAGCTCGAGGAGAAGGGGAGAGGAGGGGGAAGGGGAAGGGGAAGGGAGAAGAAGTGGTGTTGAAGGCGACGGGCAAGGCGATCGAGAGGTTGTTGGGTGTTGCGCTGTTCTTTCAGGGTGAGGAGGGCATGAAGGTCGAGGTTCGGACGGGGAGTGTGGGGGCTGTTGATGATGTTGTTGAGAAGCAGAACGGTGCAGAGACGGGAGAGAGTCAGGTGAGGAGAACGAGTTGTTTGGAAGTCGCGGTTAGGCTTGCGTGAGGAGTATGCGGAGGATGATTGTTGGATTATAAACATGTTGGAATACGCACAGAGGGAAGAGATGGGTGTCGAGTACACTGCAGCTGCACACTGCATATCAGTCTCCGGGGAGGATATCCTTGGAATGCTGCTACGGAGAAGACACGAGGCAGGCGAAGAGCTAAGAGGTCATGAAGATCTTCCCGGTACGGAGAGGGACGAATGCACAAGCACATGTGCTACTATGTGCTGTGTCGTGATGAGTCCAAGGAGGGAGGCTGAGTCGAGGTAGCCGCTCCCAATAAACGGAAGCAGCGTAGTACAACAGTCGCCCAATATACTCAAGTAAGCCCCATACTATTTCCGCAAGATTTAGCATTGCTTTAGCCTCGCTTTCATCGTTTGCATTGCTAGTCACGAACACCCCTTTGCTGCTGCTGCAATCGAGGACAAGACCTGACCCAGGGATGTCTAGCTGACCACGTTGTCTCCTCGAGCTGCGTGGCAATATCGCGGAGCATCTGAAGGGAGAAGCTCTATTTGTAGAAGCTTTATTTGTAGAAGATTATTCGCAATTGATAGTTACCACGATGAATTTCTACTATTTCCAGCTGTCGGCGTGGAGATTGCGGGTGGCTTCCTCCCACTACCGAGATCATGATCACATCACAGGCATTGCAAGATACTTGGAAGTTTGTTTTACATCTTTGTTTTCGAGTCTCTGCTCTCAACTATCATCCGACTGCATTCCCCTATTCCCGGTCATGAGGAATCTCATGATACATAATGAAAGTTCCACCATAAAGCAAGCGTTTACACCGTTGTCGAAATCCGAAGTCAGAGAGCACATCTCGAGTAAGAAGCCTGCGACCAGCCAAAGACGCCAGTCTTTCACACTTCCCGTCTCAATACACATTCTTGAATGCCCAAATCTCTCAAACCATGCTGATTTCCTTCAGTTGTGGAGGATATGGCACCATCGCCGAATATGTCCTGTCTTACCACAATGATGACAGGTCATCTTCTTTGCCTTAGCCTTCTGTTCAGCCAGCCATTGCAGTCTCAGCTGGGGATGTAACACCCAGCAAGTTTCCTCCGTGTGGCCCTCTCTATCACAAGTATCACACCAGTCTGCTTGGTCCTCCTCCAGGAACATCTCTCGGCAATATTCCTCAACATGTCCCCATTTGTTACAAAAGTTGCAGAAATTCGGCTGCCAATCAACCTGGGTTTGAGAAAATGTCGAAGCCTCGTCGTGGCCAATGACATTCTGTCCACCCTGAACACCAGAAGCAACAGCCTCGTCGTGGTTGCTGCCTCCAACATAAACATCAACCTGCTTTCCTCCCAAGTTTGTTTGTTGTTCCTCAAGCTCGATATGGTGGATAGCCGCCGCCTTCATCCATGCGAAAGCGTCAACCTTGCATTTTTTCAACTCATCCTTTTCGATTGGCCGGAAAGCTTGGATTTTGTCATGATCAGAGTTTTTCGGGACCCATAGAGCAGCTTCGTGCTTCGGCAGCTTGGCGACACAGATGAAAGTCTTCATGTTTGAAGCCAAAGTGTTATGCAGCATAGCTTCATAAGTGAACTTGTCGCTGAGTTGGTCAAGTTCTTGTTCGGTCTTTTCAATGACTTCAAGAAGCCTGGTCAGCTTTGTGAACTCGATTATAGCGGGAAGATTCTCACCCTCATCGAACTCATCCTTCCACTGGTTGGTCTCTCCAACCTCAGTGTCAACCTCCCATTTCATGAAATTGTGCTCCTCCACGATGGGCATTCCCTTCTTGACGATGTTTGCGGTCTTGGCTTGTCGTGCCTCAGCAACGCGCTCCAGTGCATCATCATTTTGTTTGAGGATTGTGGCGACTCTCTTGCCCTGCTGATTTTCAAAATCGAGGATAATGCATCGAAGCTGGTTGGTCTCAATGACCTTCAGTACATAGGCATTTGTTCCGTTGAACTGATTCGAAGGAAGTTGTCAGTCACGATCTGAAGAGAAGACAGGAAGCTCTCACCTTTGGATCAGCGATCTGCGCTCGCTCCCATTGGAGCTTGCCCATCTTCAACTCGAGATCTTGCAGCTGGAAATATGCTGGAAACAGCTCTTGGGCCTTCGCGATGATGCGATCAGCATCCATGTTGTTGTGGTTGCTGGTAGACGTGTTCTTGCTATTGGAAACGTTGTCAGACGACATGATAGAACTTCCGCGGAAAGCAAGGTGAGGCAGGTGGGGAAGGGCAAAGCTGAGCGGAAAACGAACCTTGACAGCAAAATGAAGTTGGACAGGGAAGTGGTTTCTATTTGTCAACATCAGCGAAAAGCCCATGCTACCGTCTGATCAATGAGAGTGGTGACTTACTCCGGCTTGCTATTGAAGGAGGATGTTCTCCTGAATGGTGGTACCGGCTCTCAAGATTGAAAGCTTTGTTGAAGGTAGAAGAAAGGAAAGATGGAGGACTCGGGAGGGAAGACCCGATTTTATCTTCGTGGGGAGATCTCGCTAGTGCAAGGCTGCGAGAGGGGAAGGAGCCAGCCTTGCCAAAGTAAACAGTTCACCTAGCAGGAGCAGCCCACTTCAGCCTGCCACTGCCCGTCATCCCCAGCACATGAAACTGAAGTTCGCAAAAGCGTATCACCTGGAAAGGGTCATGTGACGACATCGCGCCGGAGTTCAGCGGAAAGGTGAGGTGCATTCTGATCAAGGCTCAGGGGAGAGGGAGTAGCACCTTCTCACACGTCATAAACCTTCAAGTTCCAATGCTTTGCTTGCACCTTACTTCACAGGCGTCTCTAATCTCACCAACTTCTGCCTCCTCTTCCATGCATACCCCACGTCCTCCCACGCTTTTCTGCATACGAGACAGAGTTCCCTCCTTTTTGCTCAACATCTCAGCATCGTTTCCCAGATTGCAGCTCCAGCTTTGATTTTCCAATAGAGAAATTAAATAAGGAGGTCAGACTGTACCCTTTTTGCCCTCAACTTCCCACCCTCACACCCCTCACAGCAGCAGAGGGGCCGACAATGCCTTTCGTAATATTGAGGTCGCAGCTGTGCCAAATTGATACACATCGAGGCCCCATATCTCCTCATCTTCTTATATAGTTATGAATATCAAGATAACTGCCTTATCACCCACCCCATCCACCACCAAGTTGCAGACCAGAGTAGAAGTTATCCGTGATCAGCCAAAACCAAGTCTGCAGCTCTCTAAAGTTCAACTTGATCTCATCGACCTCTCCTGCTGCTTCTTGGGCACAATTTTGTTATCGTGACTCCCACTCATCCACTTCGGCTTCTTCGAAGGGAAGCCAACTCAGCAGTCTTCGTACACATGTCCTGGTCCACGCCAACGAATACGTGATTTTTTGGTTACTCCTTCTGGCGCTTTCTCCTAGAAATCCAATAATCACCACGCTCGCGACCAAGTTGTCGGCCCATTGTGTTCACCATAAAGTCTCCGCTCTTTCGACCGCAAGGTTCGAGTCAGGTCTGATGTACTCGAGAAACTCGCTGGTTGTTTATTGCTGTGGTTGTCATTTCTTTTGCTTATATGTAGCACGGTAGATGCGCTGCGCGATGCGTCTCGGCAGTTGACCCTCAGATCAGAGCCTCGGAGAGTGGAAGCAGCTATAGACTCGGATATGAATGAATGCGGAGAGGCTGCGGAAAGATCAAAAAGAAATTTCAGTCTCAGTTACAAATCAAAAACGAAAGGCATTTAGACCGAGAATGACAGCTTGTACTAACAGAATAACGGGGAGGTTCCTGTAGTTCCCAATTCGGCAAGCTAGAGCCAGCTTGCGGAATCAGGCATACAAATTCGCCAAACCCCAATTTTCTATGCACGCGCCATGATCCAACATCACTGCTCAAAGAAAATGTAATCCCAAAATCTATCCTTTCATGCCACACCCTAAGATCCACCCTCCCACCCCCAAAGCAAATTCGCCAGCCATGCCCCGCACCACTCCATTTAAAACGAATAACCACGCGCCAACCAACGTTGATCAACCCGGTATCCTCACATCCCGGTCATGTTAGCCGTGCCGAGATGGTGAGGAATAGAGGAGATATCAATCGAAAGACTAGCTCCGCTCCTTTTCACAAAAGTAGTTCAGCCACCGTGTTAGCATCAGGGGTAGCTGGGAGAGGAGCAGTGTTCTTGAGAGTAATTGGGACGGAGCCGTTGGTTGGGGTTCCGGCTTGGTTCCACATGAGTCTCCAGAGACCGTCGGTCTCAGTGACTGGCTCAGCCCAGTAGAAGAGGTTAAGTGCTCCCGAAGGGTCATCGTAAGCTGCGTTCTTGCCGAACCAGGAGAAGCCGGTTGTGACGGCGCCTGTTGGCAGGGAGGAGGTGTTGGTGGAGGAAACGAAGCCAACTTGAGCGAATGAGCCATTGGTGGGAATTATGTAAAGTTCCATTCCGTCAATACTGGAGGCATCAGTAGAATTGGCGGTGATGGTCCAGGCAACAGTATCGTCGGAGGCGTCCTCGTTGACTGAGGAAAGTTAGCACGAGAATTGGATTCAGGATTTGGTGTTTAAACTTAGACTTACCCGTGATGTTGCTGGTGACGCTGGCGCCTACTGGACTTACAAATCCAACATATGCTAGGCTATCGGCATAAAAGACGTTGAGACCACCAAGAGTTCCTCCATAGGCGTAGAGGCTGATTGAGGTAGTCTCACGCTTATAGAAGGCGGCCGAGGTGAAACCAGCAAGGGCTAGGAAGGAAGATAGGGTGTTGACCGAAACCAACATTTTGAAAGGAATAGATTCCGGGTTGATTGCACGAGCGAGTATGGTGACAAGAAAGAGCGATACGTCTGGTATGACTGGGACAAGAAAAGATGAAGGAAAAAGTGAAAACAGCGAATGTGATGGTGGGTGAACAAGAGAACGAAGAATAGTAAGTGATGGTCAAGAGATATAGAAAGTCCCAACAAAGCCGAGTCAATAATAGCCACGATGAGGCGTCGTTCAATGTACCCAATGTGGCAAACTTTACTAAGCAGCCGTGAACAAGGTCAGGAGGGCGGAGACACGCGTTCCAATGCCTCGGATGCCTCCTATCTGCTTTACCGGCATAATAAGACAAGTATATCGGCTAGGATCATCATCCTTGCTCTTGAAACAATGTTCACCCACAGCAACTCGTGGTTGAATAACAGTGAGAGTAGGACGCTAAAAAATAATAATAATAATAAAAAACGAATCGATATCAGATGAAACTACGCATGACGTGACGCACGCTTGGCAGAAGCTGCATAGAATAGAAGCCGACGACACCTGGACTTTGAAAAGGGCCATGGGCCAAAAAGGCATGTTAGCCCGAGGAAGTGGATTGGGGTCCTCGACACGTGCCATAAGTATAACTTCACAAACAAGACACGGAGCACTTTGCGGCTCGCGAGAGAGACTCAGCCTTGTTACATATCGTGGAAGTTTAAGGCATGACGACTGTGGATACAGGGGTCTTGAGGGGGTATCGGCAACAGAAGCTTAGTTTAATTAGTGTTTCTGAATCAAGTGCGGTATCCCGGCCTCCTCGGCTTCCTCCAAACATGCGACAAACGCCAGTGGTTCGTACCCCCGGTACCGCCAACAGAAGCTTAGTTTGAATAGTGTTTCTAAATCGAGCGCAGGTATCCCGACATCCCGACTTCACTCGGCTTCCTCCATGGCACTAAACACTAGAAGTGTTCACGCCCGTTCGTCAATACGAGCGATTTGGGAATCGGGCGCTATCAGGGCTAAGCGAGGGGCCCGATTCGCTAATAAAAAGGCCTAATTTTAAAATAATATATAACTTTCTAATAAAACACAAAGGCCAAATTTTAATTAAATAAAAAGCATTAATACTTATAAGAAACTTAAATGAATATTACCTAGATTGAATTCTATTAAAGATAAAAAGATTTATATAATTATATATTTTAAAAAACTATTTTATAATTAAAATTATATATAGTTCTAATAAAAGACTTTAGCTAAAATTACTTAAATAGTATTATTAACTAAATTATTTTTAACAGATCCTACTAATAGAATTTTATTAATTTATTAATTTGAAAATATTATAATATTTTTAAAATTCGCTCGTATCCGACCTCGGATTTATGAACCGGAGCTCGCTTAAGTAGACGATTGAGCAATCGGGCCCCTCGCTTAGCCCTGATAGCGCCCGATTCCCAAATCGCTCGTATTGACGAACGGGCGTGAACAGAAGGTTAACATCCGACAAACACTGGTGGTGTCGTGGGCCCCCTTTTCCGAAACGTACGAATAAATCCTCATCTCCTCTATGCACCCAGGGGTACGAAAGGTTATGTTTCTGGTACTGTGTAAGGGTCGTGAGTGCACGTATTGTCAATGGGCAGGCGCAGCCGCTACTGCAACCTTATCCCGTGGGACAAACACCCATAATCCAGTGCGGATATGGTTTCTACATCCGGCCGTCAAACGCCTCAGCGACGTATGCCCAGTAACGCCGTCTTCCCATATTGAAGTACTTTGCGTGCTTCTAGAGAGTCACGAACGTTTCAACTTCTAAGGCATATGCATTTCCTCCGAAGTTGCACTTACGAAATCCAGTGGCCTGTCAACATGGCGCAGTCCGAACATGCAAAGACATCGCTAAGGCAGGGCCTGTCCATGGACACGGCATTGGGAAGAAAGCGATGCTTCATCACGATGTTGACTCCGCTGTGGCCCTGGCATGGAGATACTTAAGATGCCCGCGGGTGCCCAGAAGTGAAAAGCACCCTCACTATCGACAACGATCTCCAGTCCTCTCTTGTTTTATTTCTTACATCTCGTCCTTCATTAGTCGTTGCATCTCACTCATTCTTTACATTGCTCTTCGTTATGCGCTCTTTTATCACAGCAGCCTCATCAGGCTTAGCCCTTCTTTTCGCGGTTTCCGTCTCTGCTAAGCCTCTGTCTTTCAACGCGCCTCTTTTCGAGAGGGCCCTTTCCGGCGTCAACAACAACTCGGCCGACGATCGCTCTACATGGTTCGATTTCGATCTCTCAACCAACTACTACGATACTGTTCCCGATACCGGTGACACTGTAGTGTACTATCTAGAGATCACCAACACCACAGCTTCTCTCGATGGTGTTGAACGCGAAGTTCAACTCGTCAACGGTACATTCCCAGGTCCTACCATTATCGCCAACTGGGGGGATACTGTTACTGTTCATGTTACCAACAATCTCGGCGTAGTTAACGGTTCTTCTATCCATTGGCATGGTATCCGCCAAAACTACACCAACCAGAATGACGGTGTCGCATCCATAACCCAATGTCCGAATGCTCCTGGCACAACAGAAACCTATACGTGGAGAGCTACTCAATATGGTTCATCATGGTACCACTCCCACTGGGCTCTTCAAGCTTGGAACGGCGTTCTCGGTGGTATCATTATCAATGGACCTGCTTCAGCCAACTACGACGTGGATGCCGGTAACCTCTTCCTCAACGACTGGACTCATCAAACCGCCGATCAAGTATATCTTCTAGCTGAGAAGAATGGTGTCCCAACTCTCGATAACGGCTTGATCAACGGCACTAATGTTTACAACACACTCGGTTCCCGCTTCGAGATGACCTGGGTATCTGGAACAAAGTATCTTCTCCGACTTGTCAATGGTGCTGTTGAGACTCACTACAAGTTTATGGTCGACAACCACACGATGACCGTCATTGCAGCCGATTTCGTTCCAGTGGAGCCTTATGTTGCTGACTTCATCAACATTGGCATGGGACAACGATATGATGTCATTATCGAAGCCAACCAAACTACCGCCGACTACTGGTTACGTGCAATTCCTCAGGTAGCTTGTTCTGACAATGACTCTGCCGACAACATCAAAGGGATAATCAGATACGATTCCACCTCCACTTCTGACCCGACCACTTCAGGATACACCTACACGGATGCTTGCGACGATGAGACCTCCAACCTCGTTCCGGTCCTCTCCTTGGATGCCAGCAGTGAGGATAGCGAGGATGATTTCGCCGTTACTGTTACAAGATCCAACAATCTCTTCAAGTGGCGCATGGCAGGAACCTCCTTTGTTTCCGACTGGGCGGACCCAACTCTCAAGAAGGTCATCGAGGGTAACGATACATTCAGTACCGAGGAGCATGTTATTGAGCTTGATACTGCCAATGAGTGGGTTTATTTCGTCATCTCCACCACCCAAGGTGTCCCTCACCCAATCCATCTACACGGCCACGATTTCTATGTCCTGGCTCAAGGAACCGGAACATACACTGATGGCACCACTGCTCTCACCACCACCAACCCCCCAAGACGTGACACTGCCATGCTCCCAGCATCAGGGTATCTTGTCATTGCCTTCCTCACCGATAATCCAGGTACCTGGTTGATGCACTGCCACATTGGATGGCACGCGGCTGAGGGATTCTCAATCCAACTACTTGAGCGCATAGATGAGATCTCTGCCCTGACAAGCTCGGAAACCATGAATACAACGTGCAATGCTTGGGATTCCTTCGTCACGTCCAGCTCCATTGAACAGGAAGACTCGGGTATCTAAACGACTAATCGAGAAGGATTTTCTTGTCATACGGAGAAAGGAAAAATTGGATGGGTCTTGTCAATGGAGTGGTACGGTATTTCGGCTGTTTTTTGGGGGGCGAGGTAGAACGAGAACTAGCGAAAGGGGTGTTTGGGAGGGTCAACCACATATATCCTTCTGGCGTTACGAAGAACGACCTGCCTGTCACATATACTCGTAGATGAATCAGAAAATTGCGGAACTTGATGGTCTGTACTTCGCACCCGTATTTCTTGTACGTCTATTCAACGAATTGGGCGAACTTATCGAGAAGTTGGATTCGAGTTCTTGTACTTTCAAAGTTGAATAAGTACTCAGGGAAACTGAAGCCATACGATGACTCTGAATTGTGAAATTGAATAACTAGCCACATGCAACTGAACTATATAAGAGCTAATTCCGGCACTGGCAGAGATCCTTATTTATAGTCTAATAAGGAGAGCGAGAACACACACTATTAAAGTTATAATAAATTAAAAAAAGTAGCTATATTCTAGACTAATAGTAGTAATAATATTTATATTTAATTAATATAGAAATTACAACTCGTTTTCTAAAGAGCTAAGAGAGAATTCCTCAAATATAATTTAATTAATTTATTAATATACTTAAGGTTTAAAACTCGGCTTAAGTTAAAGAAGCAATTATATAAGTTTAAAAACAAAAGCTTACTTTAAAGAAGTCTAAATTTAGTAAAGATTATATTAGTAATTTATAATAAGCACACGTAATAAAATACAAGCAAATATTTAGTAATATAAAATGAGTTTCTTATTTGGGGTATTGCTTATAACAAATTATTTGGATTATACCGGATTATTTTTCCTAATTAAGACTACTATAGCGCTTCTCAATTGTGCCTCTTGCACTTTCAACCTCCGGATAATATTTTTACAATCTTGTCATGTCCATTTTTCTTGGCCATCGACAGCGGAGTTTTTCCATCTATATCTCCGAGACTACGATCCGCCTCTGCTTCCAGCAATAGTCTCACAATGCTTCGTGACCTTGTGCTACTGCCCAAGAAATCGGAGGCCGCCCTAATATACTCTTTGCATTAATGTCGACATTTTCAGTTTCGAGTAGTACTTGAACTACCCTGAGATGGTCATATGTCGCAGCAATCCAAGGTAGTGAGACATTCCGAGGATTTTTGAGATTAAGGTCGACCCTTTCAGCTAACAGTTTCTGGATTGTGTCCTCCTTGCCAACCTTTGCTGCGTTATAAAACTAGGCGATCGACCATTCTTCTTTAGAAAGTGAAATCTTGAAATGTTCCTCGATTGTTTTCAAGACCCCTTCTTTGCCGCCTGTCGCCGCTGACTTCACTACCTCTTCTGTGATTACCACCTTGGCCTTGCGCTGCTGAAGCAGCACCATTATCACCTCTTTCCCACTCTTCCAATTCCTTGCCGCTGCCTTCACCACCTCGTCTGTACAAAATTTGGTTGGTGTATCGCCTCTGAAGTCGGCCGACCATTCCATAGCCGTTATCGCCATCATATAGACATTGGCCATCGCGCCTTCCTCATCGATTTCTTCTAGGGACAGCTCGGCTCAAGGATGTCTCTTCCATTTCCTTTCGTAAGTATGTCGTCCAAAATTCCTGGGACCGAGTCTTGTCTATGGCTAGTATCACCCGTCTCTAGTGCAGTTAAAACGAGTTCCCACCACGGAGCAGGGTCATTGAGAATTAAACTTTTGACACTCAAAAACGCTCTGGTTAGCTTAATGGAGACTTTCATTTGAACCCATAAATGCTTCTTGTGCCTGAGCCTTCATCTAATGAAGCAGATAAGCCCCGTTTTAGCTCTCTGAATGTGATACCGAAGTTGGTGTCACTGCAAGCGGGTAACCACTTGACACCCATTGAAGACCGAAACAGGCTTCCAAATCACGTTGGTCCTAATGATTCCCTAGGAAACTGGTGAGTACTGAAGCCCATTCCGGCAACCCCATTGCATACATGCAGCACTTAAATATTTCCACCCCAATGGTGGAAGTGAAAATAGCTTCGGCAAACGTAGCTTTCCGGAAATATAAAGCCTGTATAGGTAATGGTACCCTCTATTCATTTAATTTCAAAACCCTGACTTTCATTCATCTCAACCAGCATACAACATACCACCAAAAACACTCAGCTGTCTCCCTAGCACTCTCACCCTCCAAAAATCAGCGCGAAGATCGCAGGCATCGCAGAAATGTGCATCCAGAGTCTAGGAGTCATAATTTTCAGTTTACTGAAGAAGGACAAATACCGTGAGCACCAAGAGAGGGACCAACCCGGGACCTTCACCCTGCCGATGAAGATGTCGGCCTCTGAACGTGGATTGGCGATGCTCCCAGAGGTGCTTGTTGGTGGAGGATCGCAATAGTATGAAGGGCGAACCGACGAAGGGTGGCCCACGAAGGCCTAAAAGCGCGACACTATCCTACAGGAACATCGATGAATTCCTCTTGGACCCAACAATTAATGTACACGACGGTGGAAACAGTGTATGTATTCAAGGCTGGCGTAGATTCGAGCTCTCAACCAGGCCAACGTTTGGGAAGCCTTTTGTTTATGGTTTGAAATTACGTCGAGGAAGAAAGACATTGTTCTCTGGCACAGGTGTTGGAATAGGGATATGGAACTTGGGTTTTGAGAGAAGGCGCTTATCGGCAACTGTTGATCCTGTTTGTAATATCCTTGTTTAACAGATTCATCCTCTATGCGTAGTATTTTCCCTTGTTACCTTTGGGTTTTATACAAGTGCAACTTCCTCAACATATCCTTCTTCCCTCCCTCTCCCTATACCCTATACCTCAGCTCATCCCCTATCTCCTTCGTCTCATCAGGTATTCCACGCTTCTAACTCAGGGGGTCTATAGTATTCTCTTTTGTCTCTGCCTCCTTCTCTATCTCCCCTATTTCCTTATTTTCCCTTCTCCCATCTACACATTTGACCGTACTACCCTGTCCTACACCGGAGCCTCCTCCCGCTTTTACAGTTATAGATGCATTAGAAGTGTCCTGTGAATGATGTCTTCCGTGCAGGAACGAGAGTGTGCCATGTTTGTGCGCGAGATCGATTTTCGGGGCTTCGATGCAGGCATTTTGAGAAGTGTCTGCTTCCGGGTGCGGAAGCGTGGTGTTGCGATCTAGTGGGGAGATGTCAGTTGTGTGCTTGGCATACGTGTAGTAGTTAGGATGGTGTTAGGTGGCACCTGAACAGAGCGGTTCTGGGAAGCCAGTATCCCTGACGAGCACTTTTCTTTCCTTGGCGCCAGATGGCGGTTCATGGATCTTGGCGCTCATTGTTGTGATCAGTGAAGCGGTGCGGCTTTCATAGTACCGTAGTTTCAGAACTGCATTTGCGGTTGGGAGGAAGAATAGCAATTTTGCGAATTGCGCTGTTGGAGATAGCTGCGTGCTTGGGAGTATTCGCGGAACACCATGATTACCTTGGTTGGTGCAGACTCAGAAAGTGTTTTCAGGCTCTACAGCGAGACTTTCCGGTGCTTTGCCCATTACGGAATCGAGACCGGTTAATTCCATCCCTAGTCATTGAGGCTTAGCGTATCAAGCCAGTGAATCCTGGAGAAGATGTCTCCAGTGCGCGTCTCGCGTAAATACTGTGTACTTCGTACTAAGTATCAAGCCAAACAGATGTAAATCTTCCAGATTCCTGCTTAACTTACAGTAAATAGGCATCAATTAGCTAAATGCACGCGCTCTATTGGTTGGAACCCCTCGTTAGTAGAGAATATACTGCTTCGTATTTGGGGTAACAAATGTTAATTCTGAACACCTGAACTTTACTCAAGCAGGTAATATTTCTCTGAATCTAAGAAATCTACTGGTTAATAGCCCCTGCTAGCGTCGAATGGCTAGAATCCATTAACCTTTGTTTCGCCTAGGGGGAAGTACTTCAGCCGAATCAACCTCGAGTTCAGTCCCTTAGTTTGCGGGCACTCCCTAGCCTGGTAGCTAATGTAACCAGTAGTACTTTCACGAGTAGTAAAGGGGGTAGATTAAAGGCGAAACTTATGGAATATGAGGTCCAGTTTGTGGTCTTAGAGAGATTGCTTATTACTTATTTATTTATTTTATAATTATTTTACCAATAAATTATGCTTCCATGATTGAGGATTTGAAAAGGTAGATACTGTAAACCAATTAGAATCGAAGTCTTTGGGTAGCCGCCGGGGCTTGGGGCAGTCCAATGAACGAACAGCGATCTGACACTGCTTTAATCTGGGCGGCAATACACATTTTCTAAACTTAGGATATTCCTTCGTGCAACAATGAAAATCTTATATCCATCTCACTGCCTTACGAATCTGTTTAGAACACTGTCTACTAACTATAACTCCCTTTGCATCCTGGTTCAATTATCTGCATAAGATATTTTCCTCTCAACTGTAATCATGAAATCCTTCTCCACATCCCTCCTTCAGAGCCTCAACCGCCGTTGCGTGGCAACCGATAATTATGTCTGCTACCACATCCCCATCCCCGCCGTCATCGGAATCGTGTTTGGGGCTGCATTCCTTCTCTTGCTTGGAATTTTCATAGCATTCATATGTGTCAAGAGGCGCAGACGTGCGAAAAAGCGCAGGAATGGTCAGGGGCAGGAGGATACAACTTTGAAGTATCTTGGGGGCGCAAGGCCAGAGCCGATTCCTTTTAATCCTAATGCGTATTAGTGGAGGTATGTTGCGGTAGTCGGATTCCAGAGAAAATGATGCTGATCATATCTGAAGTTACTTATAGAGAAAATTTTAGCATTTGCGTTGGGGTGAGATGCACGAAAGCAAAAGGATACATTTTCAAGTCAAAGGGATTCTCATATCATGCATTTTCCGTGCTTCTTGGGTTAAAAAGGCGGTCAGTTTTGGTACATAGTTTGGGTTTAAAGTTTGAGAATAAACGTCAGGATGTCATCAGCCTCATCTCAGTCGCCAGTGCAGTTGTGAGTCACGAAGAGGGGTAGGTAGGTATATCCCTTCATCGAGCAAAGAAAACTACCAACATTAAAGAAAGCAATCATTGAGCGATATGGCCCGCACTGTCCGCCTTGCGATCGATCTTTTGGCAGTCAGCAGGCACTGCAGCAGCACCTCAATTCACCAGCTCACGCACTTGTGTATGAGTGATGGGTGCGATCGGACATTTGACACTGAGTGAGCCCTAAATCAGCACCTCGACTCTCCAGCTCACGAGTCACGATCCAATATATGAATGCAACGAACGTAATCGAACACTCAACAGCCAGCAAGCCCTCAACCAACATCTCAACTCCCCAGCTCACGCTCCAGTGCACGAGTGCGACGAGTACGATCGGGAATTCGGTAGCCAGCAGCTCTCAATCAGCACCTCAACTCACCAGCCCACATATTCGAATGCGACAAGTGCGATCGGTCGTTTGGTAATCAACAATCTCTTGAGCAGCATCTCAGCCCCCCTGGTCACAGTTTCAGAATCCGATCATTTCTTTAGAGTTAGGCACTCCTGAAATGCACGAGGTTGTCATGCATCGGGGATGTAGTCGCTAAGCCTAGGGAATAAAAGAGCCACGTACAAGTATTCTGGCTTCGTGGGGATTTTGTTTGGCGGAGGGGGGGGAGTCTTTGACATATTGTCTACTCTTCTTTTCGTATCTAGTATCTAACTGAGAACTACTGAGCCGACTTGCTAATATGAGATGCACATATTACTCCAATCGCTAGGTGTTTTTCATCAACCTCCTCCCAGCCGTCCAGGATCGTCACACTATAAATCGATTTTCCCAGCGCTGCACTCGCCTAAGTAATGTGAATTCTAAGGGGTTCTAGGGGCTCCTCGGGGTCCTTAGCGAGCTTCAGCGATGCAATAATACGATCGCATTCACGATTAATTATGATACCAAATTGAGACAGATTTGTATAATGATTTTATCTTCGCGTAGCGTTGATTAAGAGCTATTAGAACCATAAAAAAGTAATAAAAATACACGAATACTTCAAGAATATACTAAAAGTAGTTATCCCATCTCTATACTCTCTAGACTAACCTAATCTTATACTTTCCCCAAATCCTGAAATAAAAATTAATTATAGAGATTCTGACTATATATTAATTAAATTAGATAATTCTTTATATTAATTCTCAGGTTTTTGCGAGCCTTATTCTTACTAATAAGCTATTCTCGCCGCTTATTATTAGTAGTACTTTTTGAGGCATTTAAAGTTCTGCCTTTAATTTTATTGAATTAATTATTTGCTTACTAAATTACTCGATACATTTTTCGCTATAACTTGAGAGTATATAAAGAGTACTAGAAAGCTAAGGTAATAAATTAAGAAATAATATGGATTTTAATAGCTAGCTTGGCTTCTTGCTATTTGTGACGGCGCCGGCTAGGAGTGGCCGTCACATGACTGGTTTCACCTAGCTAGCCGGCGTTTCAGTGGTTTTAGCTAGTATTTCCCTCCTTTTATCCCCTCTCCTTCTCTCTCTCTCCTTCTTCTCTTTAGCTTAGTATTTTCAATACATGAGATTCTTGGATCTTTGAGCCCTGGCCATTGCCTCGATCACGCCGTTACACTATTTAAAGATTTGAATTAAGAAAGTTATTTCTTTCTTAAAAAGAAGTATTTTAGGTATAGAGTTAGCAAATTTTTAATAAATTAATTAATAAGCTTACTGTTATAAGAAGAATTATTTTCTAAAATAAGAAAAACATATTATATATTAATTTTTGGCCCTTTAATTAGCTAGATTCAAAATCTCCTCTAAACTCATTTAATATAATATATAATTAACCCAAGAGCATTATATTTAATTATATCTTAATCGGGTAGTTATTAAATTTAATTATTTACTCTTACTTTAATAAACTTTATTGCGAGGCAAAGATAGCACTTTCACATGCCGTTAAATTACAGACTGGGATCAGGCCGCTTGATTCTGTTGAATATGGTCATGTGACATGTCACACGCACATGACCACGTGCAAGGCCAACTAGCCTGTACAGACATGTATATAAGGTGGGCTTCGCCCACCTCCCATTCTACAAGAATCAATCAAGAACTTGACCCACTTACACGTACACGTGCATCCGTTCAACAGATTCAATACTACATATATTTAGTATATCCTTCTTCTTTTCTTAAAGCTCTTAATTCCTGAACTAATGATATTACGAAGTAGGGACACTATTTAGATATAACGCCCTAGTACCACGCATACCTCTCATTCGCCAACCACTCAATCTCGTCTTCGCCCACTCCCTCAAATCATCATCAGCAGCCACAACTGGGGAGTGGGTCTCGCTCAATATTTCTACGTCTTTCGCCCCGAGCGCTGCGTGGGCTTGATCACGCTAAATGTGTGTGTCTATTCTCCGCCAATGGCAGCCATTTGTGCTCAATGTGGTCAAACCCTTGATGAAGCAAGCGCTTGGCTACTTCCCACTTGAATACTGGTATTTGTTCACTGATCCTAGCTACGGGCCCGTGCTCGCTGATAAACAGTGTGTCAAATGATTAGATTAGATTAATAGCCATTAATCTAATCTAATCACAAAATATACTCATTAATCATATTCTATTCACGTATTAATTAGATTAATCTGATTAATCTGATTAATACACACGTGATCCTACACGTGACCGTGCTAGCCTAATCTAGTAACGCTCCTGCCCGCTCCAGCTCTAGCGCTAGACTAATCAGGGGCGGCAACGCTTAGTAAGCGACCCGAAGCTAAATTAAAAAAGTGGGAATGTAGGAGAATAACTAGTTTATTATTATTGAAAGCTAGTATATAGCTACTATTATATAAGCCCTGGCTTAGTTTAACTAGGGCTACCTGATAGGTGCCTTAGTTATTTAATACTTATTAAGTAAACAGTGATTTACTATAGTCACGTGACAGATTAATTATTCTAATCTAATCAAAAAAAATCTGAATTACATTAATCATAATCTAATCACATTAATTGATTAATTGATTGATTAATTTGATTAACGTGATTAATCCTTTGACACACTGCTGATAAACACGTCGAGTCGTTGTTCACGGCTCTGCATGCCGAGCCAAAGCCTTGGAGGCAGACGCTGTGCGCTGAAAACGGGGATCCAAATGTGGCTGGAGCAAGACCAAGAAAGGTCCCGTGCAAGCATATGCAACTGACGCGACGAGGGAGGAGTTCGTTGGACGTTTGACTAGGGATGGGCTCGCGGCGCCATTCTGTTATTAAAGCGATCTCGTGGAAGGGTTGTACTACGAGCAGGAGAAGAAGCTGCCAGCAGAGAGATACAAGGTTACCGTGCCGTATCTGTTTATTTCAGGTGTGCTGGATATAACCTGCCTGCCGCAGACGATTGGAAAGGCGAAGGAAATGGGCTTGACCCGAATTTGACAGTGGGGAAGGTGGATGCCGGCTATTGGTGTATGCTGGCAAAGCCGAAAGAAGTTGGAGAGATCTTCATGAAGTGGCCGGGTGATGATTTCTAAGCCTCGAGGTTGGATCCCCTTGTCCTGGGGCGGGTTGTAGATTCGCTTCAACGGAAACACCCAAAAAAAGGCTTTCACAAGTCCAATCATTTTAGAATACCAAAAAGGTCCTGCCCTGGCCTGTCCACTCTCTGGCAAAGGCTATCCAGTCCAAGTTGTGTTCCTGCTCCTTATTATAGTTCCTCTTTTCCCAAAACGCATTCAAAAATTCCAAAGCATGTTGGCAGTTCGAGAAGCCTGTCTCTGACATGGCTTGCTGAAGTTTCGCAATGACCATGTCTTGTTCGTCTTTCTGTGTTGCTTCAGTTCCAGCAATGAACAAGGGCCATACCAAATCTTGTGCGAATGTCGGCTTGTTCGTCTCTGCGAAGCCAAGAGCGTGAAAAAGTTCGAATTTAGAAGTTCTAATTTGGGTTTCCTTCTCCGTGAACAAGTCAAGATCGAGAAACTCGCTCTTCAACAGCGCGCGATACGAATAGATCAGCCCAGCATGGTAAAAGCAATTTGATGTACGGCTGATATGGACATAATCGTCAGATTCGGAAATTTGGAACGTTTTGTCCATAGCTAAAGTCTGTGACCGTGCGTGTTCAAACAGTTTTCTCAGTCCAGAAGGGGACACCCCAGAGTTGGCAAGGATTTCCGGGTTGGTCATTGCTTGACGCTCGAGACTAGTAACCATCTGGAGTAGTTTGAGAAACTCGATGAAGATGCTGCTAGGTTTTGATGTCGCAGGATTGAGCTTGAAGTCCTCATGCAGAGTGAAATTGAGGAAGTTCGTTGTCGAAGCAAAGGTATTTGCGATGAAAAGCTCTTGCTCCAAGAACTCTGATGTCGAATCTTCCGGTGCTTTGAATGACAGTGAGTCGTTGGACGATGCTATTACTGTTCTTGCTGCATTTAGGTGGACTTGCCAGAAGGAAGAATCTATGAGGCTGTCAAAGATGTGGTTTGGGGCGGATTTACGGGCAACAAAACAGACCTGGCCATACGGTCTCCACGTTACACAGTACTAGCATCGTGGCCAAGATAGCATTCGAACGATTTCGAGAGACATCTTTGTGAATGTCAGACAAAGCCTGAGAACCTCTCTCCGTCGCGAACGCCTTGATCTCCTGAGCCAGAAGCTTCACAGCTTTCTGCTGAAACCTATCAGGACAGGCGACAGGCATAACCGACGTGCTATTTCTCGAAGCTGAGAGTGATACTGCATTTATGTGTTTTGCTGCAAATGCCAGGATGGCGTTCAATAGAGGCGGACACTCAAGAGCCAAAGGTATAATGATGTGACGCCAAGGATTCTCGTGACAGTCTCCCCAACTCATATTTGAGGCCACAATGCGATCGTAGTGATAAAGCAGATACCTTTCATCAAATCGCTGAAGCTGGAAAGGGAGCAGAGGTTTTGGAATCATTCTCGTTTCCAGACTGAAAGAAGGATCGATTTCAGGCGACTGATCACCTGACAGCGATATATTCTCATCTGGAGAGTTTGATACTTCGATGAGGTGCGAAACAGACACTGGTGTGTCTCTAGCCCTAATCGGTATAGACCTCCCCTTTAACTTTCCACGGCTTGCAACGCCCTGATCCCATTTCAGAAGGACCCCATAGCCAGAGCACGTGAGGCCGCGCTTCTCGCACTTGCCGCATGTTGGGACTCTGCGATCGCACTTGATGCGCCGCCTATTGCAGACTCGACAGTCTGCGCTAAGGGTAAGACGAGGACACATCAAAGCATATTACTGATGTTGAGTTGACACCATCGTACCTTTGGAAGCAACCTCCGATTGCAAATTCATCATTGCTCATCTGTCACGTCATCAAAGGCGGCAGGCAGTAAATGGGTGGAGAAGGGCTTCAAGGGTAAGCATTGTATGCATGTATCGAGCGAACTTCTTCAATGAGATGGCGGTCGATGAATATCGAGGGTGGTAGAAGATTCCATGGTCAAGAAGTGAAGTTCAAGGACACGAAGAGTGGAGTCGGCAAGGACTTTTCCATTGAGATAAGGTCACGTGATAAAAGTGTTCTCTATTTCACTAATATTACAAAGTTTATGTTTTGTCTATCTAACTGTGAACCGCTTCTATTCTCACCCCCTCTTAAGATGACGTATTGGCGATTGTTATCTCCTCATCAGCGATGATTGTCGGATTCGCTAAAGCAGCCTTTATTCTGCACTTCGGCCAAGATTCCTGAATCCTGATGGCTTGTCGAATAGCTTTTAATGCTAAATTGCCAACTTGGTTTGTTTCTCCGAATTATGTCACTCCACAAAGCCGAGCGGCAAGATGCGAATAGCTCGAGTACCAAACGAATTGTTCTGGCCTGTCTTTGTCTATTCTTGGCCAGTTTGGCTTTGTTCTCCTGATAGGCACGTAGTATCAGAGAAGAAAGAACTCACTGTCCAGGACCATATTGGTGTTTTCAATGGAATAAAGTCTGAACCAACATTTTATTATAGGAAGGATAAAGGGGAATGAAAGTTTGATGCTAATATTGGGTTGATTTATTTAGAAAGGGAGCCAAATAATTGAGTGTATTGAGTTACTAATTTTCTTAAATTTGTTTGCTTAGAAATTCTTTGTCTTTAGTAATATTGATCTACCCATGCTTAGTATCCTAGCCATAAATTCCATAATTGGTAGAGGAGTTAATTTGTATGGATGTTTCATTGTTATTTTATAAACGCTGTTCTCGCAGAATTGAATGGGCACTTGTAAGAGAGGATTTAGATCTCGACCGGTGTACAGCTTGTTCGTTAAGTAGACAATTTTTGAACAAATTCTCCCTCGTCTATAAAGTCTCCTCCCCTCCCCTAGACTTGCTCATCTGCTAATCATCCATCATTTTCCCTTTCACACAACTGGACTCAACCACCAACCACATTAGAGCACTTCACAATCTCACTCCACAATCTTGCTAATCAACCCATCGGCAAAATGAGTCGTGACATTAAGGAAGCCCCAGCTTGTTCACCCATGGCTCCAGTTTACTCACCCATGAGTCTGAAGTACTCACCCACAACTCCGAGCCTCACTCCCACGAGTCCAAAGTACTCGCCAACGACCCCAGTCTTCAAACCAAAAACACCTGAGCCCCAAAACCCCCTGGCAACTGTACCCTCAGAAACCAGACAGTCCAAGCTATATAGGATGGACTGCTGCCAGTGCGGAGGCGGGGGTTACAGTCAATTCCCGTACCCAGCTTGCCAGAACTGCGGTCATGACCAATGCGACGCTTGCACAGGCAACTCCTAAATGGGAGATCCTTCCGGCAATCTGGATGATTGGAGATGAATTTTGCAGAGAGAACGAGAGACTGACCTGACACACCCATTTGATAAAGGAGCAATAACCCTACGTCTCACAGCCTCGGAGACAAAGGGCATATGGCCTTGGATACTGACCTAATACACTCATTTGATTGCATATTGGCGGCTTCTGAAGTACAATTAGATATACAACAAAAGAGATATCCCAAAAACATATGCAACTCTCAAGCTCGTAATATTTCTCTTTTGCTAACTATATTTTCTCTTGAAACTTTCCTTAGCAGTTTTCGCTTATCAGGACATTGAGGTAAAGCACTTCAAAATATTCAGGTACCCCTCCTGTTTCTGGTTTGAGAAATACTGCTAGAACTAATGCGAAGCACTCAACTTCTTATTTCATGTTTAGAAATATGAATCATCGATAAAAGGAGGGTTTTTTTTCAAGTGATCTGGGTAAGCTGCATTCGTTGAAAAAAAAAACCAGAAGGCGCAAGACTTGTTTCTTTTTCAAATAAACATTAATCCAGGATCAAAAAACAGGGCAATTCATCATAGCTTGTTAACCTTTCATCAAGAGTGGTGTGGTTATCATTTCCCTTCTTTGCAAAATTATGACGGCTGTCCATGCCAATGTTCAGGGAATGCGGGGTACATTTGCCTCTTAGCGGGGTAATACTAAAGTCGGACCCGCCTTATAGACCACAAATTCCAATAAGAACCCGTACGTCCCCGGGTCAAGGTAATGGATTAGGGAGATTCTTCCTAAGCAGAGAGTCAACTTGATGCACCATTCCTCTCTATTTTCAATTAAGTTCAAACATATATCTCGCTCCTTATCCATCCCAGGCGGCGACCTAACCCCGTTCCCCTTACCCTTCCCATTCAAGACAATTCGTTTCCAACATTACTACGAATCTATCGGCATTTGGACCATAAGCGTCAGCAGCGACTGAACGATTTCTGCAGCCGCAAGAACAGTTGTCTCTCCTGGATTGTCATAGACGGGCGCAACTTCAACCACATCCGCACCCACTACTTGAAGCCCCTTCAAACCATCAATAATCGTCAACATCTCGCGTGTAGACCATCCGCCTGGCTCTGAAGTTCCGGTTGCTTTGAGCACGTCAGTATGCACTTGCAAGGTCACAGGAGAGGTAATTTTTAACTGCACTTACCGGGAGCAAATGCCGGGTCCAGCGAGTCAATGTCGAGACTGATGTACACTTTGTTGTCACCAACCCGCTTCTTCAAGGCGTCTATGACGCCTTGTGAACCGATGAGATCGATATCTCGAGCGGTGATGATCGAAAAGCCGCAGCGATGGTCGTTGGAGAGGTCGTCTTTCTCGCGCATAACAGGAGCACGCACAGCTGCGTGGATGGACGAATTGAGAATGAGTCCCTATATTATCTTTTAGTTAATTTCCCCACATAAAATTTCAAGAATATTGGTCTAGCCGTACCTCTTCGTGAGCAATATGGAGGAAAGTTCCATGATTCACACCACTGGAGACTCGTCAGTCTTTGAGAGATTGCCTGGTTAGAATATACTTACGCATACGTAGAGAGATTTCCACCAAGCACTTTTGGATCCCAAGTATCGAGGTGACTGTCGAAATGGATCACGGACACAGCACCGAACCGATCATATGTCGAGCGGAGCGCCGCGAGAGTGGTTGTGTGGTCACCACCCAGAACAACGATACGTGGTATATGACCTTTCGCCGGAGTGGAGGATGGTTGTCCGGAGATGATCTAGTACAATTAGCGGGAATATTGAGTGCAGCTGGGGACTGGGGTTGATCTCGTGCGCTTTCTCAAGTTGCTTCAGTGCGATTCTGTTGTCGAGAAAGGTCATTCGCACATCACCACAGTCCACGATCTTTGCCCACGACATGAAAGTATTCTCTCCTAGTTGATCTGTTAGTGGAATCTTTGGAGAGTGGAGTGCAGTTTCAGCTACCCGTGTAAATGTTCCAAGCGTCACCCGGTGCAATCCGTTGTGATCCTCTGCGAATTCCAGCAGGTCCAAACCGAGCACCAGGCCTACCTGTGACACTCTATTGATACCTATTAGCTTCGGTATAATGACTTGGTACAATGGTTCTATTTACTGTATCAAAAGGAGCGCCGAGTATCGCAATATCATATTTGCCCGCCTCGCTATCATCCGGCTTGAAGCAATTGACGTATGGCAGGTTGGCAAAAGTAGTGAGTCCGAAGAACTCGCTATCTGTAGTCACGTCGATGAAGTCGTCCGCCATGAAAGTTTGGTGACGATGCGGCATCAGATGAGTTGCAGTGTGGTCATTGCGGTGGGAAAGTACGGGAAGGATCTGGGCAGAGATGCACAATGCAAGGATAAATGTGGAAGTCATTTTGCTGACTGATACTGTGCAATGCTTGAGAAGTGATGAGTGAAAAGTAGAGGACCTTGTTTGGCATGAGAGGAAAGGTCCACCTTTTATTCAGTCTGTCCAGCCTTTCTCGTCGGGTGTACTTACCTGAAGTGGGGTGGCAGAACTCTCACCCAACCAGAGCCTATCAGATCTAAGTCTATTTCTACGGTAAAGAGCATTCTTTCATCATTGGTCGCCACCGTCTGCGTTGCGGCAGATAGCTGTCGATGCTCCCAACCTTGTGGAGAGAAGAAAGGTGGAGATGGCCGAGTGCCTGGAGTCAAAGTTGGCTCGGCAGTGAGGAAAAGTGGGGCACTTCTAGGCTCTTATGCCCTGGAATTACAGGGCTTAAACGCTAGAAAGATCTGCATTTCACGATCTGTTGATCGAATCGTCCCAATGATAAATAAGCTATCTCAGCGGTAAAGCGCGTTGAGGTGATCATTGAGAGGTCGTAATAGGGCGACTAATGTTTGAGGCAGACCACATCCGATGCTGTCAACAGACAGTCGGCACAAGCCGGCGGCCGCGGCCAAGAAAAGGAGGGGCAAAAGAAGCCTTCGTTCTCTCAATCGGCCTGCTACTGTGGGACTAGCGTTGCGAACGTCTCCATCTTCTCTCCCTTTTGAGCATCCAACCACCAACACCACCACAGAGAAAGATGGCTGTAGACATGGGAATACTTAAGAGTCAATCTCGCCCCCTCCCGAAGCGAGGAAATTGTCTTGTATTAACCTCAAACCTGTGTTCACGATCAGAAAAGCACAATCAACCCCCACCATGAGCAAGCAAACAATTCAGTCCTCGGATGAAAAAGCCTGGAGCGATGTTGAAAGCAATACGCTCGTCATCTCTGATGACGATGCGTTAATGAAAGCTACGGGCAAGGTTGGAGAGCTCAAGAGGTAAGATTTCTTCTGCTCCGATTTACGATATCTCCCACTAACGACTTCAGGGTGTACAACTTCTGGACTTGTGCGTCTACTCCTCGCTCATAAGGTGATGATGGAATGCATCCTGATATATTTTATAGTATGCGCATACCAGGTCATGATCATGTGCAGCTGGAGCTGCAACATCATCCTCTATGGAACAGTCTTCGATCTCGGTGGTAAGAAAGCCTTCTGTCTCGGGCCATTGAGCCTAGCTGACGTTATTATTCCTAGGACCAATGGCTCTTGTTTATGGGACGTAAGTCAAGTTCAACTATTCCTCGTAATATATCAGTTCCTGACGTCTCCCAGGCTTGTCGTCGCTGTTGGCCAAACAATCCTCATGTGCTCAATCGCCGAATTCTCCTCCATCTGGCCCACAGCTGGCGGTCAACAATACTACACGCAAGCTCTCGCAACCGGAAAAATGCGTCCCTTTCTGTCCTACGTCGTCGGTTGGGCTGTCCTCTTCGGCGAGATCTCCATGGGATCAAGCTGCAGTCTGAATTCCGCAAGCATCATCCGAAGCTTTGTCGAAGTCACGCATCCAGACTTCGTTTGGCCCTCTTGGCTGACCTGGCTCGTGTACTCACTCTTCCTCATCGCACCCTATCTACAGAACTACTTCCCGAAGCACTTGCCCGCTATGAATGTGCTGGGTGCAGTGTGGACTGTTGGCGGAGGACTCGCTTGGGCAATCTCCTTCCTGGCCCTCGCTCCAAAGCAGAATGCCGATTTCGTGTTCAAGTGGTTTTTGAATAATTCTGGATATGAGAGTAGTGGATGGGTCTTCATCATGAGTCTGTACACCCCGATCTTTGGCCTCTATGGCACGGATGGGCTTTTGCATCTTCTGGAAGAGACGAAGAACCCTTCGTACGTTGCGCCTGTAAGTTTACCTCCCCAAAGCAGGATCCACAGTGCTGATTGAATAAAACAGCGAGCTGTCGTATGGTCAATGGTCTTCTGCAGCTTGACATCCTGGGCCAGCGTCTTGGTAATCCTCTTCTGTGCCGGCGACTGGGAAGCCTACATGTCAGGCAGCCAACCATACATGAACTGGTTCATGGATGTCCTGGGTAGTACCTGGGGTGGAGGCATGTTCTGCGCCATTGTAACGATGGGCATCAACTATCTCGTCATCGTCGGCACCAATACCGCAGCCTCCAGACTCGCCTGGTCCATGGCCCGCGACGCTGCACTCCCCTTCTCCTCATACTTCGCCAAAATCAGCACCAAGTTCAACATCCCGCTTCGTGCTCTCACCGGCGTCCTGGCCATAGACCTCATCCTCGGTCTCATTGTTCTCGGTAGCGACTATGGCTTCCAAGCTGTTGTCAGTTGTGGGGGTATTTGCTTTCAGATCGGGTACGCGATCCCAATCGTCACTCTCCTGATTCGAGGAAGGAAGGTCTTGCCACCGCATCCGAATTTTGACTTGGGGAGATGGGGATATGCGATCAACATCATCTCGGTGGGGTGGAGTGCATTGATTATTGTTATGCTTTTGTGAGTATTCTTTCTTCAATACTTTTCTCGGTTTCCGATTCTCGGTGCTTGTTTCTAGGTTCTCAGTTCCGGATTTTGAAGTCTTGGTTCTGTATTCCGGGATCTCAATTCCTGGTCCTAAGGTCTGGGTTCTCGGTTCCGATTTCGGGTTTGAGTTTTGAGATCTCTGATCTTGTTTCTCAGGTCTAGAATCTCAGTTCTGGAATCTCAGTTCTGAATTCCCATCCCTCAATTCTCGAAACCCTTTATCGGATACCCAGTTCACTTCTTTCTCATCGCTTGGCCAGCTTATTTCATTTGTGTCTTGTTTCGAGCCTTTCACTAACGCCCGCCAGCTTCCCAATGTACCTCCCAGTCAACCTCTCGAACCTCGGCAACATGAACTGGTCCATCGTCGTCATAGGCGCGATCATCGTCCTTCCAGGAGTATACTGGGTTACGCATGCGAGACATGTGTATATTAAGGAAAGCGATTCTGTGCTCGGTGGTGAGGGGCAGGGGCCTGTGGTTGAAGGCATTTCGAGATCGGGGACATCTATTGCTGCGGGAACGAAGCAATGAGTTTCTAAGTTAGGTTTGGGATGGAGTTGCTTTTGATTTATAACGTGTTATTTGGATTGTTTATGAATCGTGGAAAGGTTTTTTAACATTACAACATTGGGGCCAGAAGACTTGATCGCTGACTCTCACGGGCAGTGGTCACAAAAGTTGTCTCTCACAACTCGTATGAGACCACACGAAATTCTATTGTAATCCCTATAGCAAGTAAAGAAAGGAATGGAAGCTCTTCTATCGAGCCCACCCATCTGCATCCTGACAGAGATTTTCTCTGAAGACACCCCTTTTCTATACCTGACCATGATTCATTCGCTACCACCAATCCTAACTAAATCTTGAAAAGATTGAAGATTGCCCACCTCATTGGACGACAGAAACATTCAAAGCTTTAAATCCTAGCCATTCTGCCGTCATTGGTCACCATCACTCTTGAATTATCAAGCTTAAATCGTCTCCCCAATCAATCTCCCTGGGCTTGAGCTCCGACTCAGCCCTACTCCGTCTGGAGCCCACGCATTCTGTCGCCCAGGCTCCAACATCCATACCTCGTATCCCGTATCTCGTATCCTCACATCCACCAAGTCATCTGCTCCACGTTCACAAATCCCTTCTTGAACATTCCTCTTCCTCACTCGATTCCCTTTTTCCTTTTCTCGTACCCGGCAACGCATCATTGGCCCCATCCAAAGAAGCTTAACCCCCAAATCTTAAAATTTTGGCGCGCCATCGTTTCGGCCGCCCCCAGGATCTTTGCACAGCCTCATCCCATCAGCCCTGAAAACCTAAAATCTAATTTTTGCTCGCCCCCCCTGCCGCCACTCCCTCACTCAACCTGCCCCTGAAAGACAAAAAATGATCTACCACCGCGTATCTCCGACTCCTCCGCCTCCCTCGACCCCATCCCATCCCATTCCTTCTCAGTGCTCACATCGTCCAAACCATTCCGCGCCTTCCGATCACAATACGATTATACGAACCATTCACTGTGTCCGTGGCGCACTTGTCGTGCGCTGCTCTGCTGCGGGGGGAAGGCAAGTTCCGTGACACTGCACCCATCCGCCACGCATCCATCCGTGGAGGTGGTGTGCGCGGATCATCTGATCCGATTCGCAACCCGCGTGGCGCGGATCCAGAAGCCCTCCTTCCAAGACGATGTCTTATCGCTCGTACGTTTAGAAAGAAATGGCGCGCCTCGATCTTCCGGCCGGTAGTCGATTTTTTGGGGGGAGGGGAGGGGAAAGGCAGTTTGCTATAACCTTATAGTGAGTATTTGCACCGGTTGTGTATTTCAAACAAGTAATCGCTTTGCTAACTTTCTATGCCATCGATAGTATCCACGATGCATAATCCCAGATCTATGTAGTGTATCGACCACGCTTGCAAATAATCAGAGCCACGTCAATGTACATCAAGTTCCCCCAATAATCGACAGGTTTTCTCAACCAAAGTATCCCTTCTCCTATCTATCCATCTCCCTCGTTCTCTCTCTTCCTTTCTTTCCCCCTCGTCGTTTTGTTTGATCTTTGGAGTATCCAATTATCTTTAGGTTGTGCTGGAACCAGGGAGCCCCGACTCGGGCCCTCTGTACTCTCGATAGTGGACAGGAGATAAAGGAGGCTGTTTCGCCTTCGCTTAGCTTCCGCTAAAGAGACCAGTTACTTCACTTCACTTCACTTCAACGCAGAGGATTTAAAGCCGTTGCACCCAGAAAATTGCGGTAATAGCTATCTATATGCTATCGTCCCCGATTTTAACATTACATTTCCCATCTGCGAAGGAGAAGGGCTAGAGCGTTTATCGGTAATAAATAGTTGGGGTAAGTAAGCAGATCTGACCCACGGGCACAACTACTATAGCTCCCCATGAGCGATGGGAGGACCTCCCATGGCATTACCCTGTTGGGTATCCAGAATCTTTTCCTTGTCGGGAAAGATGTTTCTCTTTGTGAGTTCTCCAAGGGTCGCCATATCGAACCTCGCTCCGGTGCGGTACGCAATTCCAACCTTGATTGATTAACGTTAGCAGATTCGTGCCGAGGAAACTGAACGACCGACGACCTTACCAGGATCGCCAAAATGAAGAATAGCGTGCCCAACATGGCAAGCAGGAGGTAGAAGACATCGCTCTTCGCCTGACCATCGAGAGCCTCGGCCTTGTCGGTGACTACTACTCCACTCCCACCATCCCTGGCCAATCGAGCAAGACCCTTTCGATCCCGCGAATGATAGGCAGATTCGATGAACTGCTCAACTTTGCCACAGGCAATACCGATGTCGACGAAGTTGGGATCCCTCGGGGTGTTCTTCTTGCGTATCCGGCGCACGTATCGCTTGAAGACCGCATAGACGGTGCGCAGGTCCCGCGACGCTTCCATCATCAACCGCGCCGCGTCGCCCTTCGTGATCTTCACGCTGGCCTCGAAGATGCGGGGGTTCTGGAAGACGAGCTCCAGCGTGGCGATGGCCATCGCCTGGGGGATGGCGACGAAGGTGAAGACGCCCGGCTCCTTGATCCCCGCCATGTAGGAGAGGCACGCCTCCACATGTCTCAGCGAGTTCAGGACCATCTCCGAACTGCAGGCGAGCGCTGCCTCGCGGTGTCTGCGCTCGAAGAGATCGTCGAACTGGTCCACGTGCTTCGCCCAGATTGCCTGGGGCCAGAAGCGCCGCTGGTCGTCGAAGTCCTCGCGTACGTCGCGGATGATGTTTGTCTTCTGCAGGAACTGGCCCATGGATTCCGCAAGCTCGGGCTGCTTGCTCAAAGCCGGATTCGCGAAGCCGTCGTCCACGAAGAACCGCGTCAATCCGTCTCCCACGAGCCCTGCCACGTAGTGGCAATATAGCTCGTACTCCTCGATCGTGTTGACGCCGTTGGTGTTGGCATAGTCAGCCATGCCGTTTCCCATCTTGCGTGTGATGTCCTTGATGATGTCCCTGTACCTCGGGTCAATCAGCTTGAGCTCCGTGATCACGTCGTTGAAGTGGACGAGAAGCTCGCGGTCCTTCTCGTTCGGGCCATTCTTGTCGTACGTCCAGCCATCCTTCTCAAGAACCGTCTCGAAGCTGCGCAGCAACGGCTCCTTCTCCTCCAGAGAGATGGTCATGTCATCCTCGATCGTGTCTAGTCCGCGCAGCACCAGATAGAACAGGGCTACCGGGACAACCAGGTCGGGATTGAGTTCTTGCACAACCATGGCGAAGCTCCGGCTGGTCATCTTGAGCCATTTGAAACAATCCGCAAGCGTCGCTGACTCGTTGGAGAGGTCGCGAGAATAAGCTGGTTCATGCCACATCTTCCTATGGATATCTTAGCCTCCATGTATATCTCTAGCGATTTCTTGGGGATGCCAACCACTTTATTATAGATCTTAATTGGTTGGGATGCACCGCAAAGTACAGGACCTGGCCTAAGATCCCCATGTTGACAATTCGGACTTGGTCGTGATGAGAGAGGGAGTTCTTGAGTTATACATTAATGGCGATGATATGGCTGCTATAAGTCGTGATCGAGGGTCTGGTGGGGCAAGGCGATCAACGCATTGTCCAATTGCGCGGACGCGTCGTCGGTGGTTGTTCGCCCCGGCTCTAAACCCAAATGGCACTAGTCTGTCTATTTCACGTGATCTCACTTCCTTTACTTCTGTCATGATCTCGTGAAGGTCCTTCTCTAGATACGCAATTGAAGAGTTGTCCATCCCTCTGTAATAAAACATAATTGTACAACTCACCTGCCTTTCGCCTGTACAAAAAAGTGGGGGTTTTTCCTTTTCCGGCGACAGTTATCAATTGTCAGCCCACTCCTTTCTTTCCTCGAGCTGAACTGCCTGCCCTGCAGCACTCTGCAGAAAGGCGGAAGCCGCCTTTCTGCATCGAGCGCTGCAGTCGCAGGGTATGCAAGCCATCGGGCATCCCGTTACAGCTAGTCTCGACTAGTGCGAGGAGTAAGCGAATATTGAATGAGAGGATCGGAAAATGTGGATTGAGTTGAGTGCCGAGGGGGCTGAGGTTGTGCAACGAAAAATGAATGGGCAAAGGGCTGGCACAAATGTAAGGCAAAGTAAGATAAGGTAAGGTAAGGTAAGCAGCGTGGGGATTGCACGACGGTGCAACGTTGCCGATTGAGTTCCTCGGGAATCGGGGATGCGCGGTGGCGGTACGGGGTATGGATATGCGTTATGCATGTGTGCATGCATGCAATAAGCCTGCGAGATATGAGCTGAGATACAACGGGCAAGGGAAGGAAGGATTTTTGGAAGGGGGTTCGGATGTGTGCGGTACCCGGTGATAGCCCCTGCGATAAGAGGATTTTGATCAGCTGAGATACGTCGAGGGAATACAGAACCCTGAAATCTCTTTTGTATGAAATTTGCCAGCTAGGACACAATGTGAAACTGCATCCTAATTCTGTTTCGTTTAGAAATGTGAGGGAGAGGAAGGAAGGGGAGAGGAAGGAAGGGGAGGGGGCCGGAAAGGGGAGATAAGATGGCTCCACGCGGAAGTTGCAAGGTGGACGGTTCCGAAGAGGTAACGTGGACAAGTTAGAAGTAGCATCCTACAATTGCAGATCACAAACAGGAGAAAACTGAGAGTGTTTATAAACAAAGGGTAAATCGTAATTAGTATGGCGGACTGGCTGGCTAAATAAACAAGATTGAAGATGCTATTCCATGCCACAAAACTCCGCGAAACTCCGTCGCTGTTTACACCCCAAAACTCCAAGTGTCGAAATGACATGCCATACAGGTATATGTTGATCTTTTTCTACTCATCTATATATCCCCTTCAAATTACTCCTTCTCCCCCTCATTGCACACCACGAGACGCTCCTTCGCCGCTTAGAAAAAGAAGAAGGTGGAGGCGAAGCACAAAGCAGTGTAGACGGTGGTGATCGTGTACTCGGCCTCGAAGAAGAAGGCCTGCGCGCCGAACGCGGTCTTCTTGGTCACCTCTCTCGGGTGCGCGATGCCGGTCTTGTCGTCTCTGTTCAGGAGCTCCTCGCGATCTGGCACGGTGGGTGGGGAGATCGCATAAGCGACGGGGGTCCACATGGAGGAGCAGAGGAAGATCCAGGTGACGGGTGGCCACCAGGCGTGGGTGATCATGCATTGCAGGATGTGGTAGGTGTCGAGCTCGATGATGAAGCACTTGTAGGTGACAATGGTCGCGCCCGTGATGCAGAACCAGACGAACATGAGGTGGAAGACGGCTTGGCACTGGATGAGGATTGCCCACATGCGGACGAACAGGCCCTTTCTTTGATCCTCATCACGTTCGTTGAGGGCGGAACCGAGAGAACCGGTGGGCTTGAAGGTTCCTCCTGAAGTTCCACCGAGCCACTTGGGAAGGAAGAAGGCGCGCACGAGAGAGATGCAGAGATAGGGCGCCATCCAGATCTGGTAGCGGGCGTAGCGTTGGCCGGTGTGGTAACCGGCGGGGATGTAGAGGAAGAACTCCATAATACGGCGAGAGATGACGGTCGCGAACGCGGAGCGGATGAGCCAGCGGAACTGGTTCTCGCTAGTGAAGATGACGAGGGGACGGCCGAGGATCAGAATAACGGGGATCGAGAAGAGCGAAATGGTGAAGAGGATGGGGTAGAAGGAGAGGATACCGATGAGGAAGGAAGACAGCCGGGCGAGGGTCGTCATGTGCTTGATCTTAGCGCCGTAGAGGTAGAAGTTCATGTTCATAGCGTTCTCGACCGTACCAATACACCATCTGGAACGCTGCTTCAAATGGGACGAGAAATCCTCAGGGACGGTACCGAATTGGAGGGGCTCGTGGACATAGGCGGTGGTCCATCCCTTTCCGATGAACAAGTTAGACGTGGCGACATCTTCGGCGATACCACCGACGGGGATGCCTCCTATGTCGTCAAGAGCAGAGCGGCGGCAGATGTAGCCGGAACCAGTACACCAGGCAGCGTTGAGGGTGTCCTTGATCGGCTCAGTTACGTGGACGAAGAAATCGAGAGATTGGCCGATGGGATCAGAACGGGGCGTATTGTAAAACAATTGCGGTGGGCAAGCCATGGCGACCTTGCGGTCGGTAAGCAAGTGAGGAAGGCATGCACGCAGCCAGTGAGGCTCGGGAATCTGTAACAAGTCAGTTACACCATTCTGCCTCGAAGAAAAAAAGTAAAGAAAATTGGAGGGGGACAAGAAACTCACCATATCTGCGTCCAGGGCGGCTACGAACTCGGCCGAGCCACCGGGAAGGAGAGTGATCTGCTCCAGACCGAAATTCAGGTTCCCAGCTTTGAAGTGATGGGGCTTGCCGGGGATCTTCTCGCGGGACATGTAGATCAGGTTGGGCCACATGTGGCTGGCCTCTTCGGCCATCTGCTCGAGCTCTTGGGATTTGCCGTCGTCCAAAATGATGACTCGGAATCGGTCTTGCGGGTAGTCTTGATCGCAGCTGGCTCTGGCTGTGTCCATAATAACATCATTGTCCTCCTTGCAGCACGTGACGAAAACATCGACGGTCGGGAGGTCGTGGCTGCCCATCAACCGAAGACGGGGGCGGTTACGGGTCTTGAGCGCGAACATTGCCCAGCCGTTGTTCATCAGGTAGGGGATGGTGATGAGGAATTCGACACCGAAGAAGATCCACGCGGCGCCGGCATTGATTTTCGTCGTTCGCTGCACGTCGATGTTACAATATAATCGGAATCCGAGATACAGCAGGTACAGGACCACGTCCATGAAAATCAGGACGGGTGCGAAGAGGTAGAAGTAACGCTTGATCCCTTTCCACTGCTCGGCATCGTCGCGGTCGTGCAGGCGGACGATGGTGCCGGCGCGCTTGTAGTCGTTCATCTCCATCGACGAGGTCGACATGCGGTGGTCGACCTCGTAGCTGGCCAAGCTCGCCTCGCTCAGACTCAGCTGCGAATATCTCCGCAGATTGCCCAGATTCGGCGGCGGCAGCAGCGAGGACGTCGACTCGTTGCTAGCCATGCGTGCTTGATTTCGGACCGTCGCATAGCTGCCCACGCTGGCCTCGCTCAGGCTCATCTCGCTGTATCGGCGGGTTCCCATCGCAGGCGGCAGTAAGGACGCTCGCGTCTCGCTGGTACCGCGCTGGTGTGCTTGTAGGGGCGGCGTCTGCGATCCGCCAGGTCCTCCCGAGGGACCCGCCATGTGCAGACCCAGATCAGACGATTGCGATGCGCTGCGAGAGCGCTGCTCTTGTTGTTGAGTGAGCCATTCTCCGGGCGGCGTGTTGGGCGCGCTGTTCACCTCCACGTACGGAGGCCTGCCCGACATTTTGCAGTCGATACGGATCAGCAGATAGTGTTTCCTGCGGCAGTGAGGGTGAGGTCGTTAGAAAGAGAAGGCGAAGTAGAACGAGAAGCAGAAGTACAAGGAGAAGAAGAAGGAGAAGGAGAAGAGAAAGGGGGTGGAGGTGATGGGTGGGGGTGGTGAAGCTTTAATGCTTTAACGCTCCGTGTGGTTTGATTGTGAGTGGTGCTGGTGCTGGGTGCTGGGAGCTGGGATTGCGGCTGGGCGTGGTTATGAGTTATGATAAACACGAGGCTAACCCCCTTTAATATGAGCAGTAGGGAGCTCTGAAATTTGACGGGTGTAAGCTTAGAAGGTTCTTAAAAATAGGTGCAGCTCTGGGCGCTGCGCCGAATGGGAGGGGCTCGGCTAAGCCATACTGCAGGCCTTCGGTGGCCGCGAGATCTGTAGTGGGCGAGTGAAGCATGGTTTAGGGGGGAGGGGGGGGGTTCACGGCGGGCCAGGCCAACACGGCTAGCTCTGCACCGCACGCGCGAGACAAGAGCAAAGGCTAAGGCTAAGACTAAGACTAGGACTCCGAGCAGGCACTCAAAGAAAAAAGACACGCTACGGCACACGCTACAGGGCCCGCACAGAGACTGCACAGTGCACCAGGGAAGCTGCCACGGGGCCGCTAAGGACCAGCTCCTCGGCGGTGCGCTCTCTCTCCTTTTTTGCCTTCTCGCTCCCCCTCGCTCTCCCAGCCGTCAGCTGTGCCTCGTTCTGCAGCCACTCGCTCGCTAAGGGCTGACTCCGCCTCTGCGCCGTCGCGGAGGCTGCCTGTGCCTCCCTCTGGCCCAACACCGCTCTCTTTGCTATTTATGGAGTTATGGTTCAGAGTCAGCATTCTCACTGGCTGAGCCGCCGCCGTGGCTCCTCACTGCCCGTCCCAAATCGAATACGACTCGGGACGTGTCCGCGCGCTCACAGCACGCTCACGCTGTCCACACATTATTGTGCCGGCTTGTGCCAATTGCAAATGCCAATGCCAATAATGCAAATGCTGCCACTCCTGCACTCCTGCCTCCTGCCTCCTGCACTCCTGGTCGCTCCCCCACGAGGCTTACTGCCCACTGCCTACTGCCTACTGCACAAGCCCAGGCCCCGCTACTTCAGCCTCTGCTTGCTGACTTTCAGTTTCACTTGCTCACGTCAGGGCCGCCGTACTTTGTAGTCTGTTCTTATTTCCACATCCACGCCGGCCCCCTGTCCTACCGCTCATTGGCCCGCTGCTGCGAGTTCTGACCGAACACGCTGCGAAAAAGGGATGTGGCCCATGGATGACCATGGGTGGCCAGCTCCGAAGCTCAGCCCCCTGGCCCGCCCGCTGAATCCCTCACAATTTCCTTTATTATTTCCCCGTGTTCAAGATCTTTCTTTTATCTTCAATCCCTTTCCGTTTGCCATCCCAACCCGACCTTCTTTTCTCTGTTTTCCTGCTGCAACTCTCGCTACCACCACCGTGCCCCCCGCCCCTCCCGTCTCCTTTTGTTGTCGCCGCCATGTCGTTCTTCATTGGCATGATCGTGAATGCCATCCTGCTGTCCATCCCCATCGGCGCTTCCCTGGGCACCATGATCGCAATCAAGCCCTTTAGGAACGAGAGAGTGAAACCGCCGGTAGAGCAGAACGCGATATTCGAGACGACGTACTGTGACAGTTCGCACGAGTTCCATCAATTCGCTCAGAATAAGAACGGAGTAAATTACACAAGTGAGTGGGGCAGCTTCTATTTGGCTGTGTGTGCTGGACAAGGCTACCATCATCAGTCCACACATCGCGAAGCCTCAACATACCCCCTTTTGGACGCACTGCTAACAAGCGCTTCCCAGTAAACTCCAACGAGTTCCTCACAGCGATAGAATCCACGCTCTGCCTGACAGTCACCCAAAACCAGAACAACACCTACACCAGCAACGACACGGCCCCCGACTTCTTCATCACCTGGGAATACCCCTTCACCCCCGCCAACGTGTCGTCGCCCCCGAACGAGACGAAGCCCCTGGCCCACGCCTTCCCGCAAGCCACGCTCCAGGACACGGCGCTGCCTATCACGCTCCTCGACCTTGGCGCGCTGGAACTCGTATTCTCGTGGACCATGGGCATCGGCGACGAGGCCGCGCCCTCGACGAGCGTGCGCAGGCTGGAATCGCAGGCCGTCAACGCCACCGTCGCGCTGGACCTGTTCCTCGACGCGGACCCGGTCATCGCGGGGCAAGGCGGCAAGGCGGCCTTCGAGATGCTCATTCTCTTCGCGAGTTACGGACTCCAAGATCCCATCGGCTTCGGCAACGGCAGCAACACGATCGCGGCCCACACGACGGCGGCCGGGAATGACTTGTAAGCTCCCCCTCCTATCCATTGGATTTTGGAGAAGAGGATGGAAAACGCTGACTGTATTGAATAGCGACCTCTACGCGGGCAAAAACGACAACCTGCAAAATGTTTTCACCTGGGTCGCCAGCGACCCCAACGGCATCACGGACTTCAATGGCGACATTTCGCCCCTCTTCAACGTCGTCCTCAACCTAGCCTCCACCGCAAAAAACTTCGCAGAGCTAGACGTCACCCTGCCCATTTTCGGCGACTACCTGGGCTACGTTGGGTTCGGGTCACAAACATACAGTTCGATAGGGCACGTCACGTTCGCCGTGCCGAAATTAGGCATCGATTTACAGCCGTTTGCGAACCCGAACGCACCAGTTTGATGAGTTGAAGAAGGTGTATAATGCGAAGGAGGGAGTGTAAAGTGAAGATTGTCTGCATTTTTTGATATGTGTTTTTGTAAAGGCATGGCATGGCGTTCCTGGTGGACTTTTTGTGGATTTTTGTGCAGGTGGCGGCGTTGACGACTACCCATAATTTAGACAGAGATGAAATATGTGTGTTTAATAAAAAATAGCCAGAAGTTACGAAATGTTTCTCCTGCTGTCTTATTCTTAATTGGATTGGTTGACCACAGCTTGTTTTCATTTGCCCCGCCTCTCGTTCCTAGCCCTTTGTGTCACCGAAGTCTCCCCAATCCTCAAGGAGGAGCTTGTGTGGATGCGCTTCATCGATTGAACAAGCACAAACTCAACCTCATCACTCTTCAATCCTCCCTCACTTTCCTGCCATGATGCTGCACACATCCATCCATCCTCCTCCTCAGCACCCTCTCTCTCCCTGCCAATTCCAGGCGCCACAAGGGCTTATCTTTTACTTGCGTGTATCCTCGTACCAGCTAACAACACACTTCCCGTTCGTGCTCCACTTCCCATCCCAAGTACAGCTCGCGAACCATGTTAGCTCAGCACAAGTTTAGCAGCCGCGCCAGTCGCGCAGGGTCCTCCCACGTCCGGAAATCGGACAGCAGATCTTTTGATAACGCAAAAATCAAATTTTACGGCCGGAAAGCCAAGGGGTGGCAGGTGCGGCCTAGCCTAGATATTATTATTTTTTTCTGTTCCGGGAGATCCGGATGAGAAGCTTTGGTTTGATTTGGTGCGGTTTGTTTACTTCCCCATCATTGCTGTTTACTTTTTCCACGCGGTGAGGTGGTGGTGGAGGCTGAAGGGGGAGGCGGCATCAATGCATCCATCAATGTGTGCTCTCACCACCCGATTCGCATCGCCATACAACCCCAAAATCCCAAATCTGGCTCGTTTATTCCAACAGCTCCCGGCCTCGGTCTTCTTATCCTTCCCTCCTTCCTTTCCTCCCAAGACAAATTCGGATCCCGATTAAGCTCCAAACGCCCTCCGTAGCCCTTCCTCTACCTGCTAACGAGCGCGAACCTCGTCATTCAGTCTCCGCCTCACTCAATACACTCCACAATTTGACCTTCTCAAGATATTCATCATCGTGCTTCCTTGTCAGCTTAGAGACTTTCGTCTCAGATGCAAGCAGTTGGATCGAGAGCTCCACCATGCGGGAATCCTGGATCCTTGATCCCCACGTCGCGTTTCCCGGTCATCTTTATCGAGACATCGATGATTCCGTAGGTTCTGCTTGGGATCGAGACGGGATTCTGTCGCTTTTGATAATACAATGGTTGTAGATAGATATAGAAGATCGCGGGGTCGGGAGAGACTCGTGGGTGTGCGGGAGTTTGAGGGGCTTGGAGCAGCTGCTTTGTATCCTTCTTGCTCAGGGGTAGCGGTGCTTTCGTCGTCACGGCGGGATTGTGAGGCCCGGGGTTCTTGTTCTTTTTCTTCGGATGCAAGGGAAGATTCTTGTTTATTTTTGGTTTAACTGAACTCGACTCCATGTCCGGCAGAGTATTCTGTCTTTTTCTCTTGTACGGTGACTATCACTTAGCCTCGAGCAGCAGGGGGCCTGAGCGAGGTAAATAGCTTGAGGTAGTCGCACGCAGCGAGACCAAATTGAAGCTAGGAAAGGGCTGATGTGGGACGAGGGTTGGAATGTGGGGATAGGAAATGCTGCACATTTCACTCAAAATCGCTACACTTACCATTCCTCATCTCCAACTCCCCGAAGAGCCCCAGATTTTTTTTTTATCATCATATTAGACAGGGCAAGCTCCCAAAAAGAAAACCACTCTCCACCTCCCTCCACTCGGGCTTATCCCAACCACCTCCGCTGAATCGACCCTGAAGTCTTGAACAATCCAAACTTCTCGAGCCTCGATTCACTGCCTGTCCAAAGTTCCTCTCACAGATAGTATACAGCAATTACATAAAGGATTCCTGCGTGAAATGCTCTTCACCACCAATATCCGTAGCCTATCTTCCGCACAGCCTTGCCACCACCTCCCTTCAGCGTCGCCTTATTTATCTCTACCTTCTCCTTCCATCCCATTCCCCCTTCCCTCCAAAGCCGCCAGTTCTCCCACCTCTAGATAGCCATCCGTCCCCTAGCGCCCTTCCCTCGCAACACGAACGCATACCAGTATATCCCCTTCCGTCCCCCACTCCACAGCCCCGGTAGCCAGCCCAATTTCAGAGAATCCAGATTCCACTCGCGTGGCGATGTCCCGGGTACGAGTAGTGGTTACTGAGGTCTTCAACTTAGAAGGGGGTTCGGTATAATGCGTTTGCGCGTCTGTAAGAGCAATTGAGCGCGTAGCAGTAACCTTCACTCCCGTACCCCTGGCACTAGCTATCCGGTTAAACAAACTCGGTCTATGAAACTTAGCTGCGGGCTCGTTATCGAGGTTTTGATGACCCTTGGGCTTGAGTTGGAGGTGTGAGGCTTCCTTTAGGACCTTCATCTGTGTCTCCAGGGCTGTAGAGTTGGCGGGGCCGGAGGCCGTCAGGCGGGTTGAGGCGGTGGGGGTTGGGATTGGGGAGCTCGCTGAGTTAAAGGGATCCGATGTGGGGTTGGAATCCGAGTTGTCTAGGGGCTCTAGCGCTGGAGGTAGTGAGTTGCGTAGTATGTACTAGGTTAGGTATTCATTTCGAGAAGCAAGGGTATGACTTATAAAGTAGGCGTCCATTTCTGTGGTTTGGGACTTGTATGATTTTTCCACGATAGCCTGCTGAAATCTGGTGCAGTGTAAGGCCACCACTCTCTCTTCCACACTCTCCTAGTCGCTTGCCAGCACAAATATTTCTCCTCGTTCCGCAGAAAAACCCCCGCTCATGTCCTTCTAAACACTTCAAGTAGTATAAACAACCGCTTAACTTCTTATCAAATTATCTCATCTAGACTAAATAGGAGCAAAAGATATCAAGAGTAGCATTTTATTTATTAAAAATAGATTAGTATTCACAGATGAGGTGGACCTTTCAAGTGTTCCAGGTGTGTAATATTGGTCGTGGAAATTAAGCGAAAGCCCCTGAAATTCTCAGGCGAAAGGTAATATCAACAGCTTGCAGCAGTAGAACATCAATCAGGCTTCAATTGAAAGGACGATATCTCACTCTAACATTTATAAAGTCTAATAGAGTATTCTAGTAAAGCAAGGTCCAGAACTAGCAGATCCTTTTCCTCTCCAAGATCGACCTCCTTAGCTCCTCCTCCCACTCCCCAACTCCTACATTTCCTGCAGCCTCCCCCTTTTCTTCTTTATCCGCACTGCCTCCACTTCTAACTGTGTTATTTCCCTTTGGTACTGTGTGCTAGTATGTTGAGTAGCCCCAAGGCAATGCCGAAGTTATTGCGGTGAAGCGTGTTAGCTGATGGATGGGTTGGGCAAGGTAGTATGCTGCTGGTGAATGCTTTTCTGTACATTATACCGTACTGAGCCCTGAATTCAGGAAATCCGAGCTCAACGCTGTCAACTTCGCAAAAGTCCATGATGCTTCTTGGGCAACTGCATATGCGATTAGTTGAGACTCGCGTTGGTTTAAACGGGGCTTATAGAGTAGCTCGCAGAGAAATGAACACTCCTTGAGACGTGGTTGAACTCTTGCGTCAAGAGGGCTTGGATTCATCTGGTTGCGGAAGCAAAGGTAGTCGCTGCACGCGCATCCATTTTTAAGCACTTGCGGGTAGAGACAGTTTTAACTGCATGTTTATGGGTCTGCAAATGCTTGGGAGGGAATACGTACAATGCAGGGAAGGATCGCAGTGAGATCGCGAATTACGCTCTCGGTCTCCAACATTTTCTGGGTCGCGGAGGGATCTTCAGCAAGATCGGCACCGCCTTCTATGGCCTCTATCAGGACCGGTATGCCAGGTCCAGAAGCAGCTATGACCTTAATGATGGTACCAATGCACTATGGTACCAACGTTGAAGAAGTTGCTTCTGATAATTACATCGTCAGTGTTTTCCAGAAGTTTCTTTGACGCAACCTGAAAAAAAGCCTCTTGTGGGCACGGTCGTGTCAAAGTCCGGGGTAGTCCCGATTATCTTGGCACCGCCCGCTCGAGGCTCAATATCCCGCTTTCATCTTCAGTTCAAATCCTCAAACGGAAAGAAAGCCCCAGGCAATGCGGATTGAGTGGACGCTGGCTCGATGTGCGGGGAGGGGGACCTCCCTCTTGACTGTATTCGCTTTCAATTCAGCTCTGAAAAAGCTGACTCTCTCTCTCTCAAGCCCTAGGTTTCCCCAAAGAATATGAACCTACCCCTAGACTTTCTCTGCTGTGACCGAAGATATAACACACAAACAGGTTTTTGTGTCCGGTTTTGGTGTGGGTTCCTGAATCCGCAAGACGGCCCAGAGAAATAGGAAGTCAGCGATTGTTTCTAAGCTGGGAACATTTTCTCATTTTGTGGCTTGATATTGTTTGGTTGGCGTCGATCCCCTCCTCGACCGCAACGCCATCGCAACAAGCGCGGTGATTAGATAGAAATGAGCAGTTCTTATAATGAGAGGAACTGAGCTCAACTCGTTATCACAACCCTAAAGGCAATCTGGCCTTTGCAAGAGTTGGCTCTATCCTATTTGGTTGGAAGAGTCATGAATACGTGTGACGACGCATCGGAAGGGGCTGTGGCTAGGAGGAAAGGGGTTTAAGCGAGATCCAAGCCCTCCCACGCTGTTTAGTAGGCGCTTGACTTATCCTGCTTGTCTCCACTGAGGCAAAAACTTCTAGCAAGCGCTTTCTTCATGCTCGTGCGAATTGTTGGGTCAATAGAGACTGTATTGAATATACTCCTGCAGTCTTTCCCGCAAGGTATCAATTGTTACATCATACGCGCGCGAAAACTTGGTGGAGGACCCAGATAACTCTCCTTTACCCCACCAAGATCCACGACCAGTTTCTCAAGTAACAAATTTGAGTGTTTCAACTTCACCTGAATTGTATGCGTGCCCGGTTCAAACTTATCTCCTAAAAACATATGCTTCTTTACCCAAACACAATCCTGCACGGCCTCAGCCCAGCCCTCGGGCAGTTCTCCGTCCTTCTTTGACTCGTGGACTAGTCTGTGTGTTTGCAACTTGTCATCAACGAGGATATCGTACGTCATTGGGTTGCTCGGATCAATGTCGAGAGTCATGTTGAAATACAGCAGTACCTCAAAGGTGGGAGATTTGGTGAAGAAGTAGGTGTCGTACGTGAGATGACATAAAGCGTGACCTGAGGATGGGTTCAGTGCAAGAGAGCCAGTTGAAGATCTTCCAACTTCGGGAAGAAATCGATATGAAGGCGCAAAATTGCAGGAGGATGCGGGAATGGAGATGTATCCATCAGCCTCTACGAATCCAGAGAATGTCTCAGGAACTTGCCGGCCTAGAATTGGGAGATGGACCTGCTCGAAATCTCCTTCCGTAGAGCGGATGTCGATCAGAACTTTCTCATTGAAGTCTGCCGGTACTTGGCCCCACTCGATAGTGATTTCTACTCGTGCGTCCTCCTGTCCAGGGATCAGTGTTCCGCTGGCAGCAGACAGCTTTATCCAACTGCAAGGTGCAGTGGCAGTCCAATGAATGCTCGGACTTCCCCGAGTATACACATCAAACCACCTACTCTCAGGCCCATAATGAGTCATGTTCCCAAGTGTGAGCCCCGGAACCAAGTCTCGCCTGCTTGGATGTGTCCTGTCACTCTCTTCATTGCATCGCCCTGGTCGCACTCCCTCGTGACCCTCAACTGCGATGCCCATCTGTCCCGCAATGGGATTCGAATTTTGCCGTCGCTGGACATAACAAAGACCGCTAATCATATCTCGTGATGGCGCATGCCAGGTATCGCCGAAGCCATAATGAGGTTGCATCATGATGTGATTCCATTTCCCATTCAGCAGGGCGTGGTAATCCTCGGAAAGGCTGAAATCGGCTTCGAAGAGGTCGAGAACTTGCTGTGCTAAAGTGTTTGCAAAGTTACGACGCTGCCGAGCGTAGAGTTGGTTTCTACCAAGGGCGATTTGGAGCGCGATGAAGATGTACGAGGATTTTATAGGGGACAAAACGAGCTGGAAGACACTGGGACGGTGAGTTTCAGGTGCACGCTTGTGTATGTCTTCTGCGGCATCAAGGAGCGCTTTCCACCGTCCCAGAACATGTTCTGCTTCGCTGTAGTGCAACAAGGAAAACGTGTCGGTTTCGATGTGTTCGTGCTTTCGCAGCGAGACAAGTCGATCATGTTCGTGCATTGCAACACCAACCTCCGTGCTCAATTCTGCTCCAAATTCGCGTTCTGCCATGGTGGCAAAGAAATGCGTAAAATTATCTGCTTTAATGGAGCCAATGTCCCAGGCTAGTGCCATGGCAAAAGTCAACGGGATTTCCAATGGTTTGATGTCACCAACGTTGAAAATCCAAATTTGTCTTGCGCCGCGGCGGTGCGCCTCCTGGAGCTGCTGCCATGTTTTGCCCTGTCATTGCATTCAGTTGAATGGCGGGCAACAATTAGACAATATCTTACAAGTGAGTTGCTGTTAGTCCATTTGTAGCTTCGTGGATGTCCTACATATTCGAAGTGGTAATAGATCTGCCTCGCTTCGAGTTAGCGATGTCAACAAATGAGATAGGGGCAGCTCGTGCTCCTGCTCCTCCTTTCCTCTCGGCTTCTTCTCCGTGCGGAAGTCGACGGATGGTGCCAAAATTGTCGTCCGCGAATAGAAGTGTGACATCGTCTGGGACTTCAAGCCTGCCGCTGTCATACTGTTGCTGCACTTCCTTGTACAGGGCAAGAAGCTCTAGAGCAATTGTCAGCTAGTCTCTGGATGAGTTCTGGTCAGTCCCAAAGCCTACGGGGCACGGCATCCTCACACCCATGAACGTCCTTGATAATTTTCCTCTGAGTCTGAATAACGTCTCGGACAACAGCGGCGGGGTCATCAGTGACCATTTTCTTATCGTATTCCCCACGCATTCCGAGGGTAAAATACGATTCGCAGCCTTTCGCTCTTCGTACTCCCTCATCGAAGAATTTTGTGATGTTTCTTTTGTTGGTAAGCCAGTTCCAGCTTCCCTCTGTATTCTCGGCAAACCACTCGTTGGACATGCGTTGCATGGGCTCGTGATGGGAAGTAGATATGCAGATGCCGTACTCCTCAGCTGTCTTTTGATTCTCTTCGTCATCAGTGAAGAACGATGCACCAGGATTGGGGTATCCGGGCCACATGGCTGGCCACAGAAAGTTCGCCTGTTGAAGTGTTAGTATTTCTGCCCAAAACACAATGAGGCCTGGCTAGTTTCTGACTTTCAATCGCAACAACAATTCGAACACTTTCTTATAGAATTCGACATTGTACCTGCCAAAGTTCTCCTGCACCCAGCCTGTAAGTGCGGGGGCCTCGTCATTGATGAATATGCCTCGGAATCGAACGCTAGGCTCTCCTTGAATGGTAGTCACGGGTAGAGCATAGATTTCCGAGTGATACTGCGGAACGACGTCAGCCCACCAATACCACCTACTTCAAAGTCAGCTTGAAGACAAGCATATTCCGTGGTTTGTTGAGGGGAGGTCATACGGCGAAACTCCAATCTGCGCCGAGAGTGCATACGCCCCAAAAGTTGCGCCTCTCTTGTCACTTCCCGCAATGACGAGGGCCTTATGACACCCATTGAAAGGGTTGTCAACGATGGCAGTCTTGTAAGATTCCCACTTCCCTCGAATTTTGCTGCAATCAAAATTTCCACTCTGCTCAAGATATCGAATTATCGGGCTTGCTTTAATGCTGCCGACGATGATGCACGCCTCGGCGTCTAGTTTGAAGCCATCACGCTCTTCGGTCACATGTTGAAGTGGAGATGAAGATCCTTTTGTGACCTTGGCGAAGTCCGCTGCGAGGTTTTGAGCAGCAATATGGATTGCAGGAAAATCGGCCTTGTCCACCACGATTGGCACCCCGACCAAACTGAGCAGCCCCGGCGTATTGAAAAATGTCACAAATTTCTCGTCGAACATGTTTGTGTTATTTTCAACTCATATTTTGTTCATTCTTCTTAATTAGTAGAGCTCCTGAAAGTTCATAAAAAGGGGAAAGCGACTTGGAATTCCTGTGCGGCACGAAACCTAGCAGAGTCATGAATTCACCACTACTGGCTCGTTTGTCGCAGTCTGAATCGCAAAGCATTCGTGGAATTTTTGTAGATGGAAACCCACTCTTGGCTTCGATAGGATGCCATGTGATCCGAGTGGGCTAGGATACCTTGTCTATGCCCCATGCTCGCTCACCGACGGTAGGCGGAGGTAATGTCCTGGGTTTCGTCTTATCAGGTGAAATTCAGCGAGAGGGATTTCGGACGAAATGTCCTTGAATCCTGATGTGATTCTATCAGGTAGAAAACAGCGAGGTTGGGGATTAGATGGAGATCCTAACCCCCGCGTGGAGCGGAGGAAGTTCAAATAGGGGTAGTGTGGAAACTTCACTAGCCTGACTCGGATATAGGATGCCAGCTCTTGACTCGCTTTCCAGGACCACGGTTCGGGTGTTTCTACGTGGCAACAGAGAATACACCAAGAGTGGTACGTTTTTCAATAAACAGGGCCAGCACCGCAAATTCTTCCGAGAGACTCTCGCGAAAGCTTGAAAACTTGGCAGGGGTTTTTATGAATGTTGGTGCACGGAGGTTGGACCCAAAGCGTTGTCTCGCCGCGTGGCCGCATTTCTGTCAGATCGTCAGTCGGCCAGTGAGTTCAAAAACCTGTACGCAGAAGTCTGAAAAGTGGGATTCTTGCAGCCAACCCAGCTCAAACTCTCCGGCTGGGGTACCCCGAATGTGGGGCATGGGGAATCTGAATGAACTGGGCTGAGGACTCAGTCAAGGTGAGGCCGCTGCATGAGCCATGGAGCTCTTAAAGCTCGTGACGGCCCCGATCCTTTTTGGTCCCTCGTTCACAGACACGACATTTCACATAAACCTCAATCCAGCGTCATTCAAGAGTCATGGACGACAACAAGACAACTGAAATTGCTGAAGCTCGCGAGGATGCTCCCGAGGTCGTTGAAGACGAGACTCTCAAGTCAGCACATATGAACTATGACCTCGTGGACGAAGAAGTGGCCAAGTACGCGAGCGAGACTATCGTGGAAGTCGACGAAGCGACCAGCAAACGCCTGAAGCGGATGATAGACAAGAGAGTCTTAGCAATTATGATTGGCACCTACCTAATTCAAACTCTAGACAAGGGAACGATGTCCTTCGCCTCTATCATGGGTATCATTCCTGAGACACATTTAGTTGGGACACAGGTATGCGCAAGCTATCAAATTGAACCGTGGAGCAGATACTAACACGGGTGACAGTATTCATGGTTGACATCCATTATCTACATTGTTATTCTGCTTGTCGAATGGCCCGAAAATTTGATCATCCAACGCGTTCCTATTGCCAAATGGCTTGGCTTGAATATCATCCTGTGGGGAATCACGCTTGCTCTTCACGCCGCAATGAAAAATTTCGCTGGTCTGGTTACCCTTCGAGCTTTCCTCGGCTTGTTTGAGGCCGTCTCTCAACCCACCTTCGTCCTCCTGTCTGGCATGTGGTACAAGCGAGAAGAACAAGCTGGTGCTGTTATCTACTGGTATGCTCACCTCCAAAGCTCTTGCGGTGGGTTTTCAAACTGACAAGAATCAGGTACATGATGAACGGTGTACAGCAAATAATTGGCAGTCTTCTTGCTTTCGGCTTCTCTTTTGTTCCCAGCACAGCGGTCATCAACTCCTGGCAAGCGTTGTTCATGACTTACGGTATCATCACCGTGTTCTGGGGTGCTTTCGTTCTCTGGTGGATGCCTGACTCTCCCATGAAAGCAAAGTGTTTCACGGAAGAAGACAAGAAGTTGATGATTGAGCGAGTTCGCGAGAATCGCACCGGCGTCCAAAATCGCAAATTCAGAAAGGATCAGATCTGGGATGCTGCCTGTGATCCTCAAGGCAAGTGATGTGATCCATTTCCCAACTGTATTATGTCATCTGATAACTTTCTGCAGTGTATGCTTTCGCCCTTATTCAACTTTTCTTGACCCTCCCATCAGGCGGCCTTGGCGCTTTCGCGAACATAATCATCAAGTCTTTCGGCTTCACAACGTGGCAAACCCAACTTCTGCAGATGGTATCAGGCGCTGTCCAGGTCACTGCTATGCTGTCTGCTGTCTGGGTTGATCAACGAACCAGACAGACCATACTGCCTATGATGGCTTCAGTTGTGCCTACAATCGCAGGTACGATTGTGTTGATGATCGTACCGTTCGAGCCAAGCAAACGAGTAGGACTACTCTTCGCATACTACATCATGATTTCCTTCTGGGCGTGTTCCGGACTTGCACTTTCACTCGTTACTAGGAACGTCGGTGGCCAGACAAAGAAGACTGTTGTGATTGCGGTTAACTTCGTATTCTGGGCAACTGGTAACTCCATTGGACCTCAAGTTTTCCAAACCAAAGATGCACCTAGATACTTCCTCGCCTTGGCAATTATCTTAGGGTGTTTTGTTTTGCTCCTCATTACATTGGGAGCTCTTCGCACTTATTATGTCTGGCAGAACAAGAAACGAGACGGCAAGATTGAGCGAGGTGAAGCCCTGGCGGATGCCTTGTATACACACGCTCTTGAGGATATCACAGATAGGGTACGTTGCTTTTTTGCTTGCACCTCAGAAGATATTTTACTAATGATCAATGCAGAAAAATGTCAATTTCAGATACATTTACTGAAGCTGATTTCTGTCGAAGCTATCTCGGGGTTTGGCTTTGACAATACAGCAAGATGCGAGAGAGCGGAAGCGTGGAAGCGGAGGAGTCGTGGTTCCATATTTCATTCCATCAACAAACAACCTCAAGTTCAAATAATTCATGCTTAAATTGAGCTTTCTTCTTCGACTCAAATTCTTTGCATGGTTGGTGACGTTCAGTCGTGTGCCGAGGTACAAGGATGCCCTTCTTGCATCTCCGTGCTGGAAGCTGCCTGCATAAATCAAGCTATCCCCACCATCCCGGCGGTGTGTCTCAAAAAGGAGAGAAGTCCCACGTGGTTCCCTGAGCCTGCAGCTTAGTGCAGCAGTTGACCACCTACCCCCAAAATCGTGTCTGGGGTCAAAAGTGGGAGGTTCTACAGGGTGCTGCGGCTTGCATCAACAGTTCGGATTTCACACTAAAAGGTCAACTTGCAGACCAAAAGTTGACGCATCAAGTTTGTTGTGTAGAACTAGTTTCTTGACTTCAATCCTTTCGTTTAGCCGCCGTTTCTGACGCTTGAAATAAACTCTCCATCTTGTCCCTGTTCCAACGTGGGAGTTCATCAACCGCAAGAGGCAATTTTGGCCGAAATCAACCCACTTTACCTCATACGCTCCACAACGCACCACGGTGGAGAAACGCTTTGACACCTCTCCAGCTTGTCTCCAGATGAAGGCGAACGTTCTTGAAGGAACAACCTTGAAGGGTGGGGGTTGCAGTTGTGACAGAACATCCGTTTCTGACAGGAGAAAATGGTCTCAACGGACGACGATGTTTTCCTCGTCTCCAATAATTTTCTTCCACATCCAACACGATGTGCTCTCACGGATCCGCCATAGTGAATGGCCGTGAACATCCTTCTCCAACAACTACATATCCATTGCGAGCCATTGGTCCCGTAGGAAGGCGAATCACCAGCATCTACCAAAAACGCCTGGACAACTTCTTCACACCGGGACAATGGGAGAAGGTCAATCTCCTTGCGTGAGTGCAGTTCAAATCTGAAAATATAAGCGAAATTCTCTAACAGCTGATGCAGAGTCCTGAAAGACGGGGTATACTCTGGCCCTGAAAACGTCAAATTGTCTGTTTGGTCTGCACCTGGCACGACTCGCCCGACATTCAAAAAGGCAACAGATAATTCGAATAAATACGAACAGACTCGAACAGGTGAGGCTTTTGGACCTTCTTGGACAACACATTGGTTCAGAGCTTCTCTTGCGGTCCCCCAGGAGTTGTGCCAAGGCGACATTCCAGTTGAGCTGCACTGGGACTGCGACAATGAAGCAACAGTTTGGTCCGAGAACGGTGAGCCACTTCAAGGTTTGACTGGGCGAGGAGAACGAGTCGAGTGGATTCTACCAAAATCGTTCAAAGACGGGAAGGAGCACACCCTCTACATCGAAATGGCATGCAACGGCATGTTTGGCAATGGCCCAGGAAGACCAATCTTCAAGAATAATGCAGGCGGTGACTCGATCCAACCTCCTGATCAAAATAAGCACTTCAAGCTTTCAAAAGCGGAGCTTGTTGCACCGAACATGCAAGCTCGTATGCTTTCTGTGGACTTCCGAATCATTCATGATGCAGCACTTGAACTTCCAGAGGATTCTTGGGAACAGCATGAGGCCTTGAGCGTTGCTTCCAGGATTATCGACAACTTCAATGTTGCGGACAAGACTTCTATCTTGAGGTGTCGGAAGATTGCAGAGGAATACCTTGGGAAGGAAATTGACTCGGAGAAAGTCTATGGGAGCGTCAATGCTAAAACGCCTACTGTTTATGCAGTCGGCCATTGTCATATCGATACCTGTTGGCTGTGGCCCTGGGCAGAAACAAGACGAAAAGTCGTTCGGTCGTGGTCAAACCAGTGTGATCTGATGGATAGATACCCAGAGCTGAACTTTGCTTGTTCGCAAGCCCAACAGGCATGTTCATCTTCTCAGGTGCATTTCCCAACGCCTAGACTCATGTTACTGAATAGTTCAAATGGCTCAAAGAAGATTATCCCTATGCCTGGGAGCGAGTAAAGTCGAAAATCAAATCTGGGCAATTCCACCCGATCGGAGGATGCTGGATCGAACATGACACCAACCTCCCAGGCGGGGAATCCTTGGTTCGACAGTTCTTGTACGGCCAACGCTTCTTCGAAGCAAACTTTGGAACTCGATCCACCACGTGCTGGCTCCCAGACTCATTCGGTTTCTCAAGCCAGCTGCCCCAGCTTTGTAGGCAGGCGGGGATGAACCGGTTTCTCACTCAGAAGCCTTGCTTTAATAGTGTCAACGACTTTCCGCATACGAGTTTCAATTGGTATGTGAACTCAAATATTCATAGCATTGAAAGTTGGAGTTTGAGACCCACAGGTTATCGCTAAGTCCGCGGACTCACGTTAAACGTGGTCTAATTCGAGAAACATTTGCTGACTTTCTGCTTCACAGGGTAGCGCTTGACGGAAGCCAAGTCATCTGCCATATGCCTCCATGTAAGACGTATTGCTCAGAGGCCAGCTTTGGAGATATCAAACGAAGCATCTCGAATCACAAGTCTCTGGACCAAGACAACACTGCCCTAGTCGCGGTATGTCCTCAAGACTCTTGAGATTTTGTTCTCTGCCAACTGAGACGAGAAATATGCTGATTTTGGACAGTTCGGCAAGGGTGACGGCGGTGGTGGCCCAACATGGCAGCACATGGAGCGGCTTCGGAGACTCCGAGGCATGGCTGACACAATTGGCCAGATTCCCCGAGTTCATTCTGGTGGCACAGTGGACGAATTCTTCGATAACTTGGAGAAGAAAGCCAGTTCTCTCGTAACCTGGTACGGCGAACTTTACTTCGAACTGCATCGTGGTGTGTATACCACCCAGGCGAGCCAAAAGTCAAATAATCGGAAGTCGGAGTTTCTGTTGAGGGACATTGAGCTGCTTGCGACGATCGCTTCCATTCGGGATAGGTCGTATCGATATCCGAAAAAGGAGCTGAATGAGATGTGGGAGGGGGTTTTGCTGTGCCAGTTTCATGATTGCCTTCCAGGAAGCGCGATCAAGATGTGTTACGATGATTCAAATGAGGTAGGTTCTTTCGTCGTCAGGCAACTTCCATTCTAACCCTCTTGCAGATATACGCCAATATCTACAAAATTGGCTACACGCTCCTTCGAACGATCTACCCAGTTCTCGGCATCAGCGATTCCGGAACGAAATCAAGCACCAACTTCCAGAACACTCTGGCACTGAACACTTTGCCGTGGCCTCGACAAGAAATCGTCAAGATATCCGAGAATCAAGCGGTCATAGCTAGTGGTGATAGCAACTTGCTTTCTGTGACAGAGTTTGGTGCGTCACAGGAGGAAAAGCTTGTGACTATCCAAGAGTCCGCGCTTGGCGTCTTTGTGCTGCAGAATAGCCAACTCTCGGTCACTGTCCAAGACGGATGCATCACCTCCCTCTACGACCGAAAAGCAAAGAGAGAAGTCCTCTCCGGCAAGGCAAACAAGTTCGTCATCTTCGATGACCAGCCAATTTACTGGCAAGCCTGGGACGTTGAGGTATACCATCTTGAGACTCGCCAAGAACTCCATTCATCAACCACTACTATCTTAGAGAACACGCCGTACCAAGTCAGTGTGGTGACAGAGACCAAGGTCAGCGAGATGAGCTCGATTCGGTCAACGATCACGCTCGCTTCTGCCTTTGACGGTCAGCAGTCCTATGTTGAGTGCTCAGCCGAGATCGACTGGCATGAAACCATGAAGTTCCTCAAAGTCGAATTTCCCGTGGGTGTGCGGAATACCGAGGCAAGCTATGAAACTCAATTTGGTATCATAAAGAGACCAACTCATTACAACACTTCGTAACAAACCCATATTCCTCTCCCGAATTGCTTCCTTAGCTAACTGTATTTTAGATGGGACATGGCCAAATTTGAAGTCTGCTGCCACAAATTTGCCGACCTTTCGGAGTACAAATATGGTGTCTCCATCCTCAACGACAGCAAATACGGCTTCGCCACCGCTGGAGACGTGATGCGACTTTCCCTCCTCCGCTCACCGAAAGCGCCAGATGATACCGCTGACATGGGGCACCATTCTATTCGTTGGGCCATCATGCCTCATCAAGGTGAACTGGGTGCTGAGACCGTTCGGGCGGCTTTTAATTTCAATAACCCACTAAAGCTCGTCTCTACAACGAAGGAGTCATGTCTAAATATTTTTCCGATTGTGTTGAAAGGAGACGATAATTTGATTCTTGATACCGTGAAGCGGGGTGAGGATGACGAGGATGTGACCACGGATAACTTGCCAAAGAAAGTGGGTAGAAGCGTTATCGTTCGTGTGTATGATGCGTTAGGGGGACGCGGGAGGGGGATCGTTGAGACAACATGGGCTGTAAGCAAGGTGTTCAAAACGAATCTGTTGGAGGACGATGGCGATGAAGTTCTTTTCAAGGATGGGAAGTTCGAAGTGGACCTAGGTACCTTCCAAGTTGCTACCTACCGACTGGTTTTGGCATGAACAAGCGTGCGCATGGCCGGATTAGAGAAAATTTGTGGTACTGTATAGCCTGTCTAAAACTGTAGTCCTCGTAGTAGGTTCCCGGTGTCAAATGCACACGGATTCTCCAACCACCTTATCTTCTTCATCCTCATTCTGGGAACGAGAGTAAATTTCGCCAACGTCATCAAACTCAACAGCACCGAGATTCTATTGAAAATCCACCAGAACAACATTCTCCTTAGGGCCCTTCTCCCATCTCTGCGTTCTTCGTCCCCACCAACCTCTTGGGACAGCACTTCGAGTATTGCCTCGAGGGCGCCTTTGGTTGCTAACTCTAAGATCAGTGATATTTAGAGTTGAGCCGGGGCAAGTGAAACATACACGGCGTTTCCATTTTGGGCATCCACAAATTCAAAAATTCAGAGGGGTTGTTTTGCTTGCCCTTCTCTATGTCGATATTCTCCAGCTCCATCTCCTTCGCCCCTCTCTCTAAAAACGGGAAATGGACAAAATCATGAACCTCGCACATTTTGGCTCATTTACCATTTCCTGTGCGGCGAGACTCAGCAGAGTCAGACCAACAAGAAATCCCTGTACAGCAACCAAGCTGATTCACAGTCAGCGATACGGCTTACGAAGCGTCCAATCAAACGCTGGACATGGTACGGAGTACGTAATAACATACTAGAATATGCTAGACCCGTCAGCGCCAAGTGAGAAACACAGACTAGTGCACAATAAATAATCGAGGATCCATTTTACTACAGTTAGCTGAGTATCTCCGTGAGACACAGTGATAAGACAGATTTTGTTCGGTGATGCTCCGTCAGATCCCCGACAAATTAGCAACGAATTCAGTTTCGAGTTAGGGCACTCGCCTCAGTTCGGGGAGAAACAAAGGCGGGGGAGGGGAGGGGGTTTAAAATGAAATCACATAACTAGAACCGGATTCTATGATCCTAAATGAGTGTACTATAATAGCTTAATAATGCTCACGTTCAGCTCGGATAGATACAAGGCTATAACAAATTTTAACTTTGAGAGGTATCAGTGGAGTTACTCGGCAGCCTCGTATCGATGAAAGATGGCGGAATATGGTCTGAAGATCTTCTGTGGAATGAACTCGAAACAGTTTACCAAGACACAAACTGATCTATTGAGTAGCAATTGAATGTGTGTTCTCTTGCGGGGTTTCGAACATGGAGCAAACTTCTAAAGTCTTAGTTTATGAAGGAGAAGTTTCTGCTTCGAATGCAACAGACTTCCCGCCATTTGGTACAACCGGCCCACAGATGAATCCTGATCTTCGGGGACGACCAAAACTTGCAGCATGGATGTTAATGTCCGATGTATTATTGGATCTTATTACCATGGGATTGGTCCCTTACAACACTTCACACGATGGCAGGTTTGATGTTAGCGCCAAATTTACAGGTACAATGAACTCAGCCCTTAACAACTATACAAGTGACCATCCAGTGCTTCCGCTCGGGCAACTTTATGGCCCGCCAGCTAGCGATGTGTCCCTGGATTTTGTTCAACTCGATCCTAACGTGTCCAATCTATCACTTTTCGGTGTTCGCGCTTTCTTGGTGGCTGTGCTCTGCTTATCAAACACCACAAGGTGCCGGTTTGCACTCCTTGCACTTAACCGTCCTTCTCATATGCCCGTACGTTCCTGGGTACCTTTAATGAATGAATTGGAGAGGGGTTCTAATTTTACAAGTAACAGCATGCCAAGCGTTCAAGCAAGAAGATTCTCCGGGTATCAACGCACTCTCTGTTGGATGTGGCGATGTGATCACACCTCATCATTCCCTCCAGGATCGTCATGCGAGCGTGGATATACGAAACACATGGGTCCAGGTAGTCTCACGTCGGAATGTGCACATGAGTATTTTCCATTTCCATCTTCGGACCTGAGCTACTGCTGCTTACCCTGAGCCGTGACTGAACCGACCCGGGTCAGGCTGAGCAAATGAGCTATGGAACGAGCGGAAAGTAACCCGGTTGAGCACCTCGGCTATGACTTCTACCGGCTAAAATTAGAAGAAAAATGTCGAGGGTTTTGGGGCATAGCCACCTCTTTGAACCTCTCAAGGTGTTGTGATAGTATCCATTCTTGCTCCCCTGTAAAACCTATAAGGGACCCTGCCGGAGCCGATTTAGTGGACGCCCTATTAAATGAAAAGGTTGCAAGGAAAAATAAGGCTCACAACTTGTATGGCGAGGCAAATCATACCATCCACGGGGTAAAACCAATAGCAAAGAGCTGCATTAAAAAACTTACGATTATTACTAATTAGTTCAAACTTCCCGTCAGCCGATACCCTTCTAGCCCATTTAGTGGACGCCTTGTTAATGAAAAGGTTGCAACAAAAAGATAATGCTCACAACTTGTATGGCAAGGAAAAGCATACTGTCCACACCGAAGCCGGGCAAAACCCAGGGCGAGGAGCCGCATTAAAAACGTACGGTTGTTGACGCAGTGTGTAATTCTTGCTTTGGATCCAGTGAACTGACTTGTATCGACACGTGGACAGCTTTGTCCGAGAGGAGGAAAAGATATAAGACCGATCGCATATGTCCTCTGTGTTCTTCTCCTCACCAGCATTACATTTTTCCCCTCCTCGCATCGACTGTCCTCCAAATCTTATCATATCCTTAACTCAACTTTAAAAAGTTGGATCTTGATTGTGAATTGATTTCCCGTTATGGTACGCCATACACTTTACTTTCCCTCACCTATTCTAAACCTTCTCTTTTGTCGACCGAAGGTACTAACTCCTGTAACTAGCCTGATGAGAAAGAAGCGAGCTGGACCACCGAGCTTAACGAAATGTACGACGCTCAAGCTGACAATAATGCCGAGGCGCCGGAGCCAGTAGAATCGCCACGCGATAGCAGTGATAGCAGTGACTCGGAATGTTATGGTGGAGACCCATGTGACGCTGGTATGGGGAATATAGATTGATTCGTAGCTCGAATTAGAAGGGATATTGGATATGATGTGAAGAGTGGTGATGGGGGGTGGAGAGACATGGACGAGGTGCAATGTAGGACGTTAGAATTACGAAGCCATCGCACCTGACATCCAATTTTACACATAGGCATCGTGATGGATTATGCAGTCGGATTAATATAAATTAGGAATAAAAATTTCCCCAAAATCCTTCTGCTTTAGCATACTGTCGCTAATGCGATATTCTACTTTTCTAATTAAACGTCTTTAACACCCAAGTTTGCTTCGTGTTCCGCGTTTTCTTGAAAATCTCGGTACAAATCATAGCTAGGATACTGAACAACTTACTATAGTTTATAGTATAAGATGCTAATTAAAGGGCTTATTATTTACTCAAACTTCTCTTTGGAGAGCTTATCCTTTAAGCTGTCCTTATTTGCTCGTCTAAATTTAGTCCTCCTTTACTGCACAGGATGGCACGTGCATGCATAAGCGAGGCTTCGCCCTACTTAGCTAGTTTCAGACAGAGAACTCAATGAATCATCCTTCACTACACGCACAGCATTCAACATTTACCCACCCGGTGCTCATATTATATAGAGTTAGATATGTGCCGATAGAAATATCTAGAGTAGGAAAAAGAAGATTTTGCTATATAAATAAGAGGGAGCTTAGAGAGATGAAAGAGGAGATATATTTAAATATATTTCAAAATATCTCAAAATAAATGTTAATTATTAAAAACTTTAAAAATTTGTAAATGTTTATATTTAAATTTTTTATAAGTAAACTTAAATAGTAAAGTTATATTCCTATATTGTTTTTATTTACGTGAAACGAATTAAGTGTTGAGTATTACTAGGCCTCCGTAATAGAAGCGTAGCAAGAAAGGAGGGAGGGGTCCGAGCAGGCTGCAGCCAACTGTCGCAACTGCTGCCTACTCGCAACGAAACTTACAAGACACTTATCTACTTTCTCTTTTCAATTATCATAGTATACAATCCACGAAAGAGGAACAGCAACACTCTTGAAGTCATCTACAAAGACGCCGCACTTATTTGTATTTGTTGTCGCACTTCCATACCATGGCGCATGACGATCAAGACTTCGTGGTTCTGGAGGACCAAGATCTAGCCGATTTCAACGCCGCAGGGCTTCTTCCACAATCCTCTGGCACTATTGATCAAATTCTTAAGTGGTTGAACCCTACAGACTATACGGCAGATTCCAGCGAGTATAACAAACATCTCTCCTCGTATGTTCCAGGAACTGGTGTATGGATTCAGGAAAGTGGCCAGTACCAGGAATGGCTCAATTCAGATCGTGGAGCCTTATGGATTAAGGCCACTGCTGGTGCTGGCAAATCTGTCGTTGCTGCTCATGTCGCCTCATTGCTTACTGCTAAAGAGAATGTCCCCGTGTTGAGCTTCTTCTTTCGTCAAATAATAGCAACAAACCGTACCCCCCAAGCCTTGATCCGGGATTGGCTTGCACAGCTCCTAAGATTTCCCCCCCCTCTTCAGAAGAAGTTAAAAGAGCTTCTTAATCAGAGACGAAGCCTCGAGACCTTATCCCTTGATCAACTCTGGGAGATCGCCTTGTCCGCAATGGCAAGTTGCTCTCGCACTTATTGTGTTGTTGATGCTCTCGATGAAATGGATAGTGGAAACGAAGATTTCGTGCGCAAACTCGTTCGTCTAGTACAAGAGAAACCCTCTTCCATCAAGCTGCTTGTTACCAGTCGCCCGCTGCCTCATATCGAAAAAGTCCTCTCAAATCCCCATATCACTCAGCTTCCTCTGCGGCCTCAGCTAGTGGGTCGCGATATCGCCATATATATCAGGGAGCGATTGTACTCTACCCACTTTCCCTGCGAAGCCAGAGTAGCCATTGAAGATGTTTTGGGCAGGAAATCGCAAGGGTTATTTCTCTACACTCGGCTGATGTTGGATGAAATCTTAGAAGTAGGATTCACTGACATTCAGAGCCTCCAAATTGCCCTCGAAGGATTACCCAGTGGGCTGGGTGACACGTACACTAAAATGCTCTTCGATCATTCCGCACGCTCCGGTACACCACAAGATCTGCAGCTTTTTATACTCAAATACGTGACACATTCTTCAAGGCCGCTTCGTTTACTTGAATTGTCCACGTTGGTGGATTTTGTTCGCAAAAGTCCTCGAACTCAATTTGCGTCAGATGTTCATCCTTCGACGTTGGGTACAAAATCGATTGTTAGAACGGCTTGTGGACCACTGTTAGAGATTCTGGAGGACGAGACTGTGTCAATTATACATCATTCGCTGACCGAGTACCTGAGAAGTCCGCAAAAAGTTGGTTAGTATAAATCTTTTACATGTATATCCGTTCTTAATTTATTTCAGAAGAGGCTCTACCCTTTCTCGAACCTGCCCAACCCGTGGGATAGAAAATCTCATGACGTTCAAGTAAATTAATACTGACTTTAAAACATGCATAGGGAGCTTGTTCGAATTTTCCTATATCGAATCTAAGGACGCGCATTTGAATATTGCAAAGACATGCATCGACTACCAGCAAAACAACTTCAACGTCGCCAGATTGACACATCCATTTCTTGATTACGCAACCAAAAATTGGGCCTATCACGCATTAAAGTGCGAGAAAGGCGATGAAAATCTTTTCCGACTCCTGGACTTATTACTCGACTCGAAACGCCCCATCTTTGCAGCATACATTGAAATTACCGACCCAGAGTCCGCAGCCAATAAAACATCCGATCTGCATATTGCAACTTTTTCCGGCTTGGCGTTCTACACAAAGCACTTGCTTGAGGCAGGTCATGATGCAAACTTCCAGGATCGACAACAGAGAACGCCTCTCCATCTTGCGGCAAGCAATGGGTTTGACGAAGTGGTCGGGGAGCTCTTGAAACATGGGGCAGAGATGTGTAAGGATGAATATTCCGGATACACGCCGATACATCTTGCTGCTTGTGCAAATCGGAAGAAGGTTGTTAGAGCCCTTCTTAAGGCGGGAGTTAGCCCGCTGGAGAGGAGGACTCATGACCGTCCCGGGAATAGGTGTGGAAACTCTCGGTAAACGACCTACTTCTTTCTCCTCTCTTAATTCCCTACATTAGGATGATGCTCCATCCCCATCCCGAAAAGGACAGCAGCTAACTTTTATGTAGGCATGACACAGGTGTCACTCCCCTTCAATATGCCTGTGAATATGGTCATACCGAGACCGTGCTAGAATTTTTTCCGTACCTAGACGACGAATCTCTCAGCAAAGCACTTTTGTGGGCATTGCAGTACGGGAAGGCGGAAACAGCAGCCTACATTCTTGAAAACTCCAAAGTCGACGTCAACCGGGTCATAAAAAACGAAACTGCCATCCATATAGCAGCATGGAGCCACGACTTGGTCAGCATCAGAAACTTAATTGCTCATGGTGCAGATGTCAAGTTGGTGCTAAATAACGGATACAATTTCTTTTTTTAGCGACATTGATGATCATCAACCGTCGGTGAGCTCTACGCCTTTTCAAACGTTTCTCCAATTTTCGACTGGTTATCCGGTACCGATTACAGCTTCGCCGGAAGATTCTTTTGAAATATTGAAAATTTTGGTGGATGCGGGGTGTGACCTGAACGAGAAAGACCGCAACGGACAAACCGCATTTCATAAAATTTTGAACGGGTGTCAAAAAATGCCAACCAAGATATCCCAAGAGATTATCGAATACATGTTTGCAAATGGCGCAGATTCATCAATCCTCACAAAAGATGGGTCAACTGCATTGCATCTAATGCCATGCCACCTCGACAGCGCCATCGAGTCACTTGTTGCTGGCGGAATGGACGTCAACAGTCGGAGAAGGTCGGACGGGAGAACGCCTCTGTTTGGTGCAGTCGGGTCCGAAAAGTACATTTCAATGTTCGTCAAGCTGGGAGCCGATTACAATATCCAAGATTTGAAGGGTGATACGCCCCTCCACATCGCCGTTCAAGGCCTGGGATATTCGGCGACCCCAGAGTGCAATGCTGCTATCAAGGCGCTCTTAGCAGCCGGTGCTGACCCCAAGCTGAAGAATAAAGCTGGCCTAGCTCCAATACATACTATCAAGAACTGGAGGCATTACAAAGAGACTCTTTTGGTATTGATGGAAGCGGGAGCGAGCCTCGAGAGTCGCACTGATGCAGGTCGCACTGTTCTGCTTTCTTGTTTGAAAGGTCAAATGTGCTATGAATGGGACATTCAGACACTGCTAGATGTTGGAGCAGATCTACACGCGCGTGACTTCACTGGGAAGACCGTCTTACATTACTGCTGCGAGAAAGACAAAGGTCTCGACTTCTTGCCCAAATTGGTTGATGCTGGAGCCGACCCCTCCATATCTGATTATGCCGGGAACACGCTTTTCCACCAAGCTGCTAGAGAAGGGCCATCGTACTACGATAAGGAACAACTCGCAATTCTTGAAAAAATTCTTGAGCTCGGAGTTGATCCCCAAGCGGTGAATCATGCTGGTCAAACTCCGGTTCATATAGCGGTTGGAAATCGAAGTAATATGTCTCACTACAAGACGGACCCTCTAGAATTTCTTCTTGGCCCGAAATGTAACGTGGATATCAATGCTCCAGATTATTTGGGAATTCGAGCTATTCATCTTGCTGCCGCGCTTGGCGAAAGCCAAGTCAAGCAGTTGCTGAAGAAGGGAGCGGATCCAGCGGCCGTTACGCTCGAAGGCCAAACTGCTCTCCATGTTGCTTCACGATCAAGACAGTGCAATGCGGTCGGTTTGCTAACTGACCTCTACTTAAAAGAAGGAAAAGCGAAAATGGTTGATCAGGTTGACGAGGAAGGAAGAACCGCTCTCCATTACGCCGTTCGCTCTGGACGTCCGGAGAGCGTTGCGATCTTGATTAATATCGGCGGTGCTGATCTCAATGCAAAGGACAGTAAAGACCTAACACCACTCCACATGTGTACGCATATCAAACAAGAACACACCCATTGGACACCGGAATTTATTGTCGATCAGCACGAGGCATATATCGCTGCGGCGGGCGTGACTCTGAAGGATCCGTATAGACCAGCAGGTGGCCGCGGCATGGAAGGGCGAGATTCTCACTCTGACACTCGGGAAATTATCAAATTTCTTATTTCACATGGAGCAGACATTACCGTCAGGAATTCGACGAATCTACGAAAGGGATCCCGCGGTCGCACCAGTTTGCTTGCGTATGCACTCGAGACGGATTCCGAAGTCCTCGTCGACGAACTTCTAGACGTCGAAAAGAATAAACTACTCCCGGAGCCAGCGCCTGTACTAAATCCGGACACGGATGAGGACGACCCGTATGATTGGTTGTATGGCCAAGCTCCTCCAATCTATTAGTTTCAGGAGAAATATTCCTCTTCACAAATCCAAAACGCGGATGTTCTTGAAGGGATGGTGACGCCTGGCCAGAACAACCTCAGTCTTTTCCACAGTCTGCTTTCAAAAGATCATGAGAAGGGAGTCTTGAAGATGAAGGCTTTAGGAGCTGATATGCTCAAGCCTGACCCAATGGGTGAATCGTGCCTCACGACTTTGATAAAGGGTGGCTACGCATCTTTGTTGGAGCATTTTGGTGAGGAAGTTACGAGGATGGATGAGGAGTGGATAAGGGAGATAGAAAAGACGGATGTTAACCTCCCTGGGAGACTTTCACACCCGATATTAATCGCTAGCCAAAGGTACCTGCCTAACCTCGAAGTCCTGAAGGTCTTGGTAGGCAAGTTTGGGGTAGATGTCAATGTCCAGTTCGAATCGAATCGGTTGTACTCCTACAACGAAGGGAAAACCGCTCTACATATTGTAGCGAGCTGTACGCAATGGTGGCATACTCACGCTCTCAAATACCTCCTCGAAAATGGTGCGAATCCAAATATCCAAGACAAAGAAGGTAACACGCCACTCCACATCGCCGTAAAAAGCTCCAGCGACATCGCAGTCTCCCACCTCCTCTCTCACAGCGCCAACCCGAACCTCCTCAACAACGACCAACTAACACCCCTCACCGCTTCTAGCTCCTCCTCCTCTACCATTGCTCTTTTAGTTTCCCATGGCGCGGACGTTTTGGCAGGCGCAAAACCCTTCATATTCACCTGTATCGAAGCACAGGATCTCCCCACCATCCGCCTCCTCGTTTCCATGGCTGCAAACCTCAACGTGAAGCTACCACCAGCGGAAGAGCCCCCTCTAGCCTCAGACGGTGATTCCAATCTACGCCGGTTGCATCACAGGAAAGCCTGGACACGATGGGAGTTTGAGAATCGTGAAGCGGCTGAGAGTTCGTTTCCTGTGCATTTTGCTGCCGGGACGGGTTTCAACACAGAGGAAAAGAGGGGGAAAATGATTCCTATTATTGAGACGCTTCTAGAAGGCGGCGCGGACCCCACGCTCGCTTTTAATGACGAGGGAGATGGCATTATAGGTGATATCTGCGTGCGTGGTGGGATTTTGGCACCTTTCCTCCAAATCCCGGATTTGGATCTTGAAGTTAGGGATTCCAATGGAAGAACACTGCTCCTTTGCGCGTGCACCACGGATGAAAATTGGCACGACCACGGTCTTCGGTCACGTTCTCTGCCCAGTGAGGTGTCTTTGCTACTTGAACGTGGTGCGGATATCACGGCTGTTGACAATGAGGGCAGAAATGTCCTTTATCATTTACTTACACGAGATTAATTAGATGCCTCAGGCACTTATTTAAGGGATATCAGCTTTACTGACTTTAAATTCACTTTGAAAATTCACTTTTTGAAGGCTAAAAAATTTCCAGGTAAGCTAAATAAGGTAGGTTTTAATTTCGAATTCCAAAGCTTCTTTCCTTCAATAAACACACATATACACACGTATACGTAAGTCAACCCCTATACCCGCTACGGGCCTGCCCCTGGCCTATAACGCTCCTTACGGTCCATAGAATGTCTTCTCTCCTATCTGCTCCCGCTACAGCAGCACCACCACCACCACCACCACCACCACTAGCACTAGCACTAGCAGCAGCAGCAATAGTAGCAGCAGCAGCACCAGCAGCACCAGCACCAGCAGCACTAGCAGTAGCACCAGCGCCTGCCCTGCCTGCCCTGCCTGCCCTGCCCGCCGCCCGCCCCACCCGTACCATGGTGGCCCTCTCCCTCCTCGCCGCCCGCCGTATGCCTATTTTGCGGCCCGGCCGTACTACTAACCCCGCCCGGCCTGCTAACCTAGAGGCTGAAATTAGCTAATTTATTAGTCAAGTTTATACTGCCAAATATATATATTATACTAGCAGGTCGGGTATATAGATAGTATATATAGTTATGGCTAGTTTCTTTAGTAAAAGCTATACTAACTACTATTATAATAATAAGAATACCTATTATTCTCTTTATAAGTGCTTTTTATACCTATTTACTAATCTTTTACGGATTATAACTAACCTAATAAGTATTTATAGGTATTATTATAGGTATTCTTCTCTCTCCTGCTTTTACTCTAGTTTTTACCGCCCTTATTCTTGCCTCTACTAATTCTTTCTCACTTTCCCGAATTATTACTAGTAATTATATAATTAACTAAATTATTTCTAATAACTTATTTTTATATATATATACCTATTACGGATTACTATAAATTATAACTAATATATAAATAGCTTAT